ACCAAACGTTACTTAAAGATTTTTTTTTTGCTCGCTCGCTCGCCAGAAGTGAAAATTAGCATCGCCTTTTTTGTTTGTTTCGGTCGCTTGCCCCCCCCCCCTGACGGCAGGGGCGTACGCAGGGGGGGTGTTTTGGGGGTTCAAACCCCCCCCCTTTGGTATTTTAATGTATGTAAACCCCCCTAAAAAAACCTAAACCCCCCCCCCCCCTTTGGCTTTTTTTATTTTTTTTATTTATTTTAAAAAAAAAAAAAAAAAAAAAAAAAAAATTATACCCACGGCTAACCTAAATAAGGTGACCTTACTCCCCCCATACGTAAAAAAATGTCAAATTTTAAAATTTTGAAACCAAAAAAAAAAAAAAAAGTGTCCGCTTACCCCCACCCCCACTGAGCGACTTTTCGGCCGGCGCGATTTTCAAATTTTCGGGAGCAAAATATTTTAAAACCCCCCCCCCCCCCCCTTGAAAAAATCCTGCGTACGCCCCTGCCTGACGGAGTACCCCAGGTACGCCACTGCCCCCCCCCCCCTTCATCAAAAGTCCGGTGTGTAAAGTCAATACGGGTAGATCTTTTTTCTTTGTTATACGAGCCTTTTCAGCACCCCCCCCCTTTCAGCAAAAGTCCGTGTGTGTGAAGTCATTAAGGGCAGATCTTTTTCTTTGTTACGAGCCGGAGATTTTGGGAACACGCATGCGGTCCCTCCGTTCCCAGAGTTGGGGGTGCAACAAGTCATTAAACGTTCACTTTCATGTCACTCTCATGTACGGCGCGTAAAAGATGGCGATTGGTCGGATATTGGTTATAATTGGTCAAATGTGAGAGCCTATAGATGTTGCAATGTCATTATACGCCTAACATACCATAACTCCTTGTTACACAATAAATGCTGGTTGGGGGAGGAGGGGAAAACCCCTATTCACCAAACGAACATGGAATAACTGCAATACTTGCACAACATATTGTGCAAATATTTGATCAAAAGGTTAGACAATACAACAAAGAGAGTGTGGTTTGGTGGGAAAATATTAACAGTCTCCCTTCGTCATGTTATTTTCTCTTTGTCAGTTTGCTAGCACGTTTAAAGGTCATTGCCATCAATAAGAAACCCATCATTCAATGGAATATTATCATCACGTAACTTTCCACATACTTTTAAGAACATGCAAGACATTAACAAAGTAAACCAATACAAAACCAATGTAATTTCAGTCATCTGTGCATGTTTCTATGGCATTAAAGAAAAACTGTTACAAAGAGGTATGTTGATGGTGGTGGTGGTGGTGGTGATACTAAACTACTAATACTTCTACTAGTACTACTACTACTACTGCTACTAATAATAATAATAATACAAATAATAATGATAATTAGGAAATAAAGCAAAAGAAAAAGAAGGAGAAGAGGAAGAAGAAGCAGAAGAAGAAGAAGAAGAAGAAGAAGAAGAAGAGGAAGAAGAAGCAGAAGAAGAAGAAGAAGAAGAAGAAGAAGAAGAAGAAGAAGAAGAAGAAGAAGAAGAAGAAGAAGAAGGAGAAGTAGGAGGAGCAGCCGGAGGAGGAGGAGGAGAATAGCCCCGGTTGTAGCCAAACCGCTACGGTAACTAGCACCCAAGCATATCAGGTACACATTGTACAGCTACATGTTGTCGGAGAGTAGCATATGCGATCAAAGGGCAAGTCCACTCCAATAATAACATACTTTCAATAGTTCAGAAAAACAAGAGAAACAGAGCAAAATAAATTCGAGTAAAATCGGACAACTAATAATAAAGGAAGTTATGAAAAACAAATTAAGTATGAAAAACTATGGAATTTAGAAAATCATTACACAAATTGCCAATTTGATCATCAGATTGTGTCGTCATTGCCTCACTATTTATCAATTGCTTTATATATTTTTATCCCATTAATTTTCCTTTTTATCCCCCAAAACTTGATTTCCCCATGCTTTTGCCCATGTTATATGATTTGTTTGATTGTATCATATTGCGTGCATGACATTTTACAAAATATTTTATGAACTTTGAAGAATTGATCCTTTTTTCTGAATATTTTATATTCATATTCATTGATTTTTATATTAATAGTTTATCAAGATTCATATTTTTCCTGTTTTAACTGAAAAAATTACTCTATATTAGTGCATCCACACATAAACATATTACTATAAATATATGCGGGTGTGAGGAAATAGGAGTTTTAGAGGGAAGAAAGGAAATTTGTATTATTAATATATATGCAGTGCGTAGACGATCAGCTATGCATAAAGCAGACGACAGACATGATGCATGGCTGATCTTCAACAAAACGGAGTTAAGTCTTTTGTCAACTCTGTTTGTTGCTATACTGCAGGCAGCCAGTGGAAACGAACTCGTTTGATAAAATTATGGAAGTGCAAGCATTACTTTAAACAAACAAAACTTTGTTATTCCGGCTCATTTTTCCTGATTGAGGTGTCATAATTATGAAAGGGAAGAAATCGAACTTTCTAGAAATGTGATTTTCTCTTTAAAATTCAGATACCGTCCGCCAAATGAATTTTTGGTTTCCTCTCTTCAAGTTGCTTTCAATCACTCATGCGTGAAATATGCATCATGATGAGTTGCATCAAAATGAAAGAAGAGGATCTAGGCTTCCCAAATCAAGTATGTGTCGTTTATTAATTGTGATTAAGTTATGATAAAACATCGATAGTTCTCGTTTTCGTTTTTTTCTGGGACGCACTGTATAAAGCAATTGATAAATAGTGCGGCAATGACGTCAGAGACTCATGAGTGAGTTGCCAATTTGTCTTGTGATTTTCAGAGTTGTTCATGTCATTACAAATTCATTACTTTCTTATAGTTATCCGATTTTGCTCAAACTTTTTTAAATCGGATTGTGTGATTTGTCTGATTCTATTGATCATAAGCTATTTTTGGAGTGGACTTAGTCTTTGTCTTGCCAAAGGACCTATTGTTTGGCTGGGATTCAAACACCGCACATTATGATCTACAGGAAAGTGTCTTATCCATTAGGACAACATCACCTCTGTATAACAAAATGGTATTGGCATCACTCTATATGTATTAACATTATGGGAACAGGTGAAGTCATTGTGATAAAAGTGGGGCAGTTATCCGTCCACAATGGAATTACACAATATTTGTTAACGTGTCGATGTATTTCGATATCATTACCTCTTCAACGGACACTGAATGATACATTTTTTTTTGTTGAATTAGTACAGTGCTATGCAGCAAAGTGTCAAGAACATGAACATGCTTCAGCGACACAAATATACGCATACACACGCACCCACATTCGCACGCGCGCGCACACCAACACACGCACGCACACACACACGCACACACACGTCTGCCCAAACTCTCGCCCCATTCTCACCCACGCTCTCCGATGTTTTCGCTCTCTTACTTCCATGCCAATTCTTTTCATATCATAACATACTCATCAAATACTATTTCACTATGACCTCACTTAAACACGACCACAAAGACGAAAATCAGCATAAGGTGATATAAATAGCCTTGCTCGAACAACGACCTATCGCTTATTGCGAACATGGTTTCTATGGAATGTGACGAGCGAATTCTCGAAAGTCTGTATGACTGTGTTCTAATGTCACTTTCCCTCCATTTCTCTGTTTCTTTTTACTTTTCTCTTTTCCTCATTTATTCTGCCAATGCGAAATTTGCTCTGGTGAATTATGCCCAAGGGTGTCGATTTGTATCCTCGGTTGGGGGGATGATAGGTGCCAAAATATTTTCGGCAATGGATCAAAGCAACCAAGAGGTAGAGGCGTGTGGCAGGTTGCACCCCCTCCCTTCCAAGTTATTAACTTTTTCAAGTCACCCTCAATAAAGATAACATTTTAGAGAATATGGGACCCATGTGAGTCCCACTTGGGCTTGCTACCTGGGTTATTATCCTCTCAAGCATATAGGCAGGATTTTAATTTAGGGGGGCGGTAGTGAGCACCTCCTAGGGGGTGGGTGCAGGGAGGGAAAGTTTCCCCCTCCTGCTGAATTCAGTCCCCCCCCCCCCCCCCCTTCCCGCGCGAAGCGCGGAAGCTTCGACGTTTCATTAAATTATTAGAGAAAGAAGACGATTCGTTGTACCGTTCTCGACTCTTAATCCTTTTTCTTCCTACGTCAACTTCCTATCCTCTTTCTCTCTCTCTTTTTTTTTTGGGGGGGGCGGGACCGCCCCCCCCCCCCCACCCCCTGGCTACGCGCCTGGATCCTCTCTGTCTTTCATTATCTCTCTCCCACTCTCTTCTGCTTTTTTGCACTTTTGCGCTTCGCGCTTAACATTTATTAAGCTTGTTGCTTTTTAACGCTGCGGCTTTGCATTCGGCGCACTGCATTTCTATGATGCTGTTGATTGAATAAATTGAATAAATTGAATAAATTCATCAATTCCTGATGAAGCCGTATGAGCGAGAATTTAATTTATACTTGTCTCATATACGGTCGTCTCATTTACTTCGTTTTCTATTTATATACGTATGTATTATGAAAATGAGATAGCAAAATGTGTATATTGATGGTCATCTTGCGAGTAATAACCATTAACTACTCTCATCGGGTTCTCATCATTAATTTTTCTCTTTTATTTTTTTTTTTATGGTGAATTATTGGGGGGGGGGATGATTTTACAGGCCATCCCCCCACCTGAAATATTGGGGGATATATCCCCCCCCCCCCCCATCCCCCGGGATCGACACCCATGATTATGCCCCATTTCGTAAATTGTAGCTTGGGTTGGGAGTTTGGTTAATTCATTGTTTGTGATTAGGATTTGGTTTAGGTCAAGGGTTCAAGTTAGGTGTTTCACTAAATGTAAGGAGAATTGACCTAGAAACAAATGTCACCAGAGCACTTGTTATTAAGTCCTCATTATTTTTAAAGTGGCTTTACCAGATTCATCTTTAAGTTTGCTAACAGACACAGGACAAATATCAGACTTGCATCTTGTATTTCTTTTACTAATCATCTGCAGATGAAGAAATTTAATGAAATTTATTCTACAATTAAATCATAATCAGAAAACAAGTGTAGGTCGTTAAACATGGATGGCAATTCAACTTTCTTTTACACGCAGCACGTCTTGAGATTCTCTTTCTGTTCCTATGAGTTAGATATTTCCCTTGCCTTGTTCTGTGAAATAAATGGGATAAAAAGATACAAAATGACTTCTGTTAAGAAAGAAAGGACATCGATTCGTATCCTTTAACATGATTACAGAAGGATTTGAAGTAACATTTGAATAAACTGTCAAGGTTAACAACCTTATGCAACTCATTCTTAGATCAAAATGATTGGTCAAACGCGGTCATGTGCCACATTTACTGAGACTATTCCATTTTTCCAAAAGCGTGCAATAGTTTGGAGTACCTATTCACTGATCTCTATGTACGCTAAGTGCACATGTCTCTGTTTTATTTTTGCAGAGATAATGACACAAAACAATATTAAATTTATTATTTATACATTAAATAACAAGGATCTAGGAGTGGAGTATAAAAGAAATGATGCATGTTTTCATTCGTTCTATAAAGTCTTATTGAGTTTGTTCATGAACCTATCGTACTCAGCCTGGCGGCCTTGTACGAGAGACGAGAGACGTATAGCCTCAACCCGAGTGCGGATTGATTGATTGATTAATTGATTGATTTCTAATATTTAGAAAGGCTGACTCATTATGAACAATAATGGTGGCCCTCCACGAGGCCCAGTTAAACGTAATGAGTAACATTAAAAAAAATAGAAAATAATAACAGAATCATGAACATAAACTCATAACAGCAACAAAGAATAAGTAAGAACATATATAAACAAAAATACAAAGTACTTGATATCCTCGTAATGAATGCATGATTTGTTTGTTTTGTTATGCTTTGCTTTATCGTTCTAAAAAACATTGTTGCATATTTATAATATCTTAATAAAACACTATAGTATATACGGTAATTGTTCTCTATCTCTTGCAACTTAGGTTGTTAATTATACTATATGATAAATAAGAAATTACCTGTGCAGAAGAGGAACTTGTTCTTCCTTCTTGTGCACCAACATTCCTGGGTAGGATTAGCCTGAGTAGGGCAAACTGTAAAGAAAATAAATATATATATAATATATTTATATATAAAGATACAACTAGCAATAGCATGAAAAAATGACTGTATGAAAACTATTCTACATATTGATTTGTTGTTAACATTTTTCACAGATGAAAACGTATGCTTACTGCGCTATCGGTATTGTCGATGTCAAAACTATACTCTCTTTATCTATGTTACTTATATGAAAAATATAATTGACTTGATTCCTGTATTTTGTTCATGAATGTTGTATTATGAATCATGTATTATGGCAAGCTATGAATTTTTTGTATAATTTGTTTGTTGTTGTAAATCTGCTTATGATAAAATTCGTTTTGAATTTCCATACAATATGAATCATATTTGCACTGTTTTAATGAGAAAAAAGCAATAACAATTTTCTTTTTCAAAGATAATTCACATCATGTGTTTTATCACTACAGTATTACTGCTATTTCACAGTCATGTAAAAAGTAAAAGAAGCAGAAAAGAATCCGAAGTCAATGTAATTTTATGTGCTTTCCTGTTTTTTGAAATAACATTCCAGCAACATGCCAATATATCCTCGTACATGACTGTTATGAATGACACGAGCGTAAATCTGAGAAGGAATGATCACTATACCTTCACAAATCCCTTTATAACCATCATCAACGCTGACATCATCAATATTTTCTCAGAAATCAATATTCTAACGGAAAAAAAGTACGACCAAAAAAGACTTCTGTAAAGGATGGGTATAAAAGTAAAAGGGTCCTCTATAACTATTATGTGGATTCCTTCTAAATGAAGAAGTATCAACAACAAAAATAGTAAAACTTAGAGCAAAATTGGACAAAGATTGAGATTATTAAGTATTGTCGAGGGTTAAGATCGCTAATTATGTAGGAGAAAGGGGGACTTGGGAATTCTATCCTTTGTTGAGCTGGGAAAAATTTCGAATTATTAGCTTTTACTAAGCTTAATGATTAAAGGAGATTTTTTTTCTTTTTCATTTACATGTTTTATTAGATCAATTAAAATACAATCACGGTATTTACATATTACAAGTAATTGATTAAAGGAACTTTGTCGATGACACATGCATAACATAATTGTTTTAATCAAAACTGTCGCGAAAGGAATGATTCAGATTTTAATATTCTTTAAAGGCAGGCTTTACTACTTCAGCGAGAAGGGATTAGACCACCCAGCGAGCCAGCGAGGTCACTGTGACAGGTGGCTATCTCATTAACTCAGCTCTCATTTAACATAAGAAAAAGAGGATCATGGGGGACCAACAGGCACCGATTGGGGAAGTTTTCTATATACTGTAGAGGGAGCAAGTAGCTACAAGTAGGACAGTGTGCCTTTAAAAAGGATCATTTGAGTAATTCGGTTACGAATTGAAGGAAGGGTTCTTTATGTCCTTGTCTTAAACAATTTTCCAGCTCTATTAATCTCTACTAATTGGTTTTCAATCCTTACTTCGTCCTTTTTCTATGCTAGTTTATTGTTGTTTTGTTTTCTTTCTGTTCCTATTGTAGGAGACTGTGTATGTATGGACCTATCACTCGTATAGTAGGTCCATGATGTATGTATGTCCTCCAAACCTTTCTGCGATATCTTCACCAGCATACCCCGTACATATCCTTTGCTTTCTGCCGGTTCTGGGACCCCCCCCCCCCCTCTCTCTCTCTCTCTCTCCCTCTCTCTCTCTCTCTCTCTCTCTCTCTCCCTCTCTCTCTCTCTCTCTCTCTCTCTCTATCTCTCTTTCCAGTATATATTTTTCAAACATTTTGATATGTAGTCTCTTTTATTCTTTCACTGTTCTTACTACCTTACTAAGTTGCATTTGGTAGATGCGATTTCAAAGACCTTCAAGAAATCAATCAAAGGTAAAACTAATATAATAGCCTTGTGCGTCACTGATACATACGCTACCTTAATAGAGATTTTTACAGTCAATGTAATAGTTTTCTGAAATGGCTCTCAATGGCCTTGAACGCGTCATCCTTTGAGATGTGCGAACATGACGATGACGATGACGTACTACGTTACCCAAACATGATTTCTATGGTACATACAATATACAATAGGGTACTGAGATCGCCTGTAGGCAGAACATGTTTGCAATCGTGGTAGTATTATACTCACGTCTGTACTTCTTCATGTTCCTGCCCCGCTTCTCAGCTAAGAAGAAATCTTGCATGAATGGATCGCGCTTGATGAACTCCATGTCGGCTGCTATCTGCCCGTCTGTCAAGTCATCTTCGAAGTCCAGGCCATTGTGACTACGATCATGGCCAGGAAAACGATTAGAACTTTGGATGCCATTGTTGTTGTTTGCGTCTGGAAAAAAAAACAAGCATACGATGATAAATTATTTGACATTCGTCGTACTTAAATACAGTATCATTCTGCAAGAGTCAGTAGAAAAACTAATACAATTATGTCCAAGCCCTTCAATAACCCTTTCGTGCATCAGTAATCATATAATGTATAATTTGTTTTCAAACAAAATCCAAAAAAGCGATCCATTTGTGTTTTCAGTTCAGCATACAGGTTCTTTTTTTCGCAGACTAACTTGTAGAAGAAAGTCCAGGAATAAAATTAATTAATTTAAAATCCCACAAATCATCCTTAAGCGTGAGAGAATGGTTCTCAATAAATAAAATCCTTCTCTCTGTTGTTGTTTCCAGTATTACTATTATCCCTTTGGCAAAGTGTTACAAAACATCACGATGGAAAGTCAATGGTCGATGCTTTAGGTATACCGTCAGTAACATATTATCTTTATTGAAAGTATGATTTAAGGATTAAAAATAATTAACAAAGCTTTTTTCGTTCGTGCAATTCTAAACACGAGTTTAATGATGGTAGTAATGCCACATTACATTAGCAATGAAGAAAAGTTCACACTCAAGTCACAAAGATCATGCAAAATATGCTTCATCTTACCTAAAGGATGGTCTGTTAGCTTTAACCTCTGTTCTTGGTTCTCTTCTGGAATGCCAAGTGATGTGATGACAATGGAAGAAATCTCCTCCATTTATAAGAAATTTCTTTCCTGCTTTTTTTTTGTAATTAGCATTGTGGGCACGGTAGATACATTATACCTTTCATTAGGTATGTCAGAGTAGCGGCCAAGCATAACGGTAATATGAGTCTTCTGACACCGCTATTTACTTAAATAAGTGGTTAATTATGACCATATTTATCAACACGTCACCTCCTCCTCCTCCTCCTCCTCTTTCTTCTCTTCTTCTTCTTCTTCTTCTTCTTCTTCTTCTTCTTCTTCTTCTTCTTCTTGTCTTCTTCTTCTTCTTCTCCTTCTTCTCCTTCTCCTTCTCTTCTCCTTCTTCTACTTATTCTTGTATTGATACAATTGTATTTGCTTATTTTATCACAGTTAAGAATTTATATAACATTTTCTACTTACAAAGTTTGTGACCACATGTCATCCCCAAAGTCACATGACATTTTGTGACCAATCACCCCAAAAATGGAGTTACACTTCACTTATGTTGTGTGTAAATAAGGGGAAATTCATATTGACTTCTTTGTTGGGGTAAACCAGTTATCATCCCACAATCAAACATAATTATAATTATGATATTGTTTATTAGAATTTTCATACAAATGAACCTCTCATTATATACGGTAAAACTTACACTACCGTGTAATGGATTAAAAAAAATATGAACACGGTTATTATAAATGATCCACCTTTTCTGATCGATTCCACAACGTTTCTTTCACAATTCAATCGCATGACCATAACTGGTCTTTATCTTTAAACAATAATTAAAATAGACCTGACTAATTTTCTTTCACTGCAATTTTTAATAGGGTGAACCAAACTATTTTGTATAGAAGCTTACCTACTTAAATAAGCTTTAAAAAACATCTCTCTGCATTGAAGCTATGATCCTTTGTGTATTATGTCCAAATTCTAAATTGAGAATATTGTATGATGGAATAACAAATATTTTGATGGGAAAACTTGAGTGTAATGAATGTAAAATAGATAGAAGAAAACGATCAATTAGAAGTGAAACAGGCGTAAGAAAAAAAACAGACCAGTATTATTACTGATACAGTGTAAAAGCAATTAGTTCACATGCACTGTTTCACTGGTTCCCCCATCTTTAATCTTCTCAATTCACTCTGTATCTTTAATACCAGCTGGGTTCAACGAACCTGTACTGTTGTGTATCTTTCCAGCTGAGTACTGTCAAGCCATGCATTAACTCTTCCGGCCTTTTATTTTATGAACAATTCGAGTTGACATCAATCAGACAAGCACTACGTTTGACTGTAATAAACTACAATTAATCTCAAGGGAGGAATACTCATGATAAAAATCAAGTTTTAATGATGGGACATCAAAGTCGGAGGTCAAGGGTTTCAAGTTGTCACGCTCAAGCGATCATCGGCGTTTAATCCTTATTATCATAATTGTACTTAGATCAAGAAAAGCGTGCCTATTTCCAGGGGCGGATCCACCTGGCGATTTTTCCGGCCCGCCCCCCCCCCCCCTAGCCCCCAAAACGATAAAAAAAATAGGATAATAACGTAAAGATAACCTTTTTTAAAACACAAAACAAAGGCGCCCCCCCCCCAAAAAAAAAAAATGAATCGGCGCTAAATTTTTTATTAAGATTTGGCTCCTCCCCCCCCCCCCCCCCCCTTGTCGCCGGCTGGATCCTTTGCAGGCGCGGATCCACGAGGGGGGGCTGACGGGTCAACAACAGCAAAAAAGTTTTTTTTTTTTTTTAATTATTATTTTTTTTTTTTTAATTCTCACGAAGAAGGCCAAAAAACAAAAAAGTGGTCTTACCCACCCCTCCACCCCCCCCCCCCCCCCCCGCTTATTTACCTGCTGGCCGAGTCGGGGTAAAATATTTCCTGAAAAATTGGACAAAAAAAGTGCCTCCTAGAATAAATCGGAAGCGAAGTTCAGAACGTTTAAATATAAAGGATGTGTCGCCAGGGGTATGAATAAGTTAACTGTTAACTGTATAGCATTCATAGCCTTATTATCCTTGATATTCTGTCTGTATACAATACATTCTTCTATCAAATCTCGGCAAATTATTTAGATATTATTTTTTATTTATGTTAGAAAGACACAGAAGCATTTTCAGACGGTCTGTGCCTTCTTAAGACTCGTTCAGAAATGACACGGTAAACAGCTGCAAAAAATTAATAAATGAATATTTTTATTTAAAAATGCTGCATTAAAGGTACTATGTCCCTTTTGCAGCCAACCTCAAATTCTGTAGAACTTTGCAGGAATTATGAATATGTCATGTGTGTCCTATCTGTGAAATTTAAACGTTAGCAGTGTCCTCATATTCAAATTATGCAAGGAAACCCGTTTACTTGCTAGACTTCACTGTCAGACACTATTGAGTGACTGACTGGCTTTTTTTTCTTCTTTGGTAATAACATACGTGAAAAGAGTTGTAAAAGGTACATGAGCATTTGTCTACATCAATAACCCACTTCTTGTGATGGCCAAGATTAAACTGATTGAATCTTTGCGCAGCATAAAACGTATGACCATTCGGTACAATTGTCTGAAAATCAAGACTATTACTTTTGGGCTCTATAGCCCTAAAGTCGATTTGACAACTAATAGTCGTTATTTTCCCACTTGAAGACATTTTCAAGCCCCCCTTTTTTAGGGAAGTTCTAAATTAGTATTATCTTTCAAATGCAGTTGGAATTTAACTTTTTCATTTTTTGCCCTGCAAATGGAACATAGTACCTTTAAAAAAATGTAAATGAACGGCGACTGCGCTCAACAAAAGTCCTGCCGATTGTAGCTGGTAGATATTCCAATACTCCCAGGAAAATGAGGTTATAAGGTTATGAGGTTATGTACGCAATTTTCAATCACTTGGGTATGAGTTTAATTACTTGTTTGTATGCCCTGCATTTCGTTCAGACAGAAAATTGTTCATTGATAACAAATTATTAAAAGACCGAATACGCTAAAAATGGATCAGCTTTTTAACTCCAATAATAAACAAACATGTTTAAACTTAGTAAAATTCTGTCGAAAAATAATGCTTCTTTTTTATTAATTTAAGTATGTGCACAAAACATGTTATGAGTTCAATATTGACTTTCTTGTTCTCTTTTTTGTCTTATATCAAATTATTAAATTGATATCAAGAATAATTTCAGTAATTCATTATATTCAACTATCAATTATTTCCTGGTGCCAGTAACTTTCTTTTTCAATTTGCTTCCATTAATCTTGAAATTACTACGTTTTGTATTTCAATTATTATTATCGTTCAAATATTATCATTATTGATGTTGTTATTATTATTATTATCATTAGTATCATTATCATCATATTTTTTCTCACTATTGTCGAGCGTGTTTGTTTTATTGATTAACATTAATTCGATTTGAATTGTATATTGTACGGTGTTCAAACTGATTGTAAACTTCTCCAATACCCCAATGTGGGTGGCATGAGAAAAGATTGTCATTGTCATTGTTTGAGTTGTATACATTATGAGATACAGAAGTGAGCTTATTACACTTGCGTCATAATAAAAGAAAATACTGAGTAACTCATATCTGAAAGAGGCTTTAAAATGTAAGAAATGAGCATCACTTTTCTGAAACAACAACGTTATTCAGTTGTCATTGATATTTTTAGTCTCCAAAACATTTTCCAATAAATTTTGAGGAAGTATTCAGATAAAAATATTTCATTGGTTCGTTTGTCAAAATAGAGTCACATACCATAACACTGAATCCCATTTACGTTGATGAATTCCACATACACAATACCTGGCTGGGTACCGGTACGTACAGGAACGGAAGCCATTCAGCTATTTAAATATAGCCATGATAACTGTCAAAAAAGTTGTTTATGATAAATTGCCCAATATGATATTCATGTCTACAGGAATTAATTTGAAAGGAAGATTGAATTGTGTCGCGTATAATGAATGCTTAACGAAGCTTGTCTCAATTTTTTTCTTTCTCTCTTTTGATTAATGAGAATAATTTTTTAAAAACTGGTATAATACAGAATGTATGGGAAAATGTTGCTTTCCATCTCTTAGCTGAGGGGAGAAACATGTAATTTGATAGATAAATGGAATAACGATTGACCGATTTTTTTTGGTTTTTGTATTCGTTGATTTTATTTCTCAAAACACCAATTCTTTTTCGTACATAACATAGTTTATACAAAACTCAACGTAATTATAACAAAGCTTTTTTCATCTTTTGATAAACGAACATGAATACAAAATATTAATTGTTCACAATTTCACAATGTATATAGGACTGAAATAATATATCACAATCACATAATAGGAAATTATTACCTCACTCCATAGTTATTTCATCCCCAAAACAAGAACAAGCATTGCCTTTTTTTTAAATAAACTGAATAGGCCTACTTGAAAATAAAAATAAAAATAAGTTTGATATTTCTCAGCATATTATTATACAGAATTGAAATTATGAGTTTTTCTGTTATTAAAACACGATCTACTCCAAAAACCTCTTCCTTCCTTTCCTTCTCTCTAACTCCGTGGACTCACCCCTCCCCTCCCCCTTATGCACTATTACTTGTCAGCCTACCAACGATGAAGTAATATGTTATTTTTTGCCTCAAGATGTAGTACAAAATTGTTGATATGGTGAAGAAAGAGAAATTAATAAGATCTACAAAGAGCAATCACTTGACAAAATCAATGTAAGACAATAACAGATTTGTTAAGGTGTCCTTAAAGAATACTATTTCATTGGCGCTTCAGATGAGTCCTATGGGAGACCTATTTTGGGTACGAGATGAATATTTGTCATATTATAAAGTACTTTTTGCAGTTTCTCTGGCAACTTAGAAAAATACTGTATTTTGTTTTTATTTTGAATACGTATTTTAGTTTGAATTGATTTTTATTAAAACCATACTACTTCCGAAAGAATTTTTTTTGGCAAAAAGCTAGATCCGCCCCTGACATGCATCCATTTGCTTCATCCAACAATGAAAATCTCTTCATATGACCATTAACTAAGGGTTGCTGTATTTTTCATATCACTAAGATTATTAAATTGTAATTTCAAGAAGTTTTTTTTTCTTCAATTTTGGAAGAAACATACTGACAAAAATCGCGACCCCACCCTTTCGCGACCTAAGAAATAAAAAGGGGGAAGCGATTGTGACGGAAGAGAACAGGAGGAGAAGAAATAGAAAAGAAGTTAAAAGTGAAAAGGAGAAGAAAAGGGGAGAGAGAGAGAGAGAGAGAGAGGAGAGAGAAACGAACTGAAGAAAAGAAATGATACCCTAAGCTCTCCCACTCATTCACTCCGTGTATATATGCAGGCGCGGGAGCAGGGAGTGTTAACCCCACCCCCCTCCCCCCCCCCCCCCCAAAAAAAAAAAAAAAATCATTAAAAAAAATGATGCTAATGCATGGTGACCTTAAAAAAGGTGACCTTACCACCCCCCACCCCCCAACCCCCCTTCAAAAAATCCTGCGTACGCCACTGAGCAGCTATAATTAGCTTCTTGCGTCAGAGAGATCTCATCAGGGATTTTTGGAAGGGACATAATATCATGACAATTAACCCAATAATCTGGCTCGCCCCATTACCCACCATTACGCCCCATTGACACTGCTCTTGATCTTTCCGCCACCGATCAACGAGGGTTTTTATTTTGCTACGGCGCCATCTGTGGTATGACCATGTACAACTGCCTGCTGTCGCGTGTTGTTGTTTTACTAGAAACTGGATCTAACATTTATTTTCAAATCCCTCGAAACTAAATAAGGTAAGCGTTGTAGGAACACGGGGAGCGAAGACAGGCTCTAATTACTGAATTACGTATCCATAGTTCCATATTATCGCCTTATATACTATACTGTCTACTGTTGAGATCGAGATTGCACTCGACCGTCCAGACGTCTGTGGTCATTTCAGTCCCACAGGTTCGTTTTTGTGTTGTAAAAAAACATGGAAATGGCTTTAAAAAATTGAATTCTCCAAAACGGGACTCATTGTCATTGATTGAGGCTCAGCTCCCGAAAATTCGCTCAGTGGGGGGGGGGGGGGGGGGGGGGGGGGGGGGAGGAGGGGTAGTGAGCACATTTTTTTTTTTGGCCCTCAAAAATTTGCAAAGTAGCACCCCCCCCCCCCCCCGGCACTCAAAGAGGGGGCCGGGGGGGGGGGGGTGGCATCTCAAAAAAAAGGTTAAATTAACAGGTTTTTACATGTTTTTTTCCCCGCCCCTAAGTTCTGTTTGTTTAAAGTAGATCTAGATCTAGTGCTTGCATTTCCATAATTTGATCAAACAAATTTGTTTTCACTGGCTCCCTGCCGTAGCAACACAAACAGAATTGACAAAAGACTTAGAATTCTAGACTAACTCCGTTTCGTTGACAATCAGCCATGCATGAAGTCTTTCGCCTGTGACTGATTGTTAACGAAACAGAGTTCAGTCTTTTGTTAATTCCGTTTGTTGCTACGGCAGGTAGCCAGTGAAAACGAATTTGTTTAATAAAATTATGGAAATGCAATCACTACTTTAAACAAGCAGAACTTTGTTATTCCTCGCTCATTTTTCCTGATTGAGGTGTCATATGAAAGGGCAGAAACTCAACTTTCTAGAAATGTGATTTTCTCTTTGAAACTCAGATACCGCCCGTCAAATGACTTTTTGGTTTCCTCTTTTCAAATTCATTTTAATCACTCACGCGTGAAATATGCATTATACGAATTGCATCAAATGAAAGAGGAGGATCTAAGCTTTACAAATATGTGTCGTTTATCAATTATAATTGTGATCAAGTTACGATAAAACATCGATAACTCTCGGGTTTCGTTCTTTCTGGGACGCACACTCCCACACTGTATGTTTGGATATGAAATTGATTGTATAACTTCTGTTTCCTTTTCAGAAAGAACCATGGGGAAAATGGGTCAAGGGAAGAAGAAGTCATACTACAGAAAGAGTGCAGCAAGCTTTCGTAAACAAGATCGTATGCTTCAAGCTGGCATGAAGGTTAGTGTCACATCAGTTTGCACTATTAGGAGACCAGAACAAGAAATGCCAATATGTTGTCACAGTATAATCAACGTTTATTTTTGCAGAAGCGTAGTGCGTTACTAAAAAGAATATTATATGGCAGAGAAGGGTGTCCAAATCATACCTCACTACTTCTGTGTTATCACTGTGAAAGCAAATTGAATATCATAACTTTATAGCTATCCAGGTTTGATGTATAAGCAAATCTAAGAAGCATGTTGCATTCGCATTGCCAATTCAGCTATTAGTCGATTTGTTGATGTAGCTGACCCCTTTTTAATCATCATAAACTGCATAACAATTTTTTTTTTAATTGTAAAGCACCTTGAGTAAGTTATTAGATAAGTGCGCTTTATAAGTATCTATTATAAAAAAAAAAAATAATAATTTCTTTGGTAGTCAGGAATTATATGTATCAGTGGTTGATATGTAGAATGTACTATTGAATTTTGTATAAGTCTATCATGTAGTGCATTGCAAATTTTGTTTGACCACTGCTCCAATCAATGTTTAACTTCTCACTTCAATTTAATTCTCGCTACTCCAAATAGCGATTCTGCCGAGATCCGGGGAAAATCCTGAAAACGCGCATTGCATTATGGGATAGCTTTTCGACATTACAGCTTCCTGTGCAGGCGTTCGTGATCACAACCCTCTCTTTCACGGTAGAGTTTAACGGCCTTTTGTGCTAAAGTCACTAATTCTGCCCGAAGCTTTCCATTGCATATTATAATCTGTACAAATTACACTGATTGGCATCGATTTTAGCGTGCGTGAAAACTCTGCACAGCGAACACAGGCGCTAGCGCCAGCGGGATGGGACTCTATACCGGAAGTTGTAGTGACGACCCGAGAGAGTGAAAATTACCTCGTCTCGCGAATTTCGAGATTTTCGTACCTATTTAGGGTAGCGAGAATTGGCTGCTAAGGGAATCATTTAGTGTGTTAACAAGGTCATTGATGCTATGTGAGTCATTTGAACCTAAATTAATCAACCTAGAAATCAAAGGGACCTGTCAGTGATGATAATCATGTTTAAATATGGTATAGACATGTGGAGCCCCTTACATTAGTCATCTAGAGCAAAACATATTTTGGTGATTGGTACAGTTCAAGAGGTCATTGCTGCAAGTGACTGCAAATTAAGCCCAAACCAATCACAGGAGCATGGTGATTTAATCATCCATTTTTCCTTGTTTATCTTCTGTCTAACTCCACAGGGAATCTTAATCACATGCTCAGGGAATGAATCCAAGTGTGTGATAGAGGCTTACAATCTTCTTAATGAATATGCAGATCAGCTGTATGGACCAGAGAAATGTGCCGATGAGAATGAGGCAGTTGGGGGTAAGTGTTTTTGGATTCTTGAACATTTCTCTGAAGGCATGGTCCTGTGTTTTTTTCTTCATTTATTAATTTGATATATATGTATATCTATATTGATATTTATATCTAAGCATGTCAGGAGCTCTCTTAGCGCAGTAGAATGTATACTTAATGTTGGATAGTTTCTGCGCTCTATAAATGTATTATTTATTTTTTTTTTTTTTATTGATGTATTTATTTCATTTTATTATTTTCAATTATTATAATATTTGTACTTGTTTTTTCGTTGAAATATATGTCGATAATTATTCACATTTTCAGTCCTCCCAGCTTTACTTTAAAGAATACTTACTATGATGTCATTCAGGTAGATAATAAATGTAGAGATTACAATCTTGATAACTGATGAATGTATTTCATTCATATACCCGCATGTACTTGTTTATTAGGTGTCTGAATTTTAGATGAAAGACAGACATGGCGAGGCGCGCATTTCTTAGTTTCTTCTTTATTTACACAAGTTGAATGATATTGTAGTTTGACTTCAATTTCAAGATGATATTGTTTTTCACCATTTCATAGGTGAAGATGAGAGTGAGGAGGATATTTCAGACTTACTTGAGAAGGAGGTGAACGCACTGAAGGAGCAGCATCGCAGTAAAGTCAAACGGTTTAGATCATCCCGTACAGGAACTAAGAATGTCATCTTCATTCAAACCACGGTAGGTATTTTTGGACATTTTATTCTTTAAAAGTAACCAAGCCATGTTTTAAAACATGAATGATAGGTTCACTTGGATGCTTTTTAGGGTAGGCCTAGGGTAGTTTATAGAAACTTACCCATTTCTATTGAAGTTCCAAATTTACTGGTCAGCATTTAAAGTGAAATGACACAATGTGTTTAAAGCATTATGCTTGAAAATCACCATTTGTTTCTAGTGCTTATCATCAAATAGCATTATAAGCAATAACCTGGATATATGTAACTAGATTGATTTGCATACCAGTCATTGTAAACCTACAATGTAAGCAGCACCATTTCAATCAAGAGAGCTGCAGAAGATTGTTTAATTGTTGAAAGTCAAGTAGATGTAATATGGCTTGCGGTTGATTCAACAATTGCTCCAGTGCCAACTACTATAGGCTTTATTTCATTCAAAATATAGTGTTCATGTTACAGCCGGAATTGACATTTATGTTTAGGGTTATGTGTAGGTATAGCATTTGGTCCAGGGTTGAAGTTAGGAAATCAGTTTGTGTATATAATTAACTGTTTTTAACCTGTGTCGTTGAAGCTTCTTGTGCTTTGACCATCATGTTTCAATTTTTTAAAAAAGAATATCATTCATATTCTCGGTCAATAACCAAATTCATTCTCATAAAATACAGCTTTGCAACATGTTTCTTTTATGGAAAGTAAAAAGTTCATTCTCTAAAAAATCTGTGAGAAATACTGTGCAAAACATATGGAACACTCTATCTCAAGTCATACGCTTACCGTATGTAAAAACAGTTCAATGTTTAAGAAACAAATGAAACTGACCTTGTATTTCGAGTACCATTGAATTCACCTCCCAAACCTTTTTACTTCTTCCAATTTTACATTATTTCACACATGTTTTTGTAATTGTTTGTTTTTATATTGTGTTTATCACTGTTTTTTGTGATATCTTTAACTTATATATACTCAGGAATAGAAATTACAGTATTCAGGAGAACTTTTTAAAACAAGGCCACCATGGGCTTTTCCTTTGTTCTCCTACCGTATTTCATTTGAAGTTAATTGTATTCTCTGCCTTAGTATATATATATATATATATACTTATATGTTTATTTGCTTTTGCTGTGTTTTTTATAAAAATGAAATGAATGATGGATCGAACGAATGAACAAATGTTTTTCACGTTTGAATAATTTACCTATGTTTCAGGGCGTTGACCCGCATAACCTGATGCATCACATCTTAGCGGACCTGGAGAAGACCAAGGTGCAGAAGACCAGAAACATCCAGAGAATGCTTCCAGTCTCTCATTCCTGTAAATCCTTTGAGGATAAGATTGAGAAGACGGCACAAGAAATGATTTTTCCTGTCTTTCTTGCTGCTGATGTGCCAGATTCTACCTTCTGCATCATGTTTAAAGCAAGGAATAACAATAAAGTGAGAATATTTCTGATGCCTTGGTCATCTATTTTTAGTATCAATTGAAAATTAAGCACAAAGAAGGGGAATTTTTAAACATATGGAAGATTTATATGAAAACAAACCCTTAATTGTATGTTATAGACCTGACTTCTTTTAAAAAACATCTGAAAACATGCCTCTGCAACTACTCTTAATTTGATCATAAATCAAGGGAAAGGGGCTTGTATCCTTTGGAAAAGGTGCTTTGAAAATGCAATTATAATCAGTTTTTTTTAATCAGTTTTATTTTTGCAGAATTACTAGTATGGAGTATTATGTTAAATATTATACAGATATTGACTGGCAGGGGGTGTAATATAACATTTTTTGGACCTCCCTTCCGGTCCGAAGAATTTTATTTACCCCTGCCAGTCAATATCTGTTATATTAGATAGGCTTGGTTTGAAAATTTAGGGGGGTGTCCTTTTTCTTTTTCCCTGAATTTTTTTTTTCTTTTTTCTTTTTTAGAGTAAAAACCAAATTTTGGAAAAAATTGAGAGAATAAAAAAATATTTCAAGATAATTTGAGAAAAAATAATATCTTTAAACAAAAAAAAAGATCTAATTAAAAGAAACGATTTTGGGGGAAGAAAAAAAATGTGGAAAAAATAATAACAATGGAGGAAAAAAAAAATTGAAAAAATAAAAAATTGAACCTCGGTATTGGTGTAATTTGTGTAATTGGTGACATACATTCCTCAAGAGGGCGACATGCATTGATAAAAAATATATTCATTTCATCAGCTGGTGAATATAACCCTGGAAAGTGACCAGCCAGGAAAATATAACAATTACAATCGTCGCAATTGATATCACGTGACGAGCTCTCGACCAATCAAAACTCGGTATCTGTCTAAGCTATCTAATATAGATAATTGTTTATTGCAAATTAATGGGTCTTACTTTTGTGTTGCTCTTTGTGATCATGACCATTATTGGTATGGACTTCAAAATAAAACTGAATTAATATGTATTACATGTCTGTTTAAATCCTTCTTTTCCTTTGTATGGTATATCACTCATTATGTATGATGTGATATTCATATTCAATTCAATTCAAATTCAAAGTTTATTTAATATCATGTTGCTTTGACAATTATTTTCATTTCTATTTCTCGTGAATAGATCAAGAAAGAGCGCATCGTTGAGCTGCTTGCCCCGCTAGTACTGCAAGGAAGCTCCCACATACACAAGGTAGACTTTGATTCTCCAGACTACACTGTAATGGTGGATGTCCTGGGTGGTGTATGTTGCCTATCTATTCTCAAGGACTACAACAGATACAAGAAGTACAACCTCCATCTCGTTGCCAGTAGCGATGATGCTGTGACGTCAGGAGAAGGGAAGAGAAAGAGGACAGAAGGGGAAGGAAAAGAGGAGGAGGAGAGAGAGGAGGTTGCAAAGAAGTTAAGAGTAGGAGAGTCAGAAGAAGTCAGCGGGGCAGATATGTCTTCAGAAGAATCTTGTCAAGCTGATGAAGAAGGTGCAGGACCATCGGCATCATCAGAACCATCAGAACCATTGCTGTCAGAGTCAGCTCCTGCCACAAGAACTTTGATAAACTCGTCTTATGAAAATCAGGAGGATTCTACGACTTCTAACATAACTTCGTCATCACAACCATCAACCGTGACAAACTGTGCAGATAATGAAGTTGTTGCAAGTGACTCTTAGTATTTATGGAAGTAACAGGTTTTCTCTTAAAGGAGACTCAGTGATCAGATAAGCTGATAAGGTCAACAATATCTATTTGATGAGAGAGGTTTGAAAAGCATTGTTTTGTACTTGATGCATTTAGCTTTTTCCATGTTAAAGGTACTACAGTATGTCCCATTTGCAGGCCCAAGAAATAAAAAGGTTAAATTCTAAAGGCATTTGAAAGACAATACCAACTTCCCTCAAATGAAAGGGCTTGAAAATGGCTTTTAGTGGGAAATTAACGGCCATTAGTTGTCGAATCGACGTAAGTGATTGTAATCACCTAATAATAGTCTGATTTTCAGACCATTTTACCTATCGGCCGTACGTTTTGTGCTGCACAAAGATTCAATCAGTTTAATTTTGGCCATTACAAGTAGTGGGTTATTGATGTAGACAAATGCTCATGTACCTGTTACAGCTGATTTTATGTATGTTACTACCAAAGAAAAAAATATATCAGTAAGTCTTAGTCACTCAATAGTGTCTGACAGTGAAGTCTAGAAGGTTAAACGGTTTCCTTGCATAATTTGAATACTAGGTTACTGCTTATGTTTAAATTTCACAGATAGGACATACAGTACATGACATATTCATAATTCCTGCAAAGTTCTACAGAATTTGATGTTGGCTGCAAAAGGGGCACAGTATCTTTAATATGTTGTTTGATATTAGTTATTTCTGCCACATCTGTTGCGAGCAATAATGATATTCCTGGCGTAAAATTTAAGTCCCACTTTCGCACGTTCTACATTTCCAGTAACCTTCCAATGACATTAATTCTATGGATCATTGGTTATGGTGTTACGGCATCATCATGGTGTCATCTGTAATTGTAAATTGTGGGGACAGTTTATAAGTGGTCGGAATTACTTGTAAGTGGTGGTAACGGTGGTAATACAAATTCTTTTTCTTATTTCCTCTTCCGGGCATCGTGTATGATTTGATGAAGATGATTTAACAGAATTCAACAATCTGCCAGACTACTTCATAAAGCCGACGAATGTCAAAACAAGATTCCATTGTATCTCCTAAAATGTATTATATTGTGTCAAGTATGCAGGCAATGCAGCCAACTGGAAGTTGGTTATGGTCTGATAAAAACAATAAAATGTCTTATGTTTATAACACATGCAGTTTTTTATTTTATTCACTGACCTACAATATGTGCTTCAATACATTTTGCGTTTATTTTTTATTTGCTTACACTGTACTTAACATAGGACTATATTCAAGCCCAAATTTGAAAGCTCATAAAATAAAGTGAAATACATTCTATTGGTAAATTGGTAAAGGGCAATCGACCTTTGTTATATCTTCATTGGCATTGATGCAGAAATATAAGAGAAACAAAAATGCAGAAGATTGACATGAATCAGGCCAATACTGAGGGAGTCATGAAAGTTTAAAATATGAGATCACTAAATTCATGTGAATCTCAGTTTGGCAATTTGTCTCACTGGATTGTGATGTAGTCATAGGGCAACTCTCCCGTTCGTCATGTACATATAAAATGCCTTCTCCCTTAGAGCACTAGCTACTCGGAATATATTATGGACAGCACACTGTTACAGGTCCCCAAAGAAAAGAGAAGAAAAAATTAATCCTTTTTGAAAAGTTGACATTTCAATTATTTTATGTTTTGAAATAAATGGGAAAGTAGTTCGGCAATGCGTCGCAGTGACATTTCCGATTCTGCAGCCAATGTGAAGTGATTACAACTTTTGAAAATTCATAAATATTTGATTGCTTGTCATCTTTTAACCCTACGTTAACTGGGGGGGGGGGGTCAAACTCTGTTTGTTGCTACTGCAGGCAGCCAGTGAAAACGAAGTCGTTGGATCAACTTATGGAAATGCAAGCATTTTTTTAAACAAAAGAACTTTGTTATTCCTGGCTCATTTTTCCTGATTGAGGTGTCATATCATATGAAAAAACAGAAATTGAACTTTCTAGAAATGTGATTTTCTCCTTGAAATTCAGATACCGCCCGCCAAATGAGTTTTTGGTTTCCTCTCTTCAAATTGCTTGTAATCACTCATGCGTGAAATATGCATCATATGAGTTGCGTCAAATGAAAGAGGAGGATCTAAGCTTACCAAACATGTGTCATTTATTAATTATAATTGTGATTAAGTTATGATAAAACATCGATAGTTCTCGGTTTTGTTTTTTCTGGGACGCACTGTAGAGTAATTTTTGTCCAGTTAAATCATGAAAAATTGAATTTTTATAAACTATTTATATCAAATAATTATGAATATACCATATTCAGAAAATAGTAGCAATTCTTCAAAGTTCATAAAATATTTTGTGAAATGTCATGCAATATGATTAAAATCGTATAATACGGGCAATAGCATGGGGAAATCAAGTTTTGGGGGATAAAAAGGGAAATCAATGGGATTAAACTATATAAAGCAATTGATAAATAGTGAGGACATGACGTCACAAACTGATAACCAAATTGGCAATATGTGTAGTGATTGTCATTGTTCCAGAGTTTTACATACTTTTTCAAAAATCCATAACTTTCTTATTGGTTATCCGATTTTGCTCAAACTTTGTGAGATTGGTTTGTCTGATTTGTCTGCTTTCATTGAAAGTTATTTTTCGAGTGGAATTGTCCTTTAAGTACTTTCTTTCACAGGTATTGGCAATTAACTTGGGAATTCTATTTAACATAACAGATATGAAGTCAATTCGAGAACTAAGTTCCTTATCGTGTAGCGCAACAAAACATTGGTCCTCCCCTACTCCAGCGAGTAATGCCATTGTATTTTTTGGAGTGGACTTGTACTTTAATACTTACCCCCACCTCTATCCCTCTCCGTATACTTTTTTTAAAGTAATGCTTACCTCTCTCCTTTTGCCCCGGTTCTTTCTGTCTCTCTCTGTCTCTCTCATAATTTCTGTTTTTTTCTCCCCCTTGCCTCTCTCTCTCACTGTCTCTGTCTCTCTACCTCTCTCGGTATATGTCACTTCTGCGCCATGTCTCTTTGTATTTAATGACTGTTTATTTCCCTATTCGTTTGACTTTATATACCTATCTGTCTCTGTTTATGTCTTTATGCATCTATCTTTCTGTCTGTCTGTCACTATTGCTTTCCTCTCTACATGCGATGCCTTGCACCTGACTCAGTCTGACTTAATCTTGTACTCTATCTTGCTGTCTGCCATGTATAATCCATGTTTGTAAATAACCTTACTTTTGCCTTGGAAGAAAAAAAACACCTCCGTTTCGCGTTATGTCTTATATCTAGACAGGCAGACAAGGAGAGGTATAAGATATAACCAAATATGATTTCAGCATCAACACTTATTTTCTCTTCCATTTTCCCATTTTTGTCTGATTTTTTTCTTCTGTCCGTCTCTCTTACTGCATGTATCCTCGTTTCTGTGGCTGCCTGTATGTGTTTTCATCTCGCTCCTTTCTCCTGTTCCTCTCTTGTTCTTTTCCCGTCCATCTCTCTCATTGCCTCACGATTATTCATTCTCTCCTCGCTTATCCTCCTCGCCGCTAATTCTTTCTCCCTCCTCTCTCTCTCTCTCTCTCTCTCTCTCTCTCTCTCTCTCTCTCTCTCTCTCACTCCTCACGTTCCTCATTTGTACAGAATATACACATACAATCGGCAATCGTAGAAATAGTTAATAACTCAGACTAGACTTGCATGTACATGTTTCATTTACATTTATTCTCTTAAAGTTTACATGAAAAATGCGTGCGTGATGCACGAACCTATTTTGTGTGTGCAAAAACAAATGTATCAATTCTAAATTTAAATCGAACAAAGGAACATTATTATTTGTGCATATCGAACCCCCCCCCCCCCCCCCAACAAAAACAAAAAAAAATACCCGATGACATGCGATTGTTAATTACTTAAGCTTGACTGAAATGAATAACATTTAGGAACAAAAGGGTATTTCAGCTTTCGAGAGCCAAGACGATTTCGTGCTCTTATCGATTTGATAGACCACGCCCTTCTGGCCCCGGTAGACGGTTCACGATAATGCCAAATAGTAATTTAAGTAATTTTGTATAAATTAAGCAATTTAAGTGATTAAAGTAATTTAAGTATAACAAAATGTATAAGTAAGATATGTTTTACATGCAAAAGTAAGATCCAATTGTCTGCCTTCTCATTATTTTTGTTTACCCCCCCCCCCTCCCCGGAAAAGCAATAGATAAAGACAGTGTATTTCAATGAGTGAGTTATGACGACCACCCCCTCCCCCCCCCCCCCCCTCCCCGCCCGCCCGCCCAAAGTTGGCGCCGTAATCTTTACTACGTCGATGCGATTCTCAACTGCAGAACTGAGATAACGTTATGACGGATGTATAGAATTCATCAAACTTAAGAAAGAAAGTAAGGAAGAAAGAGAGAAAGAAAGATAGAAAGGAAGGAAAAGAGAAAGAAAATAACAACACGATTGTACGATCTTACATAAACCAGAAAAAAATGAAGGTTCGCTTACGTCATAATATGTAGGCTTATACAAGAAAGGTCGATATTACAGAGAGCTGGCCTTCTTCCCTCGTACCTGCACTGTCCATTGCCCTCCTGAGACTAGGCCTCCAGACTCCTTTCCTTGATATCATTAAGAATTCACATCCAGGGTATAGCCAAGCTAGCTGGAGCAAACAAGCATAGCCTTGCTCTACATGTAATGCCTGCTTGATTGTCAATTTCTTGAGAGTTGTATCCAGCTAGCCTAAAGCCAGGTATAGAGTACTTTCAGGGGCACTTCTAGGAGCACTAATGGTCCATAAGATAAAGTCTCTTTCGTGATCATTAATGAATTATTAATAACCTTGTTCCCAGAACACGCATTCTTTTCGTCAATCCTCTTTTCTCTAAATCACGGATTTACAACAACCAACCAAATGAGAGGAAGAAATAAATAAAAGCCAGTCTTGTTAAAGTGTGGCAAGCACTCCTGGAATGATTCCTTGAATAACCCGTCCAATACTGTTTTATTCACTTTTGTTTGAAATATAAATACATTTTTTAACGAGATCTAGTGTAGGCATCATATCGTAAGCTTTGTCTTTGGTAATTAAAGAAAAGAAATCCTAACGGGGTCATTAAAAGGGGAACTTGACTCTTGTTCCCGCCCTAAGTAAAAATCAGCCACCTGACTTTATTTCGGATTGTATTTATTTTTAATTGAGCCCCTTCTTCTTCTAAATCCCGATCCGCCCTTGTACAGAGAATGTCTGCCCTATGTAAATTTCTGTGATAAAAGATGAATTTATTTCGCTTCAAATCGAAAGCTAAGTAAGTTAATTAGTCTGCGCATGTGGCCTTAAAAGAAAAGGAAAGACAAAAAAAACTGCCTTAAATATTAGCATGATGTCTTCTTCCAGTTCTGGCAAGTTTGTGTGATTTTTAAACGCTATATACAGTCGCATGATTGTCATTGTTATGTACTGGTTCATACAAATTCAGGAGTACTCAAGAAAATACCATTAATTTGATGGGGTAATTTGGGTGTAGGTGAATATAAATCAACAATCCCCACTTCGTGTAATCGCCATTTAACTTGATAGCCTCATCAGTATTCATAGTTTTCATACCGCTCTTCTTGAAAGACCGCAATTATGGTAACCCCAACATTGCCAGGTACTTAATGGCCAGGTTAATGATCAAGAGCTACATGATAACGGAGGTTAGTATACATCTGCGGCTGTATCAGGGGGGGGGGGGGTAGAAAACCCGATCGGGGTATGGGCATGTGCCCTTGTATCCGCCACTACGAAGGAAGCTTATCTGCATTATTTTTTGATAAACTTCATAACGTCCGTTTTATATACCAAAAGCAGGCAACATTCTTTTAGAACTGATAAAGAATAAAGTAACCCGTCATTAATATTGGACAATACAAGTGTACGTACATCAACAGTTAATTGTGCTGACAAATTCAAGCTACATGACTACGTAGAAAACTTCTGAGTTTTTGTTGCTAAATAGGTGTTGTGGTCCAGTTGATATGTCATTGGACTGTTGACAACAAGATATACAGATAACAAGTCTACCTTTTCCATATAAACAATACATAAATACCTTATGGAATAGGCGAATAGTGAAAAAGTGTATAACCTCTAATTCCTTTAAAGCCCCCTTACAGTGTTCGGAGCCCCAAATTCGCCACAAATTAGATGGCAAAATTTCACTTAAATTGTTTCATTATGTGAAAGAGGGTGTTTAAGACACAATTCTGCGAAGATTTCTCCCAAAAGTGTGTTTGAAGGCAAATGTGGATAAAAAGAATACATAATTTGGGTTTTCCGTTGTATACGAAAAAACGTAAATTTTGTATTCTTTCATCAATATCGACTTCAAACACATTTCTTTTGAAAATCCTTGCAGAAATGTGTCTTAAATGACCAATAAATGACATCCTCTTTCACATTATGATACAATTTAAGTGAAAATTTGCCTTCAAATTGGGCTCCCAATACTTTCATGTAGAAACGCTTCTGTTTAATTCTTAATAATTGCTACATGCGCCTTGAGCATTCCACACGGTGGATTTGGCGCTATATTGAGTTACATTTATCATTATTATTATTCTAATAGCCGGTATAATAATTTTCAAAGCTCTTTGGCGGTGCATAAATAGGGATGATAATCACAACATGACCATGCTGACATGCGCCAAAACAGAATATTATGAATGAATTATTAATGTATATTCTGACACTTTATTTGAGAGTTAAAAAATGCTGACGATCCAAGAGTCCGACAGCCAACAATACCGGATCTTTTGGCAACTTCTTTTGAGTTTTACGAGATTGATGTTGTGCATGGGCCTCGAGTGCTGTCGGTCTGAGAATGCACCCAAATCACGTGAGCTTCATTCAAACATGTAAAACATAATAATGTGACAGATCAGTGTACCAATTCATCGTTCGCGAACTATGACTGCATGGGGACAACGTCACACCCCATCATCACACGAATTACTTAATTCTGTCAGTTGAAAGCAGAATTGATTTAAGCCTTGTGATCTAGAACTACGTACAAAAATAGCGATGAACATCTGGACGGCTGGTTGGACATACATCACACAGACGATGAAGATAAAGGCAAGAGAAGGAAGGAGCACATCATGGTGATGGATCTAGGTTGGTAGTGTCGTGCCAAGCCAGGGATGGCCGCATAATCTATTCTCTGCATAGAAGAAAAAAGAGGAGGAGAGAGAAGGTGAGATGTGTTATTAGCCTATTTTTGTTATAACATCAGGCCTACGGAGGGAAGAGAGAGCAAGAAAGGGAGAGAGAAAGAAAGAAAGAAAGAGAGAGAGAGAGAGAGGAAGAGAGAGCATACACCTGTTGCATACAACACACAAACACACATACGGTGTAAATCTAGGAAACACACTCACGCACTCACCCTCATAGTCATAATTATACGCGCATACACAAATTGTGATTGCGTTGGAAAACGAATTAGAAAGAGATGGTAGAAGAGGGAATGAGAGAGATATAATATACATATTATATATATAGAGAGAGAGAGAGAGAGAGAGAGAGAGGAAGAGAGAGAGAGAGAGAGAAGGAGAAGGAGAGAGAGAGAGAGACAAACAGACAGAGAGAGAGGAAGAGATAGAGAGAGAGAGAGAGAGAGAGAGAGAGAGAGAGAGAAGGATTTGAAGAGAAATGAATGGAAATATCATATCCTGACGAGAGGAAAATAACTGAGCCACATAGAAAAGAAGAAAGAAAAAAGTGAAAGAAGAATAATTATTCAAACTAATCCTTATATTCTGAAAGCCTGACAGTCTTTGTCACCGCCCAATCCATAATCCTTGGCCAGTGCTTTCTTCTACAAGCGATCCATCAATAGAAAGCGAGAGATTACAGGCATCGGGAATCCTTCTGAAATGTCAAAGATTTACCACCTAATCTTCTGTCAAGATACGATGAATAAAGTCCAAACGTATAAATACATAATGCCATGTCACATTAGAAGCTCCTGAATATTATTCTGACAATACAAATGGGCTACATATAGGCCATCGATGCCTGTAATAACCTTAGAAGCAAATAATATTGGCCTACATTCTTCTTTCACGCATTAGTGAGGTTCATAATTTGCAATAATAATATGATTGTTATTTGGTTGGGGGGCATCGTTTCCAGTGGAATAAGGCAAATAGTAATGCCAACCTTAATAATTATTGCAATGGTTAGAGACAATTTAGATTTATAGTAGTTCGATGATCCTAAGGTTTGTCATCACATTTTTAAGTATCATATGAAAAGTAGGAAAGTATTATAACAGATATAGTCATCTGTGTTCAATGTGGTATTGTGGAAAATTTACGTATTTTTCTTTTATCAGAAATATACAGTGAAATTAATTGAAAGTGAAGGGCTTATTGAGAAACAGACAAATAGGGCTACTCATCCAGAGTAGATGTGAGACTATTTCATGATTCGAATTAGAAAATACAGAAGGTTTCATTTCCGATTTTGATACGATTTGAAAAATATACAATTATTACAAAGCCAATATGCGATCACGTGGTTTTGATTGATTAAAAGAAATATATTTTCATGGTTTCTCACCTTCCCGCAGTTTAGTTCAACACTATCAAAATGTTCACTTGCCCAATATGCTTGTTTATTATTGAATTATCGACTGATTTTGCTTGTTGGTTTGTTAAGGATTGTATTCCTCTCTGTAATGTAATTACTTGTTAAATGTCCCCGTGGTAACGAGATAACCCTGGTTAAGTAATAAGATTGAATGAACAAAATAATGACTGCCTGACTGGCTGAATGAATAAATAAATAGAATTAAATATATTATTAACAAATATATATTATTCTGTTCTTTTGACTCTGTTCAACGACTGCACACTTTTCAGTCTACGTGTATCTATTTTCTGTTCATAACCCAGATTTAGAACAGGTTGATTCAAACCTTTTTCTATTGCATTTAGAATAACGAATTTGCTTCGTACGTTTGGAGCGCAGTTATATTCACAGATCCACCCAGTGTCTGCATTTTCCATAACCTGATTTACTCAGAAGGTTATAGTAGCCCAATTAGTGTCGCCATCCATTTAAACATAAACAAAACAACGAGGGGGTGGTGAGGAGGTTTGCCGTAGCATATAACGGACCTTAACTTTTAAAAAAGGGTTAACATCCCATTTACTGCAGCTACAACCATGCACCATGCAACGTTATTAAGCGGCCCATTCACAAACACACAACATTAAATTTTAGTGAGATTTGTATCGCGATTAAAATATTACCTTTTTTGCCACCATTCTTACTCAGGAAAAAAAATCTCACTTCTCGACGAGCGCTGATATCTGCGTTTGCTCACACTCGACCAAACAATCGCGAGTATTAAAAAAAACAAATTCTTTTAGCATGATTCTGATCGCGATCATGATCTCACCTTTTAGTGAGATTTTTAGGTTCACACACAGAAAAAAAAAGAGATTCTATAATCGCGATTCGAAAAGCGATATTTGAATCTCACTAATTCTTTGTGTGTGCATCCCGCTGTTATCGTATTGATTAATTTAATTAGAGATTATTTAATAAAGATCTAGGAAGATAATAAACTATCTTACAAGAGTAAACTATATTGTCACAATCATTTCATGAAAGAGGTAAGAAAAATTGTTCCAAATTCATGGGCAACATGCTCTCCTTTGGAGAAAGGTCGATCACGGATAAAGAGATTTTCGTCTCAATCTCAGATACGACCTTGGCCATTGTGCTTTGAAGCCAAAGAAACTGTTTGATCAAATTACACACAATTGAGTAGTCATACTCGTGGCATCTGCTGTCCATGCCAATCGAGATTCCCAAAGGGAATAGAAAATAGAACATCATTCTACGCGATAAGTTAGTAGACCTGCAAATCACCATCACTATAATGATGTCCTTGTAAGATTGTATATATTTTTTTTCTTTTCGTTACTCTCATAAGAAGAATTTTTTAACGCTGTTATCTAAATCATGCGCTACGAAAAGAAGCAAATTTAATTAACATAAATAATCAAATCGTGTCGCAGTTAATCGCTGTGATGGTTTAATGATATACCCCCAGAACTGTTTATTACTATTTTATCCTTTTTTGTTTTTAGAATTTCTCTAAATAAGGGTAAAATCGTGGAATTCGTGGATTTAATTTTGTCACAATATACCCTATCGTTTTCTCATGTGCCATAATGCATGTTTACATCCTTCTGATCTATGACGTGATTGCTGTACTACTATTTTAAAACATCAACCGTGTTTTCTAGCGAATTTGATGAGCTTCCCTGCAAAATAAGTCACTCTGTATAATATGCTCAATTTCACAATCAAAAAGAAAATTTAACCCACTTTCTTCAAATGAAAATAATCTTTACCTCCGGTGAGAGTGATCGACCAGAAAATCATGTTTATGGAAATATCGATCAGAAATATGGGTTAAACTGGAACTCCTACTACTAGGTAAGCTGGAAAAAAATCAAGTTGTGCAAGAGTAATATTATACGCGACATGAAAACGGCCATAACAGGTCAAGTGAAAACAAGAAAATAAACTTTGCAGATAATTGCCACATATTACACGTGGCGTATCTAGGACAGTTTTTCATATACATAAAAATATCTGGGCTTTGACAATTGAGATAAAAATTGCATTCGACATGCCTTCCGGATATTATCACTATATAGATTGGAAATTTCCTGCATGTTTTTAATATAAATTAAACACTTTTAATTCTAATAGGATGATAAATAGCGTTAATAAAACACTGATATTAGGTATATGTCACTTAAAAAAGGAAAAGGTTCACAAGGGAAAAATGCAATTTCGAATTTTAAACATCGTTCATATTGCATAATCACGGTAAATTACACGATGATACTTTTCTATACCAAATAAAAACTTAATTCCTTCTCCTCAGAAAATGTTGAGGAGTCAAAAGGACACTGGTATCCTCCTTTCAACAATAAAATATTTAACTGGGCCCTTAAAACAAAGATTATCAATCAAATGCAAATGGTAATGGCCAGTTAATTATGAACCAATCTTACCGCAATCAGAATCGTTATTTCAAATTTGCAATCATTGACTGCAAACCTTTGTATGACGTGGCCCAGATCTGGTCAAACCAATGTAGTCAAACCAGTATTCGATATTGGATCTTAAACACAAAAGGAAATGTATATAAAACAAAACAAAAAAATCATCAAGACGCTTCAAAAGCATCAAGAGTGTTGCTGCCATGTTGGAATAAATTGACGTATGTCTATTCCTGTAGGAGATTATAAACACCCGTCTTGGCTTTTAAGCGGATCCTCACATGAGAATCTACCTCCCTTAAGTATTTTCTGTATTGAGTGACCAATTGCAAGGAATATACTTGATAAGATGGACGGACATTTCACAGAAGTATTGGAATCAACACAGAAGAAAAGATAGGCCTATAAGACGCTTTTAGTTTCACGTGGTGGGAGGAAACACTGACGTCCAGTATATACCTATTCAAAAACATGTCAGATAAACCTTCACTCCCGACCCACATCTGAATAATAGAAGCCGTATCTCTGGAATTACCAGTATAGAGAAGAGATGTTTTCCGTCTCTTTGTGATCTTTAAAAAGCACACTAAAGCTATCAAGTGCATTCGGAGTTTTCATGAATATTACTGTATCGGGAGGACAGAGTCGGATGCGTGAAAATCAAAGAAGGGTAGAAATAACAAATCCTTCATCTATATATAGAGCCGATGTGTAAAAGGAGTGACAGAGGATTGATGGGGAAGAGGGTACATTAGCGAATAAAAAAGGTTACATAAATTCAGACAATCCACTGCTCCCATGACAATACGGTGTAGTAAAGTAGAGTTATAAATTAGATATGGAAGTCAACAATAAAAGTGTGGAGACAGCACATTTAGAGAACGAGACAAAATAAGGGGGCGAAATAAACCTATACGTAAAATGGAGGAACATAAATGTAGATAGACGATAAAGAGCTATTGAGAAGGAGAGATAGATAGACAGAGAAATAGAGTGAGAGAGAGTATGCGTGAAATAGGAGGGGAAAACGAAGAGGAAGGAGGTATAGAATTATTTTCAAAATAGATCACACAGACAAATGAGGGAGAAGAGAAGGAGAGGGGAGAAGGGAGAGAGAGAGAGAGAGGGTGAGAGAGAGTGAGATAGAGAGAGATAGAGAGGGAGAGAGAGAGAGAGAGTGAGATAGAGAGAGATAGAGAGGGAGAGAGAGAGAGAGGGGGAGAGAGAGAGAGGGAGGGAGAGAGAGGGAGAGAGAGAGGGGGAGAGATAGAGAGGATTGTATAATGAAATGCAAAAGGTTTGAAGAGAGATAAAAACCAATGCAGTCCATGTTCATGTAATATGGGAATGCTAATAAGTAATTGAAATCTCATGCATCTTCAGGAGAGATTGAATTTATAACGCATCAGGTGTACAGGTGGATTGAATGAATAATGAGGAATATAGAGTGAGTGATACCAGAGACAGAGAAACGCCACAAGAAGACTTTCCTTTCAATAAGTGCATCTGCAGAAAAGGATATTATGATCTCCAATAGCTACTTCGGCACATGACAGTTCTCCCCGAAATAAGACAAATCTCTAACAGACCATTTTCGTAACGTAATTAAAAGCAAAATCATAAGTATTTGTTAAGTGACACGATTAAAATCATTTGATTATTAACATGTCAATAGTCAGAATGCAACTTGAGTACATAATAATTTATTTGTTGCTAGACAGGACAAACATCAAGGCTTACCATACATCAGAGTGTATGTAATTTGTATTCTGACTGTTTAAATACAGTTATTCGTCACAGGTAAATGAAATAATTTGTGGTAATTAATAAAGACTTATTCATTGAATTTGATTGCATGACGAAGATGGTCTATTGGTGAATATAGGTTACCAGATGATAGAAATTGCTTATAACAGAAGAAGTACATAAGGCAGGGAGAAGAGATTGTGCAACAGATCTTCCATAATAAATTCTAGCAGAGCCGCACAAAACCAGGACAACGAGTTTATTGTCATGTTGGTTGCATGGATTTTATTGAACTCTGAATTGCTATTATGTAAGTACGGTTCACTCAATGTAGGGGTTGATTTGCAAGGGAGTTTTAGCTTCAGGGATAAGGATGTAAAACCTGTTTAATGACTGTTGCCATGAAGACTTGAAGCTGGTTATACAGGTTCAACGTAATGGTGCATTAAAAAAAATAGCCCTTATTCCTTTTGCATGCTCATGATCAGGACCATCATCATTATGATCATCCTCATCATCTTATCATCATCATCATCTTCATTATCATCATCATTATCATCATCATCATCATTATCATCTTCATCATCATCATCATCATCATCATCATCATCATCATCATCATCATCATCATTAATTTTTCATGCGTTATGTTGTGCTAAATAAACTCTTTTTGTTTATCAACAAGTTTCATAATTATCGTCGTGACCATCCAGCTGCTTTAGTTTTATTTCTGTGGGTGTGTGTGTGTGTATGTGTGTCTGTGATAACATTTACTTTTGTAAAATTATGAAGGGATAAATTATAAGAATGTATTAGCAAGACATGAGGGAATGGAAACAAGGAGAACACAACAATGAGAAAGAGAAAGTGAGAGAAGAGCTAAAAGAGAGGAAGGAAGAGAGAAAGAGTTAGATAGATATGGAAGTGGCAAACGGGCGATACTAATGTTAAGAGAAGTTTGAATATAAAGGTATAAATGTGAACAGGGTAGATAATTAACACGATTACACAAGGGGTGTCGCAGGAAAAGAGGTGATTACGATCTAATGATGATGATATTGTATAAGTGTAAAGATTGTGGCTTAACTTACCAACTTCAGCTAAATAAACTGCCACTTTGCCATGCCCATGCTTCTTGGCAAATAATCTTGCAGTGTGTCCCTTCTTGGTCTGGAGACCCGGGGTGGCATCTGCTTCCTCTACAAACCACTTCACTGCTTTCAGGTATCCATTAGAGGCCGCATAGTGGAGGGGGCTGCGACCTGATTCAAGAGATAATTATTATCATTATAATATCACAATAAACCAGTTCGGATATACAATGTGCACAAGAACATGAGCAAATTAGTGGCATTTGTACCAAATTCGAAAAAAACCTACAGAAAGACTAGATAGGTCCTCATGAAAGTACAATCATCAATATTCATTTGCGCACCCTCGCATTGCAGCGTTGCGTTTCATTTCCAAAATACACTGAAGTGACAGTATTCTTTTCAAAAGGGGCAAACAAAAGTAATTTATACACATCTCCATCTTCTTAGGGAGTGATTTTTTTCTCCAAATAAAGATATTGGCACCTTTCCATGTTTAAAAGATCAGTGGATACAATTATTTGGGGTCCCGTTGTATGCATGCAAACATAAAGGCCCGAATTCACAAACCAAGGTTTGAGCTCAGACCAAGGTTTGAGCTCAAACCTCCTTTTGTTTCGCCAAAACTCCTTTTGTTCTTTACAAACCAGGTTTGTAAAAAAACGCGTAAAACGCGTCATATGACGTACGAAAACCAAGGTTTGTCGACAAACCTCCTTTGTGAATTCGGGCCCATATGTGCAGCTGGGTAGAATGCAAACTGTAAAACCTGTACTGATGGGACTGTTCTAGAAAGATATACCCAAGAGACAGGTGAGGCAAACAAGCTACATGCTACAAGTCTGTACTTTCTTTAAGTGTATACATGTTTAACATCAGCCATCAGAGGAGGAAATAACAAGCCAGTCCGATTGCTGATCAAAGCACTCTTGAATGAGGTACTATAGCTGTCAGTAAGTCTCTCACACATCTCACTGATCAACCCACAACACTAATTCACTCAATCAATATTGTAGGACATTGTAGGACATGTAACAGTAATACAAGGACTAATAATATTCATTTAATGTATACACATCACTGTTGATCAAAGCGGTGGCTGTCAACAATATTTTCCCCGAAAGGAGAAAGAAAGAAACAAAGAAAGAAAGAATGAAATATTGATTTGGTATATTATCATAATAATGCCAAACTTGAGAAAATCGTGTGATAAAAATTATAAAATAAATTGGTATAGTTTTCCCCGTGTTACCTTTGCAGTTTTTATGATTAAATGAATCTTCAGGTTATCGTCCTGAAGAAATAGCCTTTTTTCGTCTTTATTTTTCAGAGTAATCAATTCTTATATGGAAATGTATGTGTTTCGGAATGAAGAATCTTTGGAAGAACGATCTTCCCTCACTTGTTCTACCCGCCTGCCAGGGTATAAACACACAGTCAGTTAGAATCCATCATATTGCAAGTCTAATCGGTTTGATTCAAAATGAATATTACATAGATATTGTTCAACATTAAAACAAAGGAATTATTGTTATCTGGCGACAGTATTGCTGATACCATGCATGTAAGGTCTGAAAACACATTTGATGTGAGTATGAAAGAGAGAGAGAGAGAGAGAGAGAGGGAGGGGTTATATATTAACTTTACATACGACAAAGAAATAGAGTACAGTAACCATACACGCGTATGAATATTTGATGGGGATTGAAAAAAATTCTCCTGCGTCATCTAGCCCTTCAAAGAAAGCACAATCTACTCATTAGAAGTGAGGGATAAAAGAAGAAAGTACGTAACACTTCTCTCGCTGAAAGCATTTCACGTATAATTGCACTCAACGCAAGCGATAAAGTGCGGTTCTACGGATGTCAATAACCTCACAAAGTATAGCCTGTAGCAGATACACTTGTAATTTTTTTTTCTTGTAGTTAAAAACATGGATACAATATTGATAGCATGTTAGTCACGTCTAACAAAACATTGCGCAAACAAGGTATAATGAAATCCGAACATGTATTTTGCGTTACAGGTACATCGGTAAGTTGCACAATGTTGCTAAAAACTTTTCAGATTTATTTTAATGTGATGGTTGATGAAAAGGAATATTCTGACAACCCTGAGGCACTGTAAAGTAATGTTTTCTGCTAAAGTGATATACAATACATGTTCATTTTTGGGAGAAAAAATATTCCTTGTCGTGATTAATAATACAATACTCGTATCTTCTATTTCCCCAGTTAGATTTGAATGATTTTGTGTGATGAGAAACAATATACTGACTGACTTGCCACTGTAAACTGTATTTCTCCTCCTTGTGCATGGCGGAGGGTGGCATCGGTCTTTCTAGCCTACCAAAGTAGATCCTATAGTAATACTCATTATCCTATTTTTCTCGATCCTTTTCCTCTTCCCCTCTCTCTCTCTTCATCTCTCTCCATCTCTCTCTTTCTCTCTCTCTCTCTCACTCTCTCTCTCTCTCTCTCTCTCTCTCTCCTTCTCTCTTTATTTTATTTTCCTGCCCTTCGAATAGGGGGGGGGGGGGCACGTGTCACTTACAAAAAAAGATTAATACACTATCAAATTGAAAAAATTATATACTTATGATTACTTCACTGTGTTTGCTACAGGTGAGCAATTATTATGAATAATTAATTGTTATAAATTTAAATCAAATGTTAGAACTTAAAAAGGGAAGTAGGGTACGAGAATGAGTACGAGAACCATCAATTAATATTATTTCACCTCAAATCTAACCTACTGCCTCGATTGCTGTACAAAGACAAGTAAATTTAGAGTAATAGCTTGAGTGCAATCGTGGTAAGAGCGCTCTGATTTATTCTTCTCCTATGTCATAAATTGTTTACTCGTACCTTTAACACATATTTGTAATCTGTCGCTTAAGAATGGTGATTTTCCTTCAAACATGAAAATCGCCAAAGCAATTCCATTGTTCAAGAAGGGAGATACAGATAATGTTGATAATTACCGTCCTATTTCCATTCTGCCTTCTTTTTCTAAAATACTTGAAAGATTAGTTTTTAATAGACTATCAAGTTTTTTGGTTCACTTCAACATTCTGTCTAATGAGCAATATGGCTTTCGAAAAAATTCTTCCACAGGTCTTGCTATTCTTGATTTATATGATAAAATAGTCCATTATGTTGATGTAAATAATCATGCAATATGTGTTTTTATGGATCTTTCGAAAGCCTTCGATTCTATACCCCATGATATATTATTAGTTAAATTACATTTTTACGGCGTAAGAGGTTTACCTCACAAATGGTTTAAAAGTTATCTTGCCGAAAGGAAGCAATTTACATCTGTAAATTCTCATTGTTCTTTTTTTAATCTAATATCATATGGCGTCCCTCAGGGCTCTATTTTGGGGCCTCTCTTATTTTTGATTTACATCAATGATATTGTAAACTGTTCCACTTTCTGTAAATTCACACTTTTTGCAGACGATACGACTATTCTTGCCTCAGAAAAAAAATTGATCTATTAACCTATAAACTGAATATTAATTTGGAGTATGTTTACGAATGGCTAGTTTGCAATAAGCTATCTTTGAATGTTTCTAAGACTAAATTTGTTATTTTCAAAAATGCTAGGAACCTAAATCCTGTATATGACAATGTATCTATTTCTATCAACAATAGATTAATTGAACAGTGTCGAGTTTTTAATTACCTTGGAGTACTTTTCGATGAAAACCTATCTTGGACTTCTCATATTAATTATATTACAAAAAAGGTTTCTCAGAGCGTCGGTATTATTAGTCACTTAAGATTTGTTATTCCACTCCGTATCTTATTCATGTTATATAATGCATTTATTTTGCCATATATTATGTATTGCAATTCTGTTTGGGCGACGAAACATCCTTCTAAGTTACTCAAATTACATAGACTTCAAAAAAGGGCATTACGACTCTGCTCTAATTCCCCTTTCTTAGCTCCCTCACAACCTTTATTTAGAAAATTCAATACTTTACATATTTATGATATTAATAAATTGCAAATTGCCTCATTGATGCAACGATTTTTCTCAAACTCACTACCTCCAAACCTTATGCACCTATTTAGTCTTAACAATGTGGTCCATACCCACTACACAAGAAATGCTGATAAATTCCATCATTGGAATGCTTCGTCCAATATACTAACCGATTCTCTCCGTTATGTTGGTCCAAAAATGTGGAATTCCCTACCTCCATTTTTACAATCTGTTGGATTTAATAATTCTTTCAAAAGACTTTACAAGAAACATCTTCTCTCTCTTTATAACACATAATTTATTTTAAGACCACACCTATATTACTAATACTCCTTTTTTTTTTTTTTTTTTTTTTTTTTTTTTTTTTTTCTTCTTCAAGTATATGTTATTATTAATTCTACGCCTGGTGCATTCAATTGTCAAGCCTTACTGGCTTTTACGGATGCACCATTTTCCATTTATATTTTGAATGCTGTTATGTCAATTTTATATGTAATTTTGATATTGTTACATGTTATGAAATTCCATATTTTATCTTTGTATATATTGTTGTGATGATGGAAATAAATTTCATAATAATCATAATAATAATATAGGGACATTATAAAACTACTTGGATTTATCCTGCTGTTGAAATGAACACGATTCATCTATATACACTGTCATTACTCCAATAGAGAAAGAGAGAGGCAGAGAGAAATGGACGGAACTCGAGTAAAAACTTGCATGCAAGGACCAAGGAATGGAGCTAAATAGAAGGAGGTAAATGGAGAGTGATGAAGAAAAAGAGGGAGGGGGAGAGAGAATCTGAATAATCTGAACGGTAGAAAGCGACAGAAAAGAGAGAGAGAGAGAGAGAGAGAGAGAAAGAGAGAGAGAGAGTTAAGTAAAAAAAAAAAAAAAAAAAAAAAAGATTGGGTAACACAAAATTATAAATTCGCAATTATTTGCGCTTGATTTCATATCCTGCATAAACTACGAGCTTGATTTCACACGATCAATTCAAAGTCCCTTGATTTAAATGTCACATCTGTTATCACGTGAATTCTCAGATTATCTCATTTTCCTCCCTTGATTTCTGCTTCGTATAGACGTGAAGTCTTTACTCCGTGTCTGAATGACTTGTTGGAATCACGTTCACTCACTTAGCATTTATAATATAAAGATGAAAGATTATGGGACAATTTGAAAAATATATGTATTGTGACCTGTTTAAAATTGTTAAAAATAATGTATGACAAGGTGATTATAAATATACCCAGGTACATTGGGCGATTTCATACTTTAATGAGGTCCATTCCATTATTTAGACACACAGACACACAAACACACCCATGCAGGTATATTTTTGCTCTGTCGACATTATTGTGTAACATCTTGCTTAAACGTGAACACAGTGCACTCATAGTATCAAATATGACATTTCTTCAAATGTTATGACCAAATCTCAATAAACACTTGTGTTTTAGTCACAATGTGTATCACATCTTCTGAAATATGTTCATCTTTTTAATTACACATTGTATAATTATGGCGTCTCGTAAAAACCAGGAGGGCGATTAATATGGGACAATTAATGAGTTACGCCCTTCTGGTTCCTAGCAGCCGCTAACTGTCAATGGAATACCGACCTGCTGCATCTACTGCATTGACTTCGGCGCCATGTTGTACAAGGAGTTGAGCACAATCTAAATGACCATTCATGGCTGCCTTGTGTAGCGGCGTGAGGCAATGCTGAAGCTCAAGATCGGCACTCTAACAGACAAACAAGAGATGATGTAATATAATCATTAATACTGGAGATGTTTAGTATTCATTTACTATAAAATGGCTTCACAGACTATCGAATGGGAAAGAATTGGAAACATTTACAGCATCATACATTTACAGTCAGTAAAAAAAAAAAAAAAATTGTAGCACATAGTTCATAGTGATGTTCACACTAAATTAAGGCATCAGAGTCTAGTTCAGACTGCAAAAAAATTATACTTAGGAGGTCTCATTGAATGCTAAACGAATTTAGTCTTTAAAATATCAGAATAAGTGATGTCCACATTATGAAACAATCACATTATTATGATTCGCAGAATACAGAGAAACACACACACACACACACACACACGCACACACACACATAATTAATCCTTTAAGGATGCCACTTTTACATAGCTCGTGGTCCACAATCTACGGCCATAACAGCACAGACATAATTATAGTACCTAAAAAGTGTATTATCATAATCACAAAGGCAATATCGCGTCAAATCAGAATGTGGATGATGACGAGTGTTTTATTCCATGAATATACTAGCGCTAGTGTGTATTTTCAAGCGCATTCTTTTCATACAATCATGTAATAGTAGATCTTCCAGAGACAGCCCCGCGACAGAGTACTGGTACTTCTTGGTACGGACAATTTTTTTCAAGGAGATTAGCAATAATGACATCATGGATGAGTTTAAAGGTAAACGTAAGTTAGTGAGCAAACTGGCATTAATGTATTCTGAATAACATATCATCAAGTTAAAAATATGTCTTCGGACCACAAATAAAAAATGAAAATAAATTTAAGATACATACCCTGAAGAACACCAATATACTTATACGGAACGACGTGATTTGTTTAAAGATCCGTCTGATTCATAACATTTATTTAGCTGTATCTGGGTGTTTTTTTTTCTTTTACTTCTTCCTTTTCCTTCTTTGTTTTTTCTTCTTCTTTTTCTTCTTCTTTTTCTTCTTTGTTTTCTTTGTCTTGTTCTTCTTATTCTCAAGAAATGATTCATTAATGCTTTTTTTCTTCTATGTCTTAAATTTTTGACCGATATATTACTTTTGCAACCTGGTCAATGCTCATAACGTGTAACTTTCCTCCATTCTTCGAGTGTGTTTACTAAAATTCCAGCCTGTTTTGCCAATGGCAAATGCAGTTGCTGGAAGATTCTCACGAGGATTTTGAACGCACACAAAATATGATGTCCTATCGATTGATTATTCTATAGGAGAGCTGCGAGTGAAGAAAAGGGGCTTATTTCTGTTTTCGAATTCTCAAAGAAGGTATAGGCATGGGAGTTAACCTTGACATTTTTATTTACAAGTTGTGAATTTCGCAAATTTAAAGCAGAAGATTCATGCTTCATTACATTAGGATGGATGAACTTAATGGATGGAAAATATGTATATCACAGCTTTCTCTACGTCTATACTATCCCAATCTGTATGAAAGTTTAGTCATTTTCGTTTGAAAGAAATTGAGAGATCAAGTTAGGGATATCCAGACGATAAGAACAGACGGAGAGAGGAGAGAAAGAGGAGGAGGGGGGATCAAGTTAGGGATATCCAGATAGAAGACAATAAGAATAGACGGAGAGAGGAAAGAACGAGGAGGAGGGGGAGAAAGAGGAGGAGGGGGAGAAAGAGGAGGAGGAGGGAGAAAGATAAATGTGGAGCTAGAGTGGAGAAAACGCAAACGATTGGAGATACAGGCAGAAACACAAACTAGACAGAAAGGGAGAATTAATGAGAGAGAAGGGAGAGACAAAGATAGCAATATTTCTGAATGTGATCTAAATATCTCCACGGTTTGTGTTTATATTTTGTTGATGATAGAGAGCAAGAGAATTTGATTACACCAGAGGGCCAATTTTCATCTCAAGAAGACATCATTATTATAACACAACTTTTAATCCACTCCCAAAATAGATTTTAGACGCACATAAGAAATTCTTGAGAGAGAAAGATGCTGCCTAATGAGCATGATTACTGAGAGGAAAATATCACGTCAATTTGTTATTCTATATTTTAATGGGGTTCTGTTTCCACTGCGGTGAAATGTGGCTACATGTCCATTCTGAGAAGACACACTCGACAATGATCAAGTGTTAGTGCTGGGAAACGACGGGAAGGATTTCATCATCACTGATTGGTTGTTAAGGCAGCTCTCGTACAGATAGCCAGAAGGGATTCATATTTAATCTTGTGGGAATAATCAGAAAAAGTTCCTCTCAAAAATGGCTACTGGTGAATATTATAACAATGCACTTGTCATGCTTCCTTTCCAATTTGTAGTATTTCGTAAAAGAGTGATTATAGAAAATTAACGAATACCACTGTTCTCTGCTGTATTGTAGTTCCAATTACGTTTAATCTCACTCTCACAGCCAACTCAACATTTACGTCCATTCTATAGCGCGTGAAAACGTATAATCATGGTAAACTATATAACAATGTCTCATGTGTATTCGCAAGGATGTGGTAACTCCTTAGTATATCCATAGGTCGTTAATGCAGCGGGAAGCACACCTATGTTAAAGAAATATATGCAAGGAGTTACGTTTTTTTCTTCACCTATATGAATTCCTTGGGATTCGAAGTGGAAATAACGAGGATTGCCAATGCATAACAAACAGGTCATCTGAATAAAAAAATTGGGGATTGGGCTAACCGCCAATAGAACAATAAAATTAGTAAGTCTAAAAGTAACATTTTATATTCATGATAGTGTTGTCCTGAGTACTGTGGATTGCCTTCGATGAATTACTTATACATATTTTACTACCTCTAAATCGGATGTTCATTATTTTAATAGGGACTGATTTACTTCACAAACGTCATTACTATACATTTACAAACATTTTTCGTTTCAGCCTTTTATCTATCTGTCTACCCTATACTCAGACGTAGAACTAAATATATTGTTAGAAAACCACTTAACACTCTTAAAGGTAGTGAGCGCCTTTTGTATGTTTTGGGGCATCCATTTTTAACCAGCTCTGGTGAATGACTGGCTCAAGTGACAATATTGTAGAAAAAAAGCATTAACATTTTAAGAGGAACTATATATTCAAGAAATAAAATGTGTAATTACATGAAACGGGAGTGATAATTAGCAGACCTATATAATTATGCTAAACTGGAGAACTTGAGAAGGTTTGAGAAAGTCTTTTGACTGTCTAAGATTCTCCTTTTTTTATCAATACAAAGAGTGATAGAAAATTGTTTTGTAAATTTAGCCAGTGTTAGATGAGGTATTCATTATGTTCAAATGATTCTCAATCATCCGAGTGTCTTAAAGATATCAACCGACTTTTTTTCAGTTTCAAGCTAAGTCACATTTATTGGCCATATTTTCATGAGAGATTTTTGTTGAAGAAGAAACGACTTCGACTTAATGTGAGGGTTTTGCAGATAAATGCCTTCCGCACACATCCTGTACTATACCTTTAATTAGCTACTTGATTTTAGTTGCAAACATTACAATAAACTACTGGTTTATGACAAAGCGTGACTAATGATTAACTCCTTTGGAGTACTTAACACTTCAGACAGCAAAGATGTAATTATAATACGGTATATTTAGAACATGGTAAACAGAGTAAGAATATAAACATCTAAATATATTCTATCTCGTCTATTTAACAATCGGCCTGATCATGACTAAACAAATCATTGATGCATGAGAATTAAACATGATTAAAAAAGGATATCTTTGGACTCATTTTTTTTCTCACAGAGAATAATTTCTTTAACTATTATTGTTGTATCACTTACCAGTCCTTGGCTGAGCATAATTTCAATGCTTCCGTAATCTCCAGAAAAAGCTGTAAGGAAAACAATAATCATTAATAATCTGCTTCAATCCTGAAAAAATATGCCAATGCCTCATGATCACAGATTTTGTTTCCTATTATTCTTATTATAGGAGGGCGGCGGAGTAAAAGTGGTGGATAAGACGACAATGTTTAATGCATGTTGTAAAGGAATAAAATCCTGATCAAAATTAAGAACTCTAACAAGCATAAGCAACATTCATGGCACATTAATCACGTTTATCTCGACAATTACAAAGCTCAAAATATATTTACCTGCTTCATGGAGGTTTCTCGCTGAATGCATTTTCTCAAATCGATGCTTCGGATATGAAGGTAACTGATGTATGTTGGAGGGGAAGGGAAGGGGTGGCATTATATCGGCGCCATTTTCCAAACTTCACCAAAAAAATCAATGCAAATCCGTTATAAACGAGAGTCCCGGCCGGCCACGAGTTGATGTCGATCGCTGTACGTTCAGACACACGTTTGTCCTCGAATAGGATGAGAAATAATGAAAACCTCTGTATTTGAGAGGAAGGGTCTAATTTGAAGCAAGTGAGAAGTTTCGAGGCAGTGCAAAGCATACAGTATGAAGCAGTTTTATAGTGTCAGCAGGCCGGCATGTGTTTTACTATTTTCGAGCGGATTGCGTGGGGTGATGAAGAAAGCAATGGCCTCTGGTCATAAACAAGATCTCAGTTACTTGTTAGTTAGATTGCGTTTCTTCCTGTTTCCCCTGTTGCGGAGGAGCCTTATGTCAGCGATACAGAAAAGGGATAGAATCGTCTGCTAGTGGACTTATGTTTTGTAAATTCGCTTGGACGGATGCGTGCATGCATGCAGTGATGCGCACAAAACATTGCATCTAGACACAATCGTGAGAATGATACAAGAGCGAGGAAGAGGGCGTTTCCACAAACAAGCTTTTAACTGGTTACTCATTGCCAGGCTTTAGTATCTAGATATCGTCATCGTAGAACTAGTGTTTTAAGATTCCTGAAAAAGATTTCATCAATCTTTAGTTATCACAAAGGCATGCACACTTTCTGAATCTTAGATTATTATCTGACTTGAATTAATCATAAAGCTAACATTATGTCACAAAGATTCAAGGTTGATTTGACACGATGAGCTCCTTTTAAAACGATTAATCTAATGACGTTAGTATTTTATTTCAAACAAATATAAAAGATTTTGCTGCTAGGTCGGTGCACGTGGCTACCTGTCTGTTGCTTGTTGCTAATTTTTAGATATTTATCGGATTTTCACAGGACTTTCCATACTTTCGACTCTAGTTTTGGATAGGAAAGGACTTGCTAAAGGTAAGCGAATATTTTGGACTCATTTTACACATAATTCTGCACCATAAATAAGTTAACGAATTAAGGTAGATTTAAATCTCCCGCCGCACGCGACGCGGACCATGAATTCCAACGACTCCTCACTTAACGCTATGGCAGATATCGATTCACGCAACCAAGCAAAAGATTTAGGAACAGAATTAAAGGACGGATTCCAGACAGTCAAGTCTGCAAGAAGTGTTCGGAGAAAGAGAAAAAAGGATAGAAAGATCGTCCTCTGATAATATGGAATCCCAAAACTCAGTATTTCATAACCAAAATCCAGTAATAGCAACTGACTTAGATCTAGCTAAAGCTTTTCATAGAGAAACATTAGCATGTCAAAAATCGCAAAATCTATCCAAAACTGTATCGGCTCATCGCCAGAATTTATAAAGTCTACTCGGAATGGAATCCTCGTCAAATGCAAGAATTCGAAACAAAATAAGAAATAATTATTCTGATATACAAATCATTGATAACATACCAGTTCAGGTTCATATGAAACTTCCTCTGAAGAAAGGTGTCATATCAGATATACCGACCGAGATGTCAGAAAATGAAATAGAAACAGAACTAAAGATTCAAAAGGTAGTTAACGTGAAAAGAATAGTAAGGAAAATCGAAAGAGGGAAGAACCTCAAGATTTGAATGTACATGTAGATTTAATACCAAATCGCAGTGTAATTGTATCATTTGAAGCTACAGAACTTCCCCAAGACGTCTTTGCTTCCGCATCCTACAGTGGAATGCACAGGGATTAAGGGGACATGGGTATGAGTTAATGCTTTACTTAAACTCTTTAACAAAAAGTGAAACCATTCATTTATTATGTATTCAGGGAACATGATTCCGCGATTCCGGGGGTAAGCGGACACTTTTTTTTTTTTTTGAGTCTAAAAAGAAATTCGCAACGACTCAGCCAGCCGAAAAGTCGCGCAGTGGGGGGGGGGGGGGGGGGGGGGGGGGGGGGGGGGGGGGGGGGGGGGGGGGGGGGGGGGGGGGTTAAGAGGACACTTTTTTTTTCTTTTTTTTTTTGGTCTCGAAATTTGAAAATTTGACATTTTGGGGGGGGGGGGGGGGGGGTTAAGAGGACACTTTTTTTTTTTTTTTTTTTGGTCTCGAAATTGAAAATTTGACATTTTGCTCCGTTGGGGGGGGGTAAGGTCAGCTTTTTTAGGTCAACCATGGGGATTTTTTTTTTTTTTTTTTTTTTTTTTTAATAAAAAAAAAAAAAAAAAATCCAAAAGGGGGGGGGGGGGTTTTACAGAAAATTTGGGGGGGTTTACACACAAAAAATTACCAAAAAGGGGGTTTAACCCCCCCCCCCCCCACCCCCCACCCCCCACCCCCCCCCCCCCCCACCCCCCCCCCCCCCCCCCCCCCCTGTGTACGCGCCTGTATACAACTGAAGCATGAACATGATTGTGTTCCGTATGAACCATTTACTGATATGCTATAATAAAAACCATTTTTGAATTGAATTGATACGGGGGTGTGCTGCTCTTTTTCACCAAAAATCCCTCAACATGGGTCCCACTTTTAATAAAAAATACCATTAAAAATGGGTCCTACTTTCAAGTATAGGCCGGACGATTCATTCTCGGTGCCTTATTTCTAATAAAAGATGAAACGGGGTTAATTTTTATAAGCCTATCTAAATATTGTTAGTTTTTTTTTCAAATTGTATTGTAGGGGGTGGGGAGTGGTTCGAGCTTGAGCCCCAAGCCCCACCCCAACTCCGTCACATACAAGATGCTGAACTGGGGCGTTGATGAGTATTACCATAGAAGATGGGCCTCGAAGCAAAGTACCCGAAGCAAAGGGGAAAGCCCTATAATTTTTGATTTGCAATTGATAGTCTATTTCAAATCGACTTAATTTTTATTTATTTCATTTTACACTGTTTTTATTCAAATCACAACTCATTTTTTAATTGGACATCTCGATTTCAATGATATGGATTTTTCAAATTTTTGACAGAGGTCAGTAGACACAAGTTCATGGGCATGGTATTTTTTAAATTGAAAACAGATCTTTTTATAATTGATCAAAGAATACGAAGCCACAACTAACTGATCTGATGCAATGCGTAAACAGTAGATACGTACTGGTTTTGTTTGTGACCGCTATATACCGTGACCTTTTGTCATGAAAGCGGAACTGAAAATACATCCTTGTGTATGCATGACAGTGCTGAAAATATCAGCATATTTGTAGCATTATTATTGTGTAGTATATATATTTCACTTACTGCTACTGGAATGTAAATTTGTTACTGAGTCGTCGGGTACAGTATTCGAGAGAATCGTTCACTGATTCATATCTCGAACTTGAAAGTTGAAGTTGGACTGATCTTGATTGGACTGAGAATCGGATTTGGAAGTTGCTCAACAAGTGAACCAACGTAACAACCTTTGTTTATCTTTTAAAAATCGAGATCTGCTCCCAAATTTGAGCCAAGATGTCGTTCTGCTCCTGGTCTGGTGGTGAGAAGTATAAAGATCATTTTGAAAATGGTGAGTTCTAATTCTTTTATTACAAATCCTCACAAAACTTGTCAAAAGTCACATGAAGAGTAGAAATTTAGACAATTGACAAACATACTCGCTAGTTAATCAGAAGTCTATCCAAAATTTGGCCCGTAACTCCCGCGTGGAGATACCCTACGTACTAAAACATACCGAAAATGAAGTAAATATTCATCATATGTCCAAATAAAGGATATCGATTTAAAAGTTGATATGTTTGTTACCTATTTTGTGTCAATTTTCTTTATCTTTTTCGGAGTATTTTTCCTAAAAAACGATGACTTATAAGTTAGCGACTGTAATCTTAGTTTATGCAGGGCCAGGGCGCGCTGCGCGCTGTCAACTTTGGGGTACGTACCTACTTCGAAGTTCGTGGGAGATTGTATGCAATTTTTTTTGCACAATGGCCGGCCCAGGTCGAAAATCCCTTAGAGACCAATAGAGACCATTAGAAAAATTCTATTGGTCTCTAATGGTTTCTGTTGGAGTCTATTGGTTTCTGTTGGACCCATAGAATTAAATCCAATAGAGACCATTCAAACCATCAGAAACCAATAGAAACCAATAGCACCCATAGACACTAATATAAATAGAAACCAATAGGACCAATAGAAACCAATAGGACCAATAGAAACCAATAAGACCAATAGAAACCAATAGGACCAATAGGACCAATAGGACCAATAGAAACCAATAGGACCAATATAAACCAATAAGACCAATAGAAACCAAAAGAACCAATAGGACCAATAGGACCGATAGGACCAATAGAAAACCAATGAGACCAATAGAACCCAATGGGACCAATTATAGAAACCAATAGGTCCAATAGAAACCAATAGAAACCAACAGCTAAATCTATCTCATGCATATTCATGATTACTTTATACGTGTTCACAGAAAATTACATTCTATCATAATTTGTTTAGCAACTTATGACAATGTACATCAATTTTGTGATTTTTATTTTCTTTCGGCAACTAATGACCAATAGATTATTTGTTTAATCATGTTACAATTTCATTCACGTTTTAGCAATAGATGTATTGATTATAATGATTACTAACCAAGAAACAATTCATGTATGTTTATTATATAGAATAGTACAAGCCTTCACTTGTACTAGGCGTTGTGGCGTGCGCCTGTAATCCAGCTAAAAAGTGGAAGTTACAAACTGATTCAGCCGAGGACGCAGGTTCGAAACTGAGTCACGTCTTTCGGATGGTGACGTTTAAAGGTCGGTCCCAGACGTAAATAATCATATCTGATTGATACACGTCTGTAAAAACCCAATACACACACACACTTAAAATAAAGGATATTCTTAAACTCACTTCAAGTGATCTATGTGATGAAGTTAATGCAATTGAGATTAGAATATACTTTTTTTGGTGGACAGTTGCTAAAATCGATTTTGATTTATCATTATTGATTTACCAATAGAAGCCATTGGACTATTGGTTTCAATAGGGAATTCAGGATATGGGACCATTAGAAACCCATAGGAAGATCTATAATGGACCCACAGGAACCCATAGAAAATATCTAATGGACCAACAGAAACCCATCATAGAAGAAAATATCTAATGGACCAACAGAAACCCATAGAAGACATGGGTGGATGCTGGTCCAATAGAAACTTTCTGTTGGTCCATCAGCATTTCTTTCTGTGGGTTTGTGTTGGTCCAATAGATATTTTCTAATGGTATCTGTGGGTCCATCGATCATTTCACTTTCCCTATTGAAACCATTAGACACCAATAGCTCTAATGGTTTCTGATGGTCCAATAGGATCAGATCCTAATGGAATTTCGACCGGGGGGGGGGGGGGGGGGGGCCGGGTGTTGAGTAAATAACAGAAAAAAAGAAGATTTTATTTGAAGTGCTCGCAAAAAAATTGGATACGATACGGTACGCTGATTTGGGAAGTGCGTGGTGGCGTGAGACTCCCTCCAAATGCAGGAGGGTTGACAGCCCTGGTTTACGGAAGCTAACTGAACACACGCGCACGCTCGCCCCACTGTCGGTACGGTATGCGTGTATTATGCTGCAGTTTGCTGTGAATCCCGTGAAAAAGTGCATATCTTAAGTCTTTGTTTTTAGGAAAAATACTCCGAAAAAGATAAGAAAATTGACACAAAACAGGTAACAAAGATAACGACTTTCAAATCATGACCATTATTTGGACATTTGCTGAATATTTACTTCATTTTGGGCATGTTTTAGTGGTGTCTCCACGCCGGAGTTATGGGTCAAAGTTTGGATAGACTTCTGAACTAATGCCGATAACTTGACTAATTGTGCTTGGGAGAGGGAGAGAGGAGGGGGGGGGGGGGGGTTAGGTGTTAATATAGGTTAATCTTAATTGTTGAATCTCTTATTGAAAAAGAACGAGTAGTTTCGTCAACACTCATTTCTGTATATAAAAAATGTGTATTAATTTTGCTTCACTCACTTTCGAATTTGGACGGTTGTAACTTTAACTGTAAGACTAAGACAAAAATTGATCTAACTTAGATCTACAGTTCATCAAACAAAACTGAGAATCGACAGGTTTAATTAAAGAGTGTATTATCACTCATTTAACTGTAAGAGTAAGACAAAAATTGATCTAACTTAGATCTACAGTTCATCAAACAAAACTGAGAATCGACAGGTTTAATTAAAGAGTGTATTATCACTCATTGCACTCTTAAGTACAAAGTGAATGATTTTGTTTTATGACCAGTTCTCCCACTCTTTTTCTTCATTTACAAGGTCTCTATGTATGTGCGGAGTGTGGCCATGAACTCTTCTCCAGCATGACCAAGTACCAGCACTCGTCTCCATGGCCTGCATTTACCAAGACCGTGAAAGAGGACAGCGTCTCCAAGAGACAAGAAGGATCTGGAGCTCTAAAGGTTGGTACCAGGGGAGAGTAAATGGTTGACAACACTTCTCATCTCTGGAATGTACTCCTGTGGTTATTAATGGCTCTATAACCCATGCTCCGGAAACAATTCATATACGGTCAATTTTCTACACCATCAGAATTTTAACTGTAATTTTGGATCAAATATTACACCTAGCTCTAACATAAAACTCAAATCCGACTGCAACCCTAACCCTAACCCTATTTTTTCGATAAAACAAAGCCCAGAACAAATGTTTGCGAGGGAAATTTCAGATGACCTGTTACCTGTATACTTGTAATATATTCAATTCAGCATTTATTAATTCCAGGAGTTCAGACTGGAATATTTTTTTTCAAGTTTATTCAATGCACTATTAATGTTCTGGTTTGGAAAGTGCATGATTTTAAGAGGGGGTCAGAGAGGGAGGGGGAAAACAAAGAAAGGATGATTTTATCATGTCCAAGGAGGAGGGTAAGTGACCCACACTAAAATCTTACTAATGGCATCTATTTAAAGTTTTAAGCTTGTGTTAATTGTCGTTTCATTCATTCCATCTACAGGTATCATGTGGGAAGTGCGGTAATGGTTTAGGTCATGAGTTCTTGAATGCAGGCCCAGACAGTAACCAGTCACGTTTCTGAATATTCTCGTCTTCCCTGAAGTTCAAGAAGGGGAAGACAGGTAAGAATTGATTTTTGTTCATGAATTCTATTTAAAATTACCTTCAGTGTAGAACTATTGAATATGGAGAAAGGGAAGTGAGAACAAAGAGACGAATAACACTACCTTCATTATAGGTCCAGACAAGGAGTACAAATACGCAATTTTAGGCACACTCAGATACGAAGTGGTAAAGTGCCGCATAGAACGCCACATAGTTTTGAATGTGTAAATGAGCGGTTACTGCGTGCAATAAAGGACATGTATACATGTAGCCAGGGCTCCAAACTTACTCTTTGGAAGGGGATCCGGATTTAACTTTTTACAGTCTGTATGCACGAGCCTTATGTAAAAATTGCAACATTTTTTAATTTTTTTTTTTTTTTTTTTTTTTTTTTTGGGGGGGGGGGGGTCTGGAATTAAGATTTTAGGCACCCATGTGTCCTGGGTGCCTGTCAGTGTCCACCACTGATGTACAGGTGTATCTCTGTATTAATATGTGATGTGGAAATGTGACTCGTATTACACTTATCATCATCATAAAAAATTGCTGCAGTTTTCCATGGCATATCTGAACAAGGCTCTAGTCAGATGACTTCACTATAATTATGGAAGCTGTCATATCATTTGATATTACGGTTTATATACCTCACTTAAGTAATCCAGCCATCTGATTGGTCGAAATTGCATTCATAAACTTCAACTGTTCCTGTAAAATTCCCGGTAACCATGCTTAAAACATTTAATATTTTTAATAACCATGGTTATTAAAAAAATAGGTCAGTCTCCATGGTTACCCCATAGGTTTACATGTTAAAAAATGGTTTGAGCGATGGAGGATACCGTATGTGTGCGAATAATGGTCGGTAATTTCAATACAATTGAATCTCGATCGATCTTACCGACAATTTTATCTTGCATTGTTGACATGAAGACGAAAATAAACTTCCAAAAACAAAAAAAAACAACATCTGCCGATAGATCTTGATCTAAGTTCGTGCCAATATGCATTGCAAAAGTAAAAGAAGAGTCCGTATATGGAGCTTTTGCGAAGCATTCATCACACGCAAAGCCGGTTTCAATCCATTTTAATGTATATATAGTACAAAACTGCCAAGCATGTTAATAACGCGCGATGGCCGAGAGGTCTGAGGCGCTGACTTTAGATACCTCACCTTTTGTACGCAAGAGTTCGAATCTCATCTTGGACCCAAAAAAAAGTATTTTTTATTTTTTATTTTTTAGTCTATTTTTTTTCGGCATATAAAAGTATTAATGACTGCTTTAATATTCGAGAAATAGTTGTTTTTATACGCTCTCGGGAAGGTTACAATTGGGCTATTCCCCTCGGCACGCCTCGGGTAATAGCACAATTCTAACCTTCCCTTGAGTGTATAAAAACAACTATTTCTCTCAAAGCAGTCATTAATACTATAGTATTTAATGGACTGTAAAAGAAAAGGAACCAAGTTTTGTAGATGTTCTCTTTGTCAGCGAAACTTGTTTCGATACTTCCAGTATTATTTGTCACTAGTTGAATGTTGTTTATGTTTGTATTCTGGTACATGTATATTACCTTTACTCCAACAAGCAATTGGTTTTATATGGAGAGGTATTTACCAGCCATCAGTTGACTGGTACATGTAGCTTTTCCTCCATTGATTTCATAATTTATAAATTTCACTTTAGTCAACTGTTTTGCTTGTGCTAACATGATCATTATAAAGCTTATAAATGTTTGTGCACATGTTATCAATTCATGTTGATGTGGATGGCAGATACCGGTATATAAACCTGTAGAACAGGGTCATTAAGGAAATGATGATGTTCTAAAATGTAAGAAAAGGAAGTGGTACTAGGTAGGAGGAAATGATAAATGAACGATGACTACTTACAACTATTACCGGTATTCATTTGATGGATTTCATGGAAAAAGAGGATATTTTGTCAAACATATACAAGGAAAAGGCATATGCGTGTAGTTTTGTGAATTTCAAGCAAAGATGTTGAATGATGTATAACTTTTTTTTCTTCTACTGTTTGTATCTACTCACAGTCAAACAGAAGGGAGCACAATTGTAGTTACATCAAGGTTATCATCAATCGGAACTGGGACATCACTCCTCCATCTAGAAACATGTAGTTAGCAGCTAGTACTGATAAGTAATTGGCGATCGATTACCTTCATTTATGTTAGCCTGCCTTTTAGATTAGCATGCCAAAATTAACCTGCCTAATTTACATATTTCAGCGTTTTTGCACTTTAGTGCAGGTTAAGGACAATAGGCAGGCTAACAAAGCAGGTTAATTATGTAGTCAAAAAGCAGGTTAATTTGGCATGCTAAAAAAGCAGGGCAATTTTGCAGGCTAATTGAGCAGGTTTAAATGATTATGCAGGCTATTTAAGCAGGCTAAAATAAGCCTGCTTTTAAAATATTCAGGTTAAATTATGCCTGCCTAATTTGCATATTTCAGCCTTTTTGCAGGTCAGAGCTTGCTAAGGAATGAACCTGCTTTTTAGCAGCTATGCAGGCTTGAGGCAGGCTATAAGCAGGCCTGCCTTTTCGGTAAGGGCGTGCAGGTCTGTATGAAGACCCCAAGGATCAAGGAACCAGTACCAGTTATGCAAAGTACTCTAAATCTTTAAAAAAAAAGATTTTAGTCTTTAACTACAGGATTTGGCTGTATTAAGGTATATATGTATGTAACGGTGCAATACCAGCCAAGTGTTTTAGCAGTGCAGCAGCCTCCTAAATTACGTTTTAAATACATATTGTGAAATAAACATAGACACATCCTGAGGGCTCTTTACACTGAAAATTTTTTCTTTGTACATTAAAAAGGGAGCATTATAGAATTATGTGAATGGATGCATAAAATCACTGGCTAAGGCTGTAAATAAAATAATTGAATTATATTTTTGATCCTGAATCATTTATCTGGATGGAGATGGGTCCCTTTTTCACAGTTTCTACCATTTATTACATAAATTATATGTATATTTGTTGAAAGTAATAATGAGATATTGTGCAAGTAAGTAAATTTACTGCGCAAGATGAAATGCTACAATTAAATTTATAATAAATGTTGTAGCAATGATGGCTGCGTCAAAGTAGTTTGCTCCTTGCATAATATTTGGTTGTTTGTTTCTAAAGTGCGAAGCAAGATTGGTTGGCAATGGAATAGAATGTTAGGAAGAGGATAAAAATGCTTTGGTCAAATCAGATTAATCAGATAATTCAGTGTCAATTTATACCCCTGTGACAGTGGAATAATGTCCTTTGAATGAACATGATTGGGAGATGATGAAGTTTGACATTTTAGACCTTCATAAAAATGCAGTGGCATAAATACCACCCCTATAAAAATCAATAATAATGATAATGACAACATTTATACGAGTTTGATTCAAATATCCTTGCTGACCAGTTTTGTCTTTGGTTTCGTTCTCTTTTGTCTTTAGTTTATAGAAGGTAATTACTTTGTCTGTGTAGCATAATGATTTACTGCAGTGAAAGCCTTCACGCAACTGTAGTTCTGATGATTTGCCACGATTCTCATCCCTTCTCTAACCCAAACACATAAGAATATATCCATGAACCATCAGTTGGTTTCTGGTGTTTTTATTTTTAAATAGTATTATAATTTGAATGTTACCTTCAGAATTTTTCAGGACCATTACTTTCAGGACTTTTTGACAGAGACATCTTTCATTTGATCATGCATTTAATGGTTTCTGCACCAATTGAAAAGTCTTTATTTGTGTATTTTTATGCCTCCGTTACGAAGTAGCCGGAGGTATTATGTTTTTGGGTTGTCTGTCCGTACATCCCGTTCTCGTGATCGCGTTATCTGAAGAACCGATTGATGTATTCCTGCCAAACTTTGGTCATGTATGTATCTTGCAGAGCCAATGAACTGATAAGATTTTGGGGTCACAAGGTCAAAGGTCAAAGGTCACAGGGCTCATTATGTATGCAAAAACAGATCATGATCGCGTTATCTGAAGAACCGATTGATGGATTCCTGCCAAACTTTGGTTATGTATGTAACTTGCAGAGCCGATGAAGTGATTAGATTTTGGGGTCACAAGGTCAAAGGTCACAGGGCTCATTATGTATGCAAAAACAGATCGTGATCGCGTTATCTGAAGAACCGATTGATGGATTCCTGCCAAACTTTGGTTATGTATGTATCTTGCAGAGCCGATGAACTGATTAGATTTTGGGGTCACAAGGTCAAAGGTCACAGGGCTCATTATGTATGCAAAAACAGCTCGTGATCGCGTTATCTGAAGAATCGATTGATGGATTCCTGCCAAAACCTAGGTCATGTATGTTACTTGCAGAGCTGATGAATTGATTAGATTTTTGGATCATGAGGTCAAAGATCAAAGGGTATATGTATATGAGAAATTGCTTGTAATTAGATATTCTGAGAACCTGTTAATGGATTACAATTGAACTTGTGTTTGAAAAATTTCTTCTGTTTTGGTTTGTAAAATTGGTCTATGACGGAGGCATTATTTTCGACTGCACGCAGTCGAAGTTCCATCTAGTTTTAATGTATATCCTTGAAGCTTATTTAGATTTTAATCAGGAAGAGTGTGTGTTATTTGTACCAAAGTTTACAAGATAGAATGTAGGGGAAATATAAATGGTCATTGAAACTCAAAGTACAAGTCATATTTTTATTCTGTATTTGCCGTATCCGGAGCATTATAGTCTTGTTTCACTACTATGTGTGTGCGACCTGTATGCAATAACTTATACATGTGTGATTTTCAACAGCAGGGATTGTTTAAGTCGCTCTCATTTATTTAAAGAGAGATGAGACGAGGGGAGACAGCAGTATTGACACACAGGCTTCTACAATATTTATAGTTGCAAGATTTCAAGAGTACTGTCCATTGTAAATGGTTATTGAGTACTATGTTTGCGTATCACGGTGTGAATATTTATATCACAAATAATGTCAAAAATATTGTGCTTACAGGTTGGCTCTTGTTTTCGTCCATTTTGTTCTGAATTAATTCAGGCAAAGCACTCAGGCAGATACAGTGTACTGTAGTGTAGTATTTTTAGCTATGCAAGATGCATTTACATCTTGTGGTTTGTGGGTTTTCAAATTTTATGTACCGGTACTTTGTTATAGATGTTCACCTCATTGCATTTCTTGTGATTTTAGTAGCTTGACTGGGTTCTTTCACACTCGGTAGTGTTGCTGGTATTACTATGGTTTTAACAGTTTTTCAGGTTTTTCTTATGTGGCAGTGTGAAATGTTTCAAAAGTTTAGTCTTGATTTCTTATAAAGAGACAAACAAAGAAACTTTTGTAGTGATATTCTTCTTTTAAAAATCATATCGCACTATCACTGAACTTGTCTTTTGAAGCACTAGCAGCCATGCAAGTGTATAGCCAGTCCTTGGAACATACACTTTTAAAACAGAAAAGAAATAATCCTGATACCAACAGAGCTTGCCATTCTTACTCTAATGCCCCCCCCCCCCCCCCCCATTAGAGGTAGGATTTATTCAGAAAGCACCTTGGCTCTATTGCTGCTTACAATATATCTTTTATTAATCTATTGCTGCTTACAATATATCTTTTATTAATCTATTTACAGCTATACAAAATTTGCACAATTGACTATTTACATGTACATGTTTATCAAGAGAACTCACAACAGTTGCTGGTCAACTTTTCTTAAGTTTGAAAGAATGTCAAAATAATACGACAGCAACTTTGGTATTACATTACATTATTTGTTTATGTCTAATGTGCAATTGTGTGTGAAACAAAATGCCTTTCAAATTTATGTTCATAAGTAATATCATGGACTAATTGATAGTCCATATGTGTGTAATGAACAAATTTATGGCAATAGGCTTACCCAAATGATTTAGGCGACTTTTTAAAGATACAAATGTACTCAGTGTCTTAAAATATTTGTATGTTGTATATTACAGAAATATATGGCATATTGGGAAAAACCTCAAAGCTTACTGTTATTTTTATTGCATTATTACTGAAATAAATTAATGAAATGAACTTGTAAAAATTGTAAGTTTGTTATACAATTCTTCAAATAAAAGTAACTAAAAAGAAATATGGCATTAATGAAATTATTGTCGTTGAAGTAAGATACATGTATGTGCCATACTGAATTGAAAAAAACTTGTCAAAGTTGAACACATCATTAAATACTTTCAACAATCATAATATATTAGTAGCTTATTGCTATGTCTTTTTGAAAGTTTAAAATATGTATGGGATTGTCTTTTTGTGAATAAAAGCTCATTCAGATATAACACAGACAAATCGCAGCTGTTTTTTTGTATGATGTGAAGTGTAATACACTTCACATTACTGAATCTGAATTAATAAATGTAAGTCATTTTACATGTTTAAAAAAAATGTGGTGGCTTTTTTGCGGCGGTTTACTGTGCACATCCAACAAGCTGTAAGAGTGTATTTTGATTTTGATTTGAGTCATTATTATTTTTTCGTATGCAGTTGTTTGTTGTTTTGGGCTTTTAGAAGATGAACGCACAAAGTGTAATGTTATCCAACGGCTTTGTAGGGCTTTCACTTTTGTTCAGTAACCCTAGAAGATGCTTCAGCAGCTCACAAGTACTTTGTATGAATGTGCAGTGCTTTTAACATTGCATTTATTCTTATGAATTGTTAATATTGTTAATATCATATTTGTGTAATTTCTGTGGTGATATTGTTAAAAGCAGATGAGAACTTGCAATAAAATTTAGTAGTAATAATTGGAGTTGGCCTTCTGTTTATTTTCTTATTTATTGTGATAGCAGAATCTTGCACAACTTTTTTTTTGGTCCTCGAAAATTTTAAAATTTGCACCCCCCCCCCCTTGAGCGCCAGGAGGGGGACCCAACCCCCCAAAAAGGTAAAAATCCTGTGATTTTGCATGATTTTTTTCTCAAGGGGGGGGGGGGGGTCCAGGGGTCCCGGCCCCCCCCCCCCCCCCTGGATCCGCTACTGTTAAACACATGAGCAATACAACATCTATCGCATATAATAACACAAGGGACTTGCTCTTGATCATACTTCTTCACTTGGCTGCCTCGCTACTCATTTTCCCCATTAATTTTGACCCCAGCCATTAGGTACGTGACCTTCAGTACCCATGCATTGCCCACACAATTCAGTGTATCAAGCATCTCACTAACCAGACCGTGCCTCTAGTGTTATTACTGATTCTACTTGATATTTAATTGAATAATATAGATGTAGAAGAGAGGGAAAGTCAAGTAAGTACGGTAGAGAGAAAGTATTATTAGAGAGTATACCAGAGAGAGTGAGAGGGGCCGGGGGAGGGGGGGGGGGACAGAGCAATATAGAGATTGAGACAGAGAGGGAGACAGACATACAGACTGAGAGAAATGGAGACAGAGAAAAGAGGGGAGAGAAAGATCTTGCTACAGAACACAGAGGAAGAAAGGCAAACAATATATACCATACTAGCAAACATGGAAATGGAAATCATAGCCCCATCAATATAAATTTCCAAGCATCTCTCCTTATATCAGTCTTTTTTTAAATAATATGTATCGAACCCGAATTGTTCATTATTTGCACTGAATGTTGATAAGGGGGAAGGGGTACAGGGGAGGGGGTATGGGGGGGGGGGGGGGGGGGGACTGACGAAACCGTTTTATGCCAGTGTGCACTTTGTTGCAAGCAGATGGGTAAATCAAATTATGCATTTTTCAATCATTCAATAGACACATCCCCTTTTTCAATTAATTGATATTTCTTTTTGTCATTGTCGTTTCAGAAGACATATCAGGACAATCACCCCCCAGAAAAAAGGGGAAATCCACCCTGATAAGTTTTTTTTTGATAAAAGCAGATTTTTTTTATTAATTGTTTTTGTATGGGGGGGGGGGGGGGTAATTGTCCCGCTAGTAATTTTCTAGGGTGAATGTCCAGGGGGTAATTGTCCTTGAACCTTTGAAGAAATTTAAAAATATAAAGCTGAAATGTATAGAGTACAATTAAGGTAAGGTAATAATGGGAGATAAGTACATGTAACTGTGTTCTGTATTGAACAAGGTTTTACTATATATGGAGTGTAAAGGTTGGAAATAAATGAAAGCACACACAAAAAATAGTATCACAGCTTAGTGACTTTATTTCATCATTCATCAGTATCTACATATTTCATCAAACATATCTTTTCATACTTTATATTCTCATTTCATCATCAATCAATTTAAATTTATTAAAGTTCAGGCATAAATGCTTACATGTTCAAGCATTGATTTGAAGCCTCTCTGTAACTGGGGCAATGTTAATTGTATGAGTTTTTATTTAATATAATCTCAGTAAACACATGTACATGTTGTAATCGGACTGAAACTGCTGTTGCTTATAACTGGTATTCAAAACATTTCAAAAAAGATTATACTTTCTTATTCCAGAGATACCAGGCAGGCCTGTATGTAACTCGCATACAGGTCTTAATTAGTTTAATTAGCTTACTAGAATCTTTCATATTCTATGCACAATATAGTCTTAGTTTCTGGCAATGACAAAAAAACTTACAATTTAATATTAAGGTCTTCAAATAAATGATAAACCGGTACTGAAATGATCAAATCAAAGAGATCATCCATGGTAATGATGCAGTTTCATGTGTGCAATGGGATGGTACTTTTAGTAATCTGATTCCCAGTTTTTTTTTAAATTTCATTAGTCAAAACAACCCACTTATAAAATGATAAACAATTCAGAAATATTTTAAGTTTCTTTTGAAATGCAATTCCATGACCAGAACTTTTTCAATGTACTTTCACATGTATACCTGTACCTTTACAGTTTAAAGTAAGAAAGGGGGGGGGGGGTGGATAACTAAATAGCATTAAGCTATATCTAACGGCTTTAAGAGATAAATCATAAATGAACATTTCAGCCCACAAGTCATGGTTCAATGACCTACTACTCAAAGAAGAATTTACCTCTTTTACATTATTTTTAACAATTATTTTTGCTTCCTGACTCCCGAGTGCATTTCGGGAAATAAACATTTTTAAAACTTATATTTGTGAGGAAACATATCATTAGATAGTTTCTCCTTGTTGGTTATAGCGATACCTTCACCAATGTGGATGGATATTTCATCATAAACAAAACAAATTGAACAGTATGTAAGACTTCTTAATTATTGACACTGCATGGACGAACTCTTAGATATATATATTAGATATTCTTATACTGTTGTACCAAGCATTAACATACCTATAACATATTCCATGGACTGTAATTCCCTCATGGATAGGCCACATGGTTTACATGGCAAAAGATTACTTCCCAATCCATCATTAAAACCTTTTCTTTATCTAGGCTTAAAGGGCAATCCAACCCTTGTAAAAAATTTGTATGAAAGCAAAAAAAATAAGATATTAAAACAGAATGACGAAAGATTGAAATACATCAGACTTATAATAACAAAATCATGAATGTTTGAAATATGAGATCAGTAAGTCTATGCAAATCTCAAATTGGCAATTTGGTCGGTAGATTGTGACGTAGGAACATACACATCGCCCGAGAGAGTTCTGACATCAATCATCATATCATGGGAGACTCCCTACATCACACACATGGTCTCATATTCAACTAAAATTCATAATTTTATTTACCTTGCCCAATTTTCACAAACGTTCACTTTTCATTTTTTTTCTCTACAGGTAATTTTGGGGGGTTTCTACCAGGGCCACCTTTCTATGAAGTGTTAATTCCCCTTCAACATATGGATCAATATTAATCATACAACAAATCTACCTAGCATATTACAATGATGTAACAATAATGTTTTCTATACCTGTAAGCTGAAATATCGATTTTATTTTAAATAAACACATATGAACAAATAAAAATTGTCAACATGTTTTCATAGCAAAGGATAAATTGTATTTCAAAATACCTGTACATGTATACGTGTACATCCCAAGGAGGAATAATGAACACTGTTCTCTGTGAAAAGTAAAAATCAATATTCTTGTCCTGTTGACATTTGCATGACTAACCAGACTGGAAACTTGGGAAGTGCTGCAATCAGATGTTGCTAGGTCAGACATAGCTTTTTTGCGACAACATAGCCCCACGGTGACATCTGATTATGCATTTTAATGTGTTCAAAGTCAAGACCGTATAAAAAGTTTTAATATCAGTAATCAGTTGACTCCAACCCTGTACTATCCATTGGTTTAGGCCCTATGTTGCTTCATTGCGGCTCTTACAGGGTAGACTGTATGAACCCAAATTATAATGTAGCAATTATGTTTGTTTGTTTAAACTTAGAATGACAAGCCCTCCACCACATGAGGGCGCTCTTTACGTTGTTGCCCTGTTACAGTTCAGCTCAGAATGATGTAAGCATTACAAGATCATAAATTATACAATGACCAGAGTAGTGAAAATATTGACTAGCCCTGTTGAATGGAAAAGACTATATTCAATAAGTTTCAGCAGAACAAAATGTATTCAGTGCTTGGTACAAGTAAGGTCAACTGAAGACTACAGAAACAACTAGGTAAGAACCAGTACACAGGCTGGATACAGGTATGGGGAGATACAAGGCAAACATGCAAAAGTGGGGATATTTTGACTGTGAGCGTCGGCAAGGCCATCGGACCATAGACCTACTGAGCTGTGACATGCTGGCTGACACATGCACTGGTAGTGGTAGGGACCTGGCCGAGGCCAAGAAAAGGGCTCTTAACAGATATTGGGAAGTAGTTGTGTCACGACTCTAAATGATAATGATTATTTATCATTATCAAATGAGCCAATAATCTACTATAACAAAGATGCTCAAAAGGGCCTTGGATAGCTTTAAAATGTAGGGTATTTTAAGAATAAATTTTGGTAGTCTTGGAAGGGGAGAGTAAATTCATCTGCAGAATCAACATATTACGACGTCAAGCGCAAAGCTACCTAAAATTATTGGAATCGATCAGAAGAATAGACGTTACTGATAAGGCCAAACTAATCATCTCATTTTGAGATTATCTTCTCCTCTTCCATGCTGGATGTTGTTTGCTGTCCTCCCCATTCTCACTCTCTGAACTGCTCTCCTCCACCACTCGCCTCTTTCTCGTCCTGCAGAACAAACAAACAAACAAAGAAAACAATGCATTCAATCAAATGAACTGATGGATGGTTGTTGCATTACAAGTACATGTAGAGTGTAACATGTGTATAAAAGACCACTCATGGGAGACATCAAAAAATCGTTCTTTGAGCTCTGCTTTAAGTACAGATTCATTTAATCCATATTTCAATGAGAAATGCTATACAAGGGCAACAAAAAACATCCCATGCTATGGACAGGTGGCCTTTCTTTACAGGTGGTTGATAATACCTTTAATAGTCACAACACCAAAACTGAGTAACAAACCAACTGGCCATTTGCAATTAATGTTATGTTATTTTCAGTGAGTTGTTGGTCTGGAGACAGTTTCCTCAGTGTAACTGGGCTATCAAACAGTTTAAATGCATATCTTTATTTCAGTTCTAACTTCTAGGACAACTAACTGGACTACCGTACTGCTACTTGGACAACCAACTCCCTCCCCCCCTCTTACCTTTAGATTACCCCCCCCCCCCCCCCTGTCAGACAATAACCCCTTCAAAATATCCAGGCAAGGATGCCACTATAACATCCACGTAGAGGTGTAATTTACAAACGAATACATTTTCGATGAAGGAAGAACTGGAAAGCAAACGAAATGTACAATTATGAAAGAAAAAAAGAAAACAAAAGCAACCTATATCAAGGTGTATTTTTCATCCAAATTCATCTCAAGGTCATATTTACAGGATCAAAATGAACATCAAAGGATATGATCAACTATAGAGATTGTTCGTGGAGAGCAGGCATATTTGGATTACTTCTTAAGAAACCAGTATCAACAGATTTGGCCAGAATCAAGTAATTCTTCTACTTACATATGAACATTCTCACTGTTGTCTGATGATCGACTTGCTGGATCCCTGTCAGAGGCTGACCTATTACCTGGTCTGGACCTTGTCCTCCTAGATGATCTAGTTCTAGAACTACTACGAGACGATTGAGCTTGGCTAGAGTCCTCTTGAGAGCCACTTCTCTCAACAGTCTCCGAGGTTGGGTGGTCAGCATCTTGACCATGTTGACCAGCAGGGGCAACATCAGCGTCATGGTCAGGTGAGTCTTGGTCTCCAGGAATCCATGTCTTATCACTTTCACTGGAATCCACATTGTGCAGAGAGGAAAGAAACTTCTCATAGACTTCAGGGCTGCTGCTTACATAATCACCATCTTCAAAAGAATCGTACATGAGCAATGAATCATCTGTGATGCTCACATCTGATGAGTTATCTTCTGCGTTTCTCTCCCATGACGGATCTACACTCGAGTCTGATTCATCGATGGGTACCCCATACAAATATTCACGTCCTCCAATTGAAGGTGTTGTTCTGTCTTGTTGACCTTCTGTAAGAGAAGCGCCAGGCTCATTGCTACTAGATGCTTGCAAAGATTGCCCACTGCTGGACTCTGGCCTGTCTCTCTGACTAGAGTGATGACTTCTTTTGTTTCTTGAGCTTCTGCGATGCCCTCTGGTGCTCCTTCGTCTTCTTCCGCTTGCCTCATCCGACTGTCTCCTCCCATCCCCACTTTGAGAACCATCTACTTGAATTATAATAGGTGCAAGAACTAGGGGTGCAAGTGCCACTTCAGATTCTTCCTCAGGTTCTGATACAGACCCCTGTTCTTGCTCGCGAGGAGAAGCTCTTCCAGTGCTTCCATGCTCAACACGAAGGCTACACAGAGACGAGTGTTCATTATCATAAGCATTATCACGCGGAAAAAAACCTTCAGTTGATGCTTCATCATGAGCAGCGCAACGTCCTTCATGAAAACCAGTTGGTTGTCTTCCTTCACCATTCTGTGGTTGCCTATGCCCTTCTCTCCTACCACGCTCTCTGTGAGTGCTGCTATGGGGAGAATTAGCTGATGCTGCATCACGCATTTCCTCAAAGCTTAGATTTTCTATCGCAGAGGAATCCTCCTGGTGCGTGTTGTGTTCTGAGTGTGGACTTGTTGGACTAACTTCATAGACTTGAACAGGTTCATGGTCATCTGCAATAGATTCCGCATCGCTGCTGTCAAGCAAAGAATCATTGAGATCACCCTCTGAATCATTAGCGCTCTCTTCATCAGAATTCAGAAAAAATGCAGTGTCCGAATCTTCATCCTCTTCTCCAACTTCTTCTTCCAAATCTTCAATTTCTTCTTCCACTTCTTCTTCCACTTCTTCCTCCTCTTCCTCCTCCTCCTCCTCCTCCTCCTCATGCTCCTCCGGCTCTTCTTCTTCCGCAAGAGGTTCATCAGGGGAGTACACATCATAAGTCTCTGCCTCCTGGTACTCTGGAGTGCTCTCAAAGTCGTTGTCTTCATTGCCTGAGTAATAGTAAGAGTTACTATCATCATCATTATTTTCTTCATAGTCTTGAATGTCTGTGTACTCCACCATGTCCCTGCTGGGTGAATCACTCTCATCAAAACCAGCCATAGATGAATTATAGGAATCTCTTGCTGATCCCCAGCCTGAGCCATAGTCCTGCCGACAGTTCTCTTCCATGGCTTTGATACGGTCCTCAAGAACTTGGATTTTGGTGTTCAACTTGGTTTCTAGGTCAAGAAGACGTTGCTTGTACTGGTCTTCCATGGCTGTGACAAGAAGACAACGTAAAAGGAAAATTATAACTTTTCATTCATCACTTGAAAGCGACATTTAAAGTAAGTAATTTGTAACTTTTGAAAATACACAATATGGTGACAAATCTGTCAAATCAGTCAATAAGGTTGGGGGAAGCAAATTATTCATGGCTGATCACAATCTCATGTACCAAGGTGCGAACAGAATTCTTGTAGATTAGATAAACAATATTTTTTACCACATGAAAGTAGTATATGTATCTCATAATTTTCCTGGATATTGTTCTTACAATACTCAACTTCATGTACATTAAAGACAACATTATAGGTTTAGGCCTGTAACCGATCATCCGATCGGGGGCCGATCTTGAGCCGATCAAGTGAGATAGGATACTAATTTCTGATCGCTGATCAATAAAAATGATCAGAAAAAAATAGGCAGAATTTTTTTCCCTTTTTAATGCCGAAAATGTTCAAGTTTTTGGGTATTAAATGCTATAATAAAATGCATAGCTGGGATTATTTTGTCATTTGGAGTTGTTGTAGACGATGTTGATGTTTAGTGCCTTTTCATGACTTTGAAATTAATAATATTGGTCCAAGAGAAGAGGCAAAACATGTGGGCCGCCATCTTGGATTATAATGTAGGCATAATTTTTGTCGATAACGATCACAGGTGCGAGGGTGTCGCTCTGATCTTCCGATCTGATCAAAGCTCCAACTTACAATGTAGGATGCAATATACTTCATCAAATTCAATATCATAGTGAAAGCTCTCACCTGTCATACTTGTCTTCAGCTCATCTAAGCAGTTGTGCTTCTTCAGTTTCTCCATGGAGATAGGTAACCCACACCCCTTCTTACACATGATGAGACGATATTTGCAAGTCTGTTCATGGGCCAGCATGTTCTGCCGCAAGACAGTCTGTCCACATCCTGTATTCAAGCACTTGATCGGAGCAAAGTCACAATTCTGGGCATGTTTATCATACATTTCAAGCTTGATTCCATTAGCGCAGCCGTGTTCCCTGTTTTCACAAACGATCAAGAGCCGATTGATCATATTCCTGACGATCGGGAGTACTGGTTTCAGCTTGGCGATGCGGAGTCGCTTGCGACAGTTTGGGCAATTGTTGCGGTTCGTGAGCCATGTCTCGATGCAGACCTTGCAGAAGACATGACGGCAGGGACTCTCCAAGGGATTATCCAGGACACACTGACAGATGCAGCAGATGAGATCCTCATCTGGAGGATTCTCAAAGCGATCCACATCATACTTAGCCATCTTGGGAAGCAGCTAGTTCGTCTTGGCTCACAGCAGATGAACTTATGCCTGTAAGGATCAAACACACAGGAATATGATAATCAATCTAATATTGTTTTACATTTATAAAGCCCCTTTTCATTAAATACAAACAAAGCGCATAAACAAGAAATACTTGTTACAAATCAAAACGATAGAACATTATCATAGTCAAAGCCATTCGCCTAGGGAGCAAACAACAGGACAAGATGTCTAAACCGAGAGCTCTTCTGATCCAATTGGAGAGCCCACACAGGAAAAGTGAAATTCTATCGGCATCCAAGAGACTGAGACAAACAGATAGATGGAAGAATACATATATATCCCCTGATATGACGAGGCAACAAAGAGAGGAGAACTGGAAATTAAGACAAGAACTCAAGCAGAGGAGAGAAAATGGGGAACAAGAACTGGTGATACGCCAGGGAAAGATTGTGACAAGATGGAAGAAGAATCTGCCTAGAAAGGCGAATGGCACCAGGGATACAGGAGAGCCAAGAGAAGTGAACCTTGAAACAAATCTACAGGAAAACGCTGACATTCCAGATCCTGCTCCTCTCAAGCCATGCTACATAGATGAGGATAACGGCATTGAAGTTGATGGAGTATTTGGAGCAGTAGGTGGGTCTCCAAAAAGCCAATGACTTGGCAACATTAATGGAGGACCCATGGGAGGACAAGGGAGTAGAAATTTGGAGCACACAGTCACACATCAGAATAGATTTAAGGTACTGTATACAAATGCTGACTCCCTAATAAATAAAATGGATGAACTACAAGTAACTGTTGGAGAACATAACCCGGATATAATTATGATATGTGAAGTTATTCCTAAATCAGGCAACCTTAAAGTAACACATGAATTAATCAAAGTCGAAGGATATGATGTATTTACAAATATAGACAAGGAAAATAATCACAGAGGCATTGTGATCTACATCAGCAGGAAACTTAAGGCTCAAGAAGTCTCATTTGATTCGGACTTTACAGAAAACACTTGGTGCACTGTCCTACTCACAGGGAAAGATGAGCTTCTGGTCGGATGCATCTACAGGAGCCCATCTAGCATGATGGAAAACAACAAATTATTATGTGAACTTATGCAGTTAGTTAGTGAAAGCAGAGTGAAGCATGTACTTATCATGGGAGACTTTAACTTTCCTGATATCAATTGGAAGAGAGCACATGTGGACTCAACCTCCAACAACTCGTCACACATGTTCCTCACCGCCACACAGGAATCGTTCTTCCACCAACATATAGATGAACCAACCCGGCACAGAAATGGACAAAGGGCTAATGTGCTTGACCTCGTATTTACAAATACCGCCGAATTGATTCTTTCGATCGAATACCTGCCTCCTCTAGGACTAAGTGATCACGTATGTCTATTAGCAGAATTAGACATATTACAGGAAACAGAGAAGACAAGAAAGAGAGAAATTCGTACAATCTATCAGAAAGGAGACTACAAAACTATGAACGAAACCCTGGAGACGATAGAATGGGAAAAGGTCTTTGCAGATAAGAACTGTGAGCAGGCATGGAATATATTTCTCCACAGAATAAAGGAATGCGTGGAAAATTATGTACCTGTACGGAAGTGTAATAAAGACAAAAGACGAAATATTTACATAACAAGGCCCATCTTGAAACTGTCTAAGAAGAAGACACGTTGCTGGAAACGTTATACAGATGAGAACAGAACAGGAGAGGAAAGGGAAAAGGACTTCAAAGACTATAAACAACTAAGGAACCAACTTAGGAAAGCAACAAGAGTAGCTAGCAGAAGTTTTGAAGCAGATCTTGTAGAGAACATTGGCCAAAATCCCAAAGCATTTTGGAGGTACGCCAACAGCAAGGTGAAGAGTAAGAGCCATATTGTGAGTCTCATGAAGGAGGATGGCCAACCAGCTCAAACTGACAGTGAAATGGCAAACATTCTTAATGAATACTTCTCCAGTGTATTCACTCAAGAAGACCTGCAGAATATACCAGACATACAAGTACCCTTACGAATGGACTTACCTACATTAAGCAAAGTAAACATACTAGTGAGCGATGTTGAAAACAAGCTTAAAAAGCTTAACACCAACAAGTCACCAGGTCCAGATGGGACACATCCTAAGGTGATGAAGGAACTAGCCAAGACTATTGCCGAACCACTGACGTTAATCTACAATAAATCTATGCAGGAAAGTAAACTCCCACTGGACTGGAAAAGAGGCACTGTAGTACCTCTTCACAAGAAAGGTAGCAGGACACAAGCTTCCAACTACAGACCTATAAGCCTCACCTCTGTCGCAGGAAAGCTGATGGAGAAAGTTACTCGAGATGCTATAATTACACACTTACTAAGTAACCGTCTACTCTCACAAAATCAACATGGATTTACCCCAGGAAGGACATGTGCAACTCAATTACTTTGCGTACTAGAGGAATGGTCGCGATGGCTCGATGAAGGGAAGGCGATTGATGTTTTATATCTCGACTTCAAAAAAGCTTTTGACAGTGTTCCCCATGAAAGACTCCTACTCAAACTAGAGGCACATGGACTTGAGGGTAAACTCCTAAACTGGATTAGAGCATTTCTGACAGGGAGAGTACAGAGAGTCTTCGTTAACGGAGAATCTTCCAACTGGTCTCCAGTAACAAGCGGGATACCGCAAGGCAGCGTCCTTGGACCGGTCCTCTTCCTGGTCTACATAAATGACCTTCCACTTGACGTGAGAAAGAGCGAAGTAGCCTTATTTGCTGATGACACAAAGCTGTATAATACAGTGAGCACACCAGCACAGATTAATGACCTCCAAGATGACCTAAACAACCTGCACAGATGGTCTGAGAGATGGCAGTTGCCTTTTAATGAGGACAAATGCAAAGTACTCCACATAGGCAAGAGAAATCCTGAAGGGAACTACCACATGCAGGGGAAACTTCTGCAATCAGTGAAAGCTGAAAAGGACCTTGGAGTGACAATTGACTACCAGCTGAAATTCCATCAACATGTATCATTAGCGGTCAGTAAGGGATACCAACTACTGGGAATAATGAAAAGAACTTTCTCCAAACTGGATACGACAACACTACCGATTCTATTCAAGACCCTAATTAGACCACACCTAGAATATGGGAGTGTTCTTTGGCATAGCAGATTTAAAGAAGATGCAAAGAAAATCGAAAGAGTGCAAAGAAGAGCTACCAAATTGGTTCGAGAAATCAAGGACCTCCCATATCAAGAAAGACTTAAATACATGAACATGTACTCTCTGTTCTACAGAAGAAGAAGAGGAGACATGATCGCAGTCCACCAGATCATGCACGGACTAGTCGACATCCCACAAGATCATTTCTTCTCCCAACCTGCAAGTAGAAGTAGATCCACGAGAGGGCACTGTCTCAAGATCCAGAAAGAACACTGCAGACTGGATGTTAGAAGTAAGTCTTTCAGCAGACGAATAATACAAGACTGGAACAGTTTGCCAGAAAATATTGTGGTCTTGGCAACAACGGACAAATTCAAAAGACACATAGATAAGCATTGGTGGGAGTATCGCTTCGATCTCCCATGACTCTCTCCTGTGCATGCGCATACACTCAGTAATAAATCCAACAGGCTAAACCTACTATAGAAGCAGTGACCGGGAATTACAGGCCAACGCCTTCTACCCGTACTTGATGATGATGATGATGATGATGATGATGATGATACAAAGCTTACAGAATTACAAACAGAGAGAAATACTACAACAAATTAAAAAAGGATGTGTTTTCAAAGTATGGAGTATGGCAATTCTTTAGCACAGGGGGTAAGGAGTTCCAGGTTTTGGGGCAATTAATTGGGAAGTACTACTTCTTGATAATGACTTTTTATGTTACACATATTAAGGCTGCGACGGGTAGTCGAATGCTCTAGTACCTGTACGGTTGACAACTACTCGGGTACGATTTTTCGTACCCGAATATTCGGCCGCAAAAAAAAAAAACATAAACAAACCCTCAAACGAACCCTCCCTCCTCTCAATTTTTTGTAATGTGTGTGTTTTGGAGGAAAACCCCCCCCCCCCCCCAAAAAAAAAAAAAAAAAAAAAAATTGTAACAAAAAGAAAAGGAAAAAAAGGGGTGACCAAAATAAAGTGACCTTACCCCCTCCCCCCCCCCCCCCCTCCAAAAAAAACGTGCTGATTCAGCGGCAGGCTGAGTTGTGCGAAATTTTTGATGCGATTTTCAAATGTTAAAACCCCCTCCCCTCAAAAAAATCCTGGCGTACGCTACTGACTGCGCATACCCTGAATCAACGATAACATGGGATGAATTGGGTCAAGACGAGGAATGACCCTTTTTTCCCATCGAAGACTTAATTCTTAAAACTAGAAATATTGCAATCTGTATTGCCGCGCAATGCGAATGTTTCCCCTGGCAGTGGCAGCGTAACGGTAGATGACTTCACACAGGCGCGCGGCATGCCACAACACACCATCAGTATGTAGACCTACTTGTATTGTGCAGTGGCGCGGTTTGCTGTGAAACCTGTGGAAAAGTGTAAAGATAGTCTAGACTATCTATATCAACGTTTATACGAAAAATACTCCAAAAATAACAAGAAAGTTGACACGTAACACTAACAGGTAGACCTAGACCTAGATCTAATACATAGAGGTCTAGCGACTTTTGATTTGGACATTTTAATGAATTTACCGGTACTTCATTTTGGGTATGTTTCAGTAGGGTATCTCCACGCTGGAGTTACGGGTCAAATTTTGGATAGGTTTCTGAACAAGCGCCGACTCTAGACTCGTCTCTAGGCCTAGTGCAGTGAAGAAAGAGACTCAAGTCAGCAGGTCAGAAGTCACGTCAAGTTCAATTTCAACTTGACACTGCATTCAGCACTCACAATCACAATCACATCACGTTACGACTTCGATATTCTAGCCAAAAATATCATTGAAATATGTTAGATAATCTTACTAAGTTTACTGTACTCTCAAAGAAGCTAGAGCTTGAATTTGAACATCAGTCTTCGAGCTTTGACTTGAGCTTTCAGTCCATGATCATGATCAAGTTGCGCGACATAGCCTAAACTAGGCCGATAAAGTTTATAATACCGGCGGTGTCTATCTTCACGTCCTACATTTAGAAATTACAAACCTAGCGTTATACATAGAAATTACGGATAGTAGGACAGCCGGATTGACGATGTTAGTGCGATCCCTTCAAGTGCAAACAAAATAATGGTGCCTCTGAAAAACTGGCTTTACCCGGGGTATATAACCACATCATAATTGACATTCCATACTTATCTTCTTCCGGCTGACGCTTTAATTATTATTCTCAGCAGTTTCAGGTTCCCACTTTTAGTTTTCTTTTATAGGTAGATAGAAATGCCCTTTAGCTGTATCAGACCCAAGGCTAATGATCAGATATGAAAATGGGGCACTTCTTACATCTAAAAAAGAGGCACGTACCAGGGATGAAAAGGGATTTTATGAGAATGGGAAATGGGCATTTGTCGAAAAGGGGCACCAATCAGATTTTGATAAGAACATTTATAAGAAGTGAAAAGGGGCATTTATGAAAAAGGGATAGGTTACTTATTAGAAAGGAAAAAGGGGCACATATCATTGTTAAAAGTGTAAATATATCAGAGGTGGAAAGGGGCACTTATCGCATCTGAAAAGTATGGTATGGTATGGTATTTATTTCATTCTTCATAAAAAAACATATACAATACATACAGAGTATTAAAAAAAAAAGAGAAATATATAAATACATGTAGAAGGGTAACATTACAGATAATATGAATACAATAAAAATAACAAGGAAACTAGTTAAGAAAGAAAATTTATGTCGAATGAGGGGTCAACAAAAAAGAGCATTTAGCCTTGTTAAACGTTGACCCCTAAACAAGTACGTAATTAACATAACATTAAGAAGAAAAAGAAAGCAGGTAGAAACAGTAAAACGGAAAAGGAAAACATTATACAAAAAAAATAACATATATATATACTATGATATTCAGGTTGTTGAGTACAAATTTGATAAAAACAATCGGAAGGAACGTTTAAAACTATTTAAGGAAGGTTGATTCTTTAGATGGTTTGGAATCGTGCTCCATAGATGAGGACCTTTATAAAAAATAGTAAACTTTGAAATATTAGTTCTAACTTTTGGCAGATGGTATTCAACAGCATTACGTGTATTATAATTATGTATGTTACTATTTAAAATAAATTTTGATGTGGAGATGGTAATAAGCCTCTAGAACACATAAACATAAATATTGCAATATTCAATCTATTAATGTCATAAACATTTAGGAGATTTAACTGGGAAAAGATTGGCAAAGTATGAGCATGATATGGTGAATTAGAAATTATTCTTATGGCTTTTTTCTGCAAAACAAATAGTTTAGTAATAAAATAATCATGATTGTTTGACCAAGCAATATTACAATAATTGACATGGGAGAAAATCAATGCATAATATAACATAACTAAAATATGTCTTGGAAAATGTCTCAAACGGTAAATAATGCCAACAGCTTTGGCAACACGATTGCATACGACACCAACGTGTTCATGCCATGTCAAAGATTCATCGATATGAACACCTAAAAATTTCACACAAGAAGTACGATTAATTTGATGACCATAAAAATTGATTGCAAAATTATCTTCAATACGTCGTTTAGTGAATACAATATATTGGGTTTTATCAACATTCAAAACTAGTTTATTGTTGATCAACCATTCACTTAATTTATTTATTTCAGAATTGAATGAATCAACTAGCGTACGGAGATTATTATGAGACATGAACACGCTGGTATCGTCTGCAAATAATATAAAATGTAACAAATCAGATGAACTCACAATATCATGATATAAATTAAAAAAAGTAAAGGACCAAGTATTGAACCCTGGGGCACTCCACAACGAATGGGCAAATATGAAGATTGTTGATTTTGAATAGAAACAAATTGTTGACGATTTGATAAATAATCTTTAAATAATTGCAAAAGAATTCCACGAATACCATAAGCCTCTAATGTACGTAACAAAATTACATGATCTAAAGTATCAAAGGCTTTACTTAAATCAAGAAATAAACCAATTGTGAACTGTCTAGAATCAATTGCATAAGAAACTTTATCAATGAAATTAAGAAGAGCAGTCGTTGTGGAGTGTCCCGTTCGGAAACCATGTTGATTTTCAGACAAAATATTGCACGATGTTAAGAAAGTACTTAAACGCTTATATAAACACTTTTCAAAAATTTTAGAGAAAATAGGGAGGACAGAAATAGGCCGGTAATTATGTACATTAGTGCGATCACCACTTTTAAAAACTGGAATAACTTTGGCTATTTTCATTTGATTAGGAAAAATACCAGTTGACAAACAAGAATTGAAAATAGAACAAAGAGGTACACAAATCAAATGTATAATTTTCTTAACAACAGTAATATTAATATCATCATAACCAGCACTGGTACCATTCTTCAAACAACGAACGATATCGATAATTTCTTTACATGATATAGGAGTAAAATATGCTGATTTGTCATTAACAAATACATTATCATTGTAGAAACTGTTGGAATATTGCACATTGTTTGTCAGATTGAAACCAATATTAACAAAATATTCATTAAAGCTTTTAGAGATATCTTCTTTGTTTGTAATTGTGGAACCATTTACATCAATTTTTTCAACACAATGTTTGACAGATTTCGTACCAAGTTCTCCATTAATAGTCTTCCAAATTAGTCTAATATCACCCTTATCATGATTAAATTTATCCTTAAAATATTGATATTTAGCTTTCTTAATTTCATTTGTAACTTTATTTCTGTATTGTTTGTAAACTCTTTTCCTATATTCAGTTGAATTTTTCAAAGATTTTTCATACAATTTCCATTACTTTTTAATTTTTTTCATCAATACTTTATTTATCCATGGTTTATGCTTACGTCTATTAACATTTATTTCTTGCAAAGGAAAGCATTCTTCATAAATGCGAATAAATTTTGACAAAAAGCAACTATAGCTCACATTACAATCACTTGATTTCAAATTCCATCTGACATTTTGCAATCGTTTACTGAATTCAAAAATATTACTATCATTAAACTGTCTTTTGCTTATTACATATTTCTTTTCCTTGAGGCAATGACCATACATGAAAAGAGGCACTTATGCGTATGAAAAAGGGGCACTAATGATAAAGGGGAATGTGCATTTGTTGAAAGAAAAGGGGCACCTATCAGATTTTAATAGGGGCATTTATCGGAGGTGAAATGGAGCTTTTAAGTGGCTCTTATTAAAAAGAAAAAGAGGCACGTGTTAGAATAAACGGGGCACTTATCACAGGTGAAAAGGGGATGATTATGAGAAAGGGAAGGGGCACTTATAATTAATAAGGATAAGAGCATTTATTATGAAGGAAAGGGGGGACGTTTCAAAATAAAAGGGGCATTTAGCGCATAGGGACTTAAATTTATTTTTGAGATATGCGCTATATAATAATGATTTATTATTATTATTGTGCATAAGAGATGAAAAGAGCACTTATCAGGAGGGGAAGGGGCACTTGTCAAAGTAAAACGAGTATCTATTAAAATTGAATCCCTTAAATAGGGTCATTTACAAAAGATGAAAAGGGGCACTTATGAGAATGAAAAGGAACTATTTACTTAGATGAAAAGGGGCATTTATGTTAAGGGAAAGGGCTCTTTTATAAATGGGGGCACTTATCATAAGGAAAAGGGGCACTTATTAAAAAGGAAAGGGGGCAGGCACATGTGAAAATTATGAGGTGCGCTTATCCGAGTTAAAAAGGGAAGGGATACTTTTTATAAAGAAAAAGGGGAACTTGTCAAAGCAAAAGGGGAACATCTCAAATTTGAATAGGGCAATTATCAGAGGTGAAGGGGGCGCTTATTAAAAGTGAAAAGGGGCGCTTCTCGTACCTGAAAAGGGAATTACTAGTGATTAAAAAAGGCTCTTATGAGAATGGAAAATGGACACTTAATTGCAAAGGAAAATGGGAACTTTTCAAAGGAAAAGGGGCACTTGTCAAAGTAAAGGGGCACTTCTTACAAAGTTAAAATCTGATTGACACAAACAAAGTGATCACTCTTAAACTTACTAAAGAAAAATCAAGTTGATTTCTCTTTCTTAACCATATCAACAATTTTATTGGGAACTTTTTGGGGCAACAAACAAATTCGTGCATAACATGTCCCTTCGAGGCTAAGCCCCGTCTTCCCGCAGTCAAATTATTACACCCCCCCCCCCCCCCCCCTCCCCCGGCACTCCACCCCCGACCCCGCCCTAGCCACTTCCCCCACTTCCCACACAAAGAATTTTGACTCTTGGCTCGGGTGAAACTCATTTTCTTAAATTTCACCGGTAATAGACTTCTCTTGGTCGTTTCTACATTATGCGAACGGTGTACGCGTTTAGTACGTACTCATATCCTTGATATCGACCTAAACAAACGCCAGGAAATCTTATCTATGGTTCCCGCACTGAAATCCGCGGGAGATACACAATATGTACACAGAGCTGATGAATTCGAATTCAGCGATTTGACTTCTTAGGTTACCTAGCTTGAATTGCCGGTACAAAGACGTTTAGACTGCATTTCATGTATCCTTGACTTCGTTAGGTGGGAGTGAGAATCTGTCTTAGCCAAGGTATGTGTCAGTCGACCTAGATTATCACTTAGAACCTATGGATTATCAATAAATATCATGACTTCCAATTTTTCCATGCAACTTTTTTTTATCACAGGATGTCTGAACTCTGATGAAGATGACATGAAGATGTCATGAACTTTATTCATAATGTTGTTTGTATTATTGTAAATGTAATGTTATGAAGGGCGCTGAGTGACATTAGACGATCTGAATAGATCTAGACCTATCTGATTATTAATATTATCTCTTCAACACACTTTGAAATCGCGGTCAAGAATTTAACCAAATCTTCCAAGTGTTTCTGATGAGTGATGTCAGTCAAGAAGACTCAAGTCTCATGATTGATAATGAACTGGCAATGCGACTGAGTTACATGACAAATACGCTGCCCTTTGCCTAGAGGTTGCAATGTTGATCCTGCCTCCATTCGTGTTATTTAGTTCCCTCCCTTTGAAAGCACCCCTCTAACTCTAAGTCTGTGTGTGTAAATTCAATACGGGCCAATACGAGCCGGACTGTGTTGCATGAAAAGTACCGCTTTACCAGAGATTTTTGGAACATGAATGCGGTCCCTCCGTTCCTTAAGTGGGGGGGGGGGCCAGGGAGGGGGCAGGCGGGAAAAGCAAGAAATAATATAAATATAGACTCTAGTGTACAAAAAATCTGATTTTACATTACCTTTTTTATGCTGACTTTACGAAAATGGTATAGGTCTAGTTTAGTTTAAATAGGCGGTGGTCTGTGACTGAGTGTGTGCCAGGAATTTGCTGAGTTCTTCTTCTTCTTCTTTTTCTTCTTCTTCTTTAAGATAATCTGCCTCCTTCAATACTGAAGATTCTTGCAGATGCCGTATACTCGGCCTGATTGAGGTATGCAGGTGGACCATTACACCGGGGTTTCCCCCTACTCTTATACGAATAGTGCAATGGGTTCTTAACGTGCAAGGGTGGTGACTCTCCTGTACACGGGGCCCTCCATTTAACGTCCTATCCGAGGGACGGAGTGTTTTCCACTTGACATAACCTGCGTCTATGAACAAGGGAAGGGGCACGTTCCCGGCCCCCCACTCCGAGAACGGACGGACCCCATGCGTGTTGCCAAAATGTCCTTTTCGTAACAAAAGAAAAAGGTCGACCCGTATCGACTTTACACACCGGACTTTTGCTGAAAAGGGGGGGGGGGTGCTGAAAAAGGCTCGTATACAAAAGAAAAAGGTCGAGCTGTATTGACTTTACACACCAGACTTTTGCTGAAAAGGGGGGGTCGGTTGGAACACGCATATGCGTACCCTAAATAACACTGAGTGGGGGGCCGGGGCACGTTAACACACAACGCAGACTTCAGTCATCTGCCTGGGTTGGAGTCGAACCCGGGATCTTTGGTTCAACAGGCATACGCTTTACCGACTGAGCCAACTCGCCTCATCAGTGACTCAGTGACAATTGCTTTAGTTGCATTCTATTTCTAGTCATCGCCAGTGACATAAAGTGAAGTCAGCAGCTTCACTTGAAATAATTTAACTATGACCACAAACTGGCAACGGATGATGAATGCATGCTGACCTAGCTACTAGTACTACCACACAAATATCTTAACTCTTTGGGCTTAGCAAGGCAAGGACATCACAATTGGATGATGTTTTGCTCATTAATAAAACTTTTGGGTCACTGACAGCTCAGGGTCTAAATCTAGAGAGCTGCAAAAATCATGAAACTAAAACCGTCCAGACAAAAATATTTTCAATTTTTTTTTTCTTTCAGGTGCTTATGATTTTTAGATGTGTTCCTTCTTAGAAGATGTTATGATGATGTTTATCACAGACTACTCATGATTGGTGTAATGGAGAAAACCCTGGAGGAAGCTGCTCTTGAGAAGGTAATATTTTGTGAAATTCAACAAAATGACAAAGATATGTTGCTTTTGTGTACAGGTAATAATTATTCTGAATGTTTGTGCACTCGGTTTAAACAAAATTGTAGGTGGGGGAAATGCTGGCATGTTGACTTCAAATACATTGTCATTGTTCTTTTAGTACCGGTTAGTTGGTCTTTGATATTCATATCCGAAATGACTACCAAAAATATATGTATCTTATATTCCTGTTGAAATGGAAAGACATTTGAAGAGGATTACTTTGATGAAATCTACATAGAGCGTGTCCTGCTTCAATTTGTTCACCTCTAAACATATATATTTTTTATATTAAAGGGAAAGTCCACCCCCAAAATAAGTTTGTTTCGATAGAGGCAGAATAATAAGAAAATCAGGTGAGTGAAAGTTTGAGCAAATTCTGAATGAAAATAAGAAAGTTATGAATTATTGAAGTTGTGATCAATCAAATACAAATTGGCAACTCTGTGACTTATTATACGAGCTCTCCTTCATTTGCTTTGTGCATAATATTCCATAAAATCATGTTTTTTTCGTTATTGATGACGGAATATATATTTGTTCCTTGCAGGGGGAGTATAGAAACATATTTGCAATTATTATATTTAGGGTGCATGTATGGTTGAAATTTTTCTTGAGGGAAAATGAAAATTTTAGATTTTTTTAGTACTGAGCAAATGGAAGTTGAGCTCGTATGATACGTCATAGAGTTGCCAATTTGTGTTTGATTGATCACAACTTCAAAAATCCTAACTTCCTTATTTTTAATCGGAATTTGCTCAAACTTTCACTGACTTGTTTCTCTCATTTTTCTACTCCTACTAAAACTAACTTAATTTCAGGGTGGACTTCCCCTTTAAACTAAATTCTCAACAGAAAATGTGTGATCTGCATTCATGTATGTTCAGCCATTGGTAAATACCAGCTGTAAGATTTAAGGTTATTTTTTCTTGTAAAGATATATTTCTTGTGTAAATCTGGTTTACATGTCCATGTCACTCCTTTCTGTAAATTCTGTCAGGCTATATCCTATGTATTCTTCACTTTTCAGGAGGAGGTCTCTGTTCCAAAGCAAAAGAAGGCAGAAGTCAAGACACCCTCCATAACAAACTTCTTTAAACCACCAAGCAAACCTACCCCACAGACAGAGGAAAGCAAGCCAACAGACCTAAGAAATTACTTTCAAGTGACCAAGAAAAATGTTGTCCCAGATCAGCCTAAAATCTCTAGTGATCAAAACTGTCAGGAAGATTCTTCCCTGAAAGTTGAAAAAGCAAATGCTATTGAGGATGGTGACAGTAAACTGAAAAGGAATAAACGGGGAGGAGAAGTTAAACAAGTATGCAAGAAGCCTAAGAAACACAAATCAGATTCCAATCTTAAAAGTGATGATGAAGACAGGGATTTTGAGTCACCGCCCAAGAACAGGAGAAAGAGAAAATCTAGACTAGATTCAGATTCCATAGCTGATTTTATTGATAGTGAAGACTCTAAGCAAGGTCATGACTTGTCAGAGAATGGAAGCTTGCAACCTCTTACAGGCCAAGATGAGATGGAAGTCTCTGAATCAGATGGTACTGAGATGCCTTGCAATGGGGAAGATGCACAGAACACCAGTACAATAGTATCTTATGAAGATTTCTTGAGAAACTCTATGGAAGATGAGGATAATAAAGAAAGTGAAATTGAGAATGAGACCAAAGATGTTGTTGAAAGTGTTCCAAAAGAAGTTGACCATCCACCAGATTCAATCATGCTTACACCTCCCGACTCTCGATGTTCTCAAGAAAGTCCCACTGGGGACCAGCTGGCTACACCACCTGCCAATCAGCATACAATGAAGGAAGAGGAAGCCAATGATAGTGACACCTGCCTTCGTAAATTCATCACCGTCAAAGCTCAGGTGCACAGTCCCCTTGATGGGAGAGACAAAGACTCTTCTCCTAGTGCCTCACAGATGCTGAATTCTGAGACGGATTCCAGGAAAACAGGGTTTGGTCCACGCAGGTTGATATCTAACGTCTGTGTACCTGACTCAAGTCCAGAACTCAGATTGATATCTATAGAGACAAAAGATGAACCTAAGAAAACAGGACCAGTGTATAACATTTTCCAGCCAAAAGCTACAGGTTTTAAGAAAGATGTAACCAAGAAAGAGCTAACCAAGAAGGAATCTACCAAGGAGGAAGCTACCAAGGAGAATAAACAAGAACAATCTGGGCATGTGAAAGACTTGACCAAAGAGAAGGTCAAGGACAATGGTGAAGATGATACAGAAAAGAGAACAATGGAGAAGCAAAAAGAATTACCTGACAAACCAGATGTTGTGAAAACACAGGATGTGGATGATAATATTGCAAAGGGGAAGAAAGAGAAGGAAGGGACTATAAAGAAGGATTCGTTGACTGCGAAAAACAAGAAATTGAAAAGGAGTAAGAAGGTAGCAGTAGCCAGAAAGGACAGGGAGTCACAGGAAAGTCCTCTTGCTTCAAAGCCAAGCTCAAATTCAAAGTCTTTTGTGGGGGAAAAAGAGACAAAGGAAGATTCATTGATACCTCCAAGACGTGTTCTGAGAGCCAGAGTTTCCAAGGCATCCACTGATGCAGATTCTAGCCTGGAAGAGTTTGAGGATGTCCAACCGCTGAAGACCAAAGCCAATAAACAAACTAAGAAAGCTACACCGAGTTCCAATAAAACATCTGTGAAGGCAGAGGTAAAAGATAAGAAGAGAGGATCAGAGAGATCAAAGACTGAGCACCAAAAGTTCAAGTCCTCCTTGATGTCAGGGGGTAAAGGTCAAGGTCCCATCAGACTGAAGCTGACTGCCATCAAAGCATCACCAAAGGTAAGATGGTGGTATCATATATCAGAGCATTAGCAATTAAAAAATGACCTACTCAATTTACTAATTATATTATTTTTTTAAATAAATACCTTTTTTTTTCTAACCTGGCAATTAGTGTTGAACCCCAATTGAAATATTTAAGATATGATGATAGTAATTGCATTTTAAGCTGCTATAGATTTCACATTCTTATTACCAGAGTCAAATTATAGTTTGTTGGCTAACAACTATATCGGGACTCATTTTTTCCCCCTATTTGCAACTTGCTGCCACGGTTACTTTTTTTTTTGGGGGGGGGGGGGGTCTAATTTAATGATTCCTCACACTAGGCTTCAATTGCATAACATATCTTGTCAAAGATTCTTGTATGATTGTAACCTATATCCTGTTTCTTGTATCTACAGAAGAACAGCAAGGTTACCAAAGCTCAACAGCTCCTACAGAAAGCCAAGAAGGGACATCAGACTACTCTGGTTTCTAAAACACTACTGTCAAGACAACTTGTGAAGAAGAAGAATACCCAAACAACGTTTCCTCACTCAAAGTCAACGGCGGTATCATCTAAGGCTGAGAAAGCTTACTCTTTGAATAAGAAAGGCAAGATGGAGGAAACTAAAGAGAAACCTGCGAAGAAGTCTGAGAAGAAGGTTGGAGGTGGTGCACAGACGCCACGGAGGAGATCTAGCTCAAGGAATAAACCAAAGACACCACCTAAACGTGAGTAGATATACTTTTTACATTTCCATAAAACAGCTTTTGACTCATGGTACTTGCTTTGTATCAAAGTTCATCTGTTTATTGATTCACTAGTGCCAAACAACATACAGCATTGTTAGAATGTGATAAAGGGTCTGAAATTACAATATAGAATTCTTTACCTCATAGAGACCAGAATTATAACATAATAATAACAATAGGCATTTCTATAGCGCCATCTATCTAGAAATTCTATTCCAAGACGCATTTATTATTACCCCGGCTTTAGCCTAGCTGCCATAACAGCGCTCCAGCATTTCAAGGAATTAATTCCTGCCAGGTACCCATTTACATCACCTGGGTTGAGTGTGGCAAATGTAGATCAATGTCTTGCCAATGTCTTGCCAATGTCTTGCTTTTACACTGAGTAAATACATTGTTGGATATTGTGTTTTGATTCACAGCTGCTGCCAAACTAGCCCCAATCTTCACCAAGCAAGGCCAGCTAGCTGCTGCCAAGAAGTTTAAGCAAGATAGTATCCTGGCTGCCATAGCTGAATCCTTACCAGTAGATGAAGCCAGTAGAGACAGTCTGATAGACTCCAAGGAGACCATGAGTGACCTCAGTGGACCAGGGTTAGGGTTCAACATGCTGGAGCAGCTCAAAATGAAGCCCACGCTAACACAGAAGGATGCCAGTATGCAGCTTATCAAAGCCTGCCATGTTTTGCAAAAGGGTAGGTTACATGCACTGCCCAAATTTCTTTTTTTACTTTGTCCCTCTCTGTCTCTCTCTGTCTCTTTTTCTCATTCTCTCCGTTCCATTTTACTCTGTTTGCCTTTCTCTTTTATTATTTTTTTCTTTCTCAGTCATGTGGGTTATTTCTTCCCTCTATTTATACCATATTTAAATGTGATCAAATTGTCTTAATTTCTATACCAGGAGCAAAAGGCAATGTCTCCTAAAGAGAATTTATATGAGTTGGGTTGTACCACATGATGATATCAATTTGTGCTGCAAAAGACTGGAAGCTAGAAGCAAATACATGTTAGAGACCAAGAAATCATTTATGGTAAACTCGTTTCACTATTTCTTTTTTTATATTTTAAGAACTTGTATATCTTCTTTATTCCTGTCATATTGTATCATTATTTCTGTTTATTTCAGATGATACCAATCCATTATGGAAGCTACCCTGTCCTGGACTTGGCAACTGGAAGCTGAAAGATGACCTTGAAGCAAAACCACAGATCAGCCAAGACATGAAATTAGCTCCATCATCTGTCTCATCTCCATCCATTAGTTGTAAGTTCAAGGTAAGTGTTTACAGCATTAAAAAATTGTAGCCCTGGCCACTAATTTACAAAACTTATCATCAGTGACAAATGACAGTTTTTGTTATAAGCCAGTGAATCTTTGCTTCTGATTGGTTATCAGCAGATTTGTCACTGATTTTTGTCATTTGTCATTGAAAAAAAGCTCTGTGAAACAGGTTCCTGATCACAAAAGTCACCTGAACAAATAATGCTATTGATGTAAGTGTTCTTGAACTTTCAGCTACATGAAGTGAAGTGCATTATATAATGTACCGGTAGTCAATTAACTATTTGTAGACTTGAGATGTATTCAAATGGGTTGAAAATTATGGACAAGTAAAAAAAAAAAATTGGACTGTCTAGTACTCAATTGGTCTCTTGCAATACTCTTGTGATCTTCATAAAAGAGATATTTCTAGTTCCTTGTCTGTATTATACCGACCTTATCAGTAATTCTCCCTCAGACTAGACTCACAACCTTGCATTTCACATCCTGGTTCTTTTTTACAATGAAACCTTATATGAAAGTAGACCTGTTGGTCTGGTGTAAGGAACAGACATCAATATGTGTCTTTACATAGACACAAGCCTCATTAATGTCTAAACTGATGCGACCTACTACATAGTACTGAAATGTAAAAAAAAATAAAAAATTCTGCCTTCTCAAACACGAAGGCTGTATGAAAAACGCAAGTCATGTTTATGACGTACATTATGCTATAGGTGAATTTGGGTACTGTTTCTTGTTTTCAGCTCTTTGAAGGACATCCACCAGTCAGTGAATCCGATAAGAAAGCTGTCATGGATGAAATCCTCCGAGCCAACCCTAAGTTCCCTATTCAAAAGATCTTCAAGATGTATCAGGCAAAGAAAAATGGAGAAACACAGAAGAAAGACAAAGACAATTCTGGTAATTATTTATTTTTTTTAAATTCAAAATGCTCTGGGCAGAAAAGAAAGATTAAAATAAATGCAGAGGGAAACTGACTGAAATATATCTAAAAATGATATTTCAGTCTTTACATAAGTACAGCAAAAAAAATGTTATCCTGTCAAAGGATTCTTGCTTGAGACTTCCTAATGCTTTTCTACTCAATATTTTATCATGGATTTATGTCTAGTCAAGTAACAAGAGGAGATTTTGAACATGTGCAATGCATGTAGCACCTTCATAATGATATAGTTAGCAATATTGTCATTCTTGTTTCTTACAAATTGCCATTGTGTATGGTTAAACCTCTGTGCTTCCCAGATGTTCAAGCAAGTGACCAGGGTACTCAAGAAGCAGCCGCTAGCTCAGAGAGTGTACCAACCATGAAAAGCTCCAAGCTTTCAAGAGGCAAGCGAAAAGCGGAAGATAAAAACGATGACGACAACGCAAGAAGAAAGATAGCAAGGCGTAGTGGGACCCGAGGGTGTGCTGGGAGATCTCTTGAGGCTGGTTTAGATGGTGAGCCAGCAGAGGAGGTAGGAGATGCAGAGGAGAGGTCTTTGAGGAGGTCATCCAGGAGGAGCAGTAGAAGGGTGTCAAGAGAAGTGGAAGAGAGGAAGGATGGAGATGGGAAAGGAGAAGAGGAGCAGAAAGCAGAGAAGGATGGAAAGAAAGATACAGTAGTGGAAGGTAGGTTTAGGGTCTTATAAGCATTCAAAGTTTACTCTCTTCTGAACATTAAGTGTATTGATGATTTACTGCTTCATCTACAGACCTGATAATTACCTGATTTCTTTTCTTTTTTTTAATTCTTCCTGATTTTACTTTTCTTCTTCTTCCTGATTTCTCCCAATTTTCCCCTTCTTTTCCCAAATTTCCCTGATTTTCCTGATTTTCCTAATATCCTTACTCAAAAGGGGGGGGGGGGGGGGAATGTTGTTAGATGCCATTCCCCCCCCCCCTCGAATCCCTTTTTTTTTAGTGCCCACTATCACCCCTGAATCTATCTCTTTTCCAGTAGATAAAAGGTGACCAAGGTTGAATAAACTTAATTTGAGCATATTGTCCCATCCGTCTGTACCATGCAATAACTAACAATTAGCTTTATTGTACATACAGCTGGCAAGTTGCATAAAAGCTCCTTATTTTGATAGGATATCCATTGTGGATGAATTGCAAATATAAAAAAAACATGATAGTGCGGATCTATCTGCATTGTCACACTATTTTCCTGCAAATTCTCTTCCTGATTGATTTTTTCCCCCTTTTTTTCTTCAGAGAGCCGAGAAGAGAAGCGACGAGCTGGGTTACTGTGGACTGAGAAGTATCAGCCGACTGCCGTTTCTGAAATGATTGGTAACACTGCTCTCTGTAGGAAGTTTAGCTCGTGGTTGACGGAATGGAAGAAGAAGACACTGAGAATGAAAGAGAAGACACGGAATGCACAAAGGAAGGACAAGAGAAAATCTAAAGGTAAGGGTTAGATACCTGAGGGAGGTCGGGTAGAAATGATTGGAATAGAATTAGATCTGGGCCCCTTTGCACAAAACTTACAGTTGATGGTAACTTTGCCATCAATGGTAACTACCATGGAAACCTTGATTTTGATGGTGTTGAGCTCTGTTACCATGGTAGTTGCTATTGATGGCTAAGTTACCATCAATAGTAAGTTTGATGCAACGGGCCCTGATCTCTTGGCATGTCCTTGTTAATTTCCTTGTAATCACTTACAAAAACGTATTCATATAATCTTTCCTCATATGGTTAGAAACAGATAAACTTTGTACCTGTTAACTATATGCTTATCCATAGTTGTTCTTATCATGATGCGATAGTTCAACTTGCAATCAAATATGTCATTGAGTTATTGTAATTATGCCTGCAGTACTCATAGATTCTTTATGTGTAATTAAAAAAAAAAATTATCCTTAGTCATTCTTGAAAATTCCATCTACCTCTTCCTTTTACAAATACTCCCTATGTATGTTTGTTTTACTGGCTTCATGGACAGAGCACTGATATCATATATTTAGTTGTATATGAAAGGCTAAAATTGACAGGAAGTAATTTGCTATTCCTATGTTCACTGTCATACATCTACAATGTTTACAGCCCTGTGTATATTTCCTTCACTTCTACCTAGGTTCTCGGAGGATCGAGAGTGATGATGAGAGTGATGATGACTTCTGTTGTAGTGATATCGAAGACAGTGATGAGGAGGATGGATTATGTAACACCATTCTGCTTTCTGGACCACACGGAGTAGGAAAGACATCCCTTGTCTATGCTTGTGCACAGGAGCTAGGATTTGAGGTAACTAAAGTGTATTTGATGTTAATCATCCTGGAGACAGTATCCATGACAGGACCAGTGTTTATATGATCCTTAGGGGGGGGGGGGGGGGGGTGTTTCACAAAGATCCGAAACTTAACTCTAAGGTGGACTTGAACATTATGCAGAGCCAGTTGTAGCCTCAAAATAAAATATATTCAAAAGCAAAAATTCAAATATTTTAGACTTTTATAAATTCTACATCAAGACCATTAAATATCTCCTTGATAATAAAAAATATGAATGACTAGAATCAACATTTTATGCTTTTTAAATTATCTTTTACAAAATATTTTCAAAGATGTTAACTGCTTTCCATAGTTGTTAGGTCCAACTTAGAGATAAGTTTAACTTAGGATCTTTGTGAAACACCCCCCTGGTTCTCTAGAATGAAGAAGACAATCAAAGCATGGTGATTGTAGCAGAAGTTTGCTATTATTTTCACTACTGCAGGAAATTATTATTTTGGTGTATCATAAGGTTTCAAATAATTGATACCGTTTTTAAGATGGTTTTACATTATGTTTAATAAAAAATTAAAATGATTTTAAGGTAAGTATGTGTTAATGTGCTCTAGACTTTGATACTTAAACTTACTATAAGTTTTTGTTGTTTTCCAATTAATTTCATCAGGTGTTTGAGGTGAATGCGTCATCCCGTCGCAATGGCCGACAGATCTTAGCAGAGCTTGGAGAAGGCACTCAGTCACATCAGGTTGCTAGGCAACCAGGCTTATCCTCCACCAGGTTCTTTAATCAATTTCCAAGCAAGTCTGTCTCTACCAAGCCTGCCTCACCCAAGAAGAAGAAGAAACCAGCCCTTCCCAAAGCCTTCGCTGGTTTCGTCAAGATTGGGAGCTCCTCTAGCTCGAGTACCAAAAGATCTCCAGTCAAGAAAGCAAGGTAATAATAATAATAATATTTAATTTTTATAATAATAATAATAATATTTAATTTTTAAATAGCAAGAAAAGCAAGGTAACCATTGATTACAGGCTGTGGCTTGCGCTTATTACACATGCTTACTCATCAGGTTGGTAAGACACTTTGCCATCTTAATCTAAATATGCTTTGCACTTTTGTGGCAAGATTTCTGAACGTGCCTTTTTTTTTTCTTTTTCTTTGATACAGTTAGTAATACTGAAATCTTGACCAGGCTTAAGATTCCACATTTCTCATCATAGCAAAGGATGGTTTGCTCTGAAAGATGATTTATTCACGATAATTAATAAATCTCTTTAACCTCTTCTTACCGATAGTACTATTTAAAAAATTAAATATATATTGCCATGGCTCACCTCTATGTACTGTACCTAATCATGCTGCCTGCATTTATTGGTGTATAAATATTTTTCCAAGCAAAGAACTAAGCATTTTTATACAGAGATAACATTATTATATTTCATTTGTTTTAGAAAATTCTAAAGAAATAATTTCAGTTGTCATTTTAAAGCCCCACTGCACAACTTATAGCTACTTGTGCCCTCTATATAGCAAACAATGCCTAATCTGTGACCTTTGATCCTCATGGTCCTCTTTTTCTTATGTTAATTGAGAGCTGATTTGATGAGATAACCACCTGTAACTGACCTTGCAGGGAGGTCTAATCCCTCACGGCCAAACTAGTGCAGAGGGGCTTTAATGACTTTGTTTCGTACAGGTCTGACCTTATTTTCTTGTTTGTTCTTGAATAGTGTGAAGAAGTCTCCTAAGAAAGCCATCAAACAGTCACCCATCAAGAAGATCTCCTCATCCCAGCCACCTGGATCTCAAGCAGCCAGCACCAAACCTAAGATCACTTCAACATCACTTATCCTCTTTGATGAGGTGTGTACAATGTCACTTAACTCATGTTGTGTTGTGTCCTGGGATTCCCACCACAGAAATACAACTTACTACAATCTGCAATCATTAATTGTCAATGTAACTCTATTTTCTACATGAAACAAGAGTGAATGCTAGATATGCAAAGTTAAACATATACCGATAATTTAAAATGACCAACTGAATTCTTTTAGGTTCCCTAGGACAAGCAAGTGTTTGTAACTTGATAGCATTGAAAGGGTCAAATATGGATGTTTTGCCATTCTATATTAAATCTTGCTGATTCAGTGTAGGATGCCTGATTGGCCTAATTTCTTTAAAGGTTGGTATCCCAGTATTTTTGTTTAAATCACCCATTAAAACAATTCTTTGCACGTTATCAAAAGTATGATATACATTTTAAAACGGAATAATTTGCCAGTTTGTCCAATCTAATCTGGGCAGTATGATGAAATTCTTTGGAACACAGTCGCTAGAGCTTGATTATACTTCTCTTTCTTTCAGGTTGATATAATATTTGAAGAAGACAAAGGATTCCTGTCCACTGTGATGTCATTCATGGAGAGCAGTAAAAGACCCATTGTCCTTACAACATCAGGTAATAATCATCAGATGAACTTTTTACCGTCTTGTTTTACACTAATGTTATTATACACATGATTACTACTTGTATTTATGTAAATGTTTTATCGCCTCATTAGTAAATATGTAATTGAACAAAGTGTTGGATAGATCAAATTGAAGAAGTGTACCGGTCTGTCAGAAAGGGGGAAGAAAAATCTGCTTTGTTAGATATATACCACAATTATATATAATGAATTGTAGTGGCTCTTTTATCTTCTCTTTATGAACATGTGCCTTCCAGTAATTATATTTTATGTATGTTTCCTGTCTTTCTTTTTAGATCCAAGGTTTTCATTCAGTTTAACTTCTAGATATGATGAGCTGACATTCAAACCCCCACCATTGGTAAGTGTCATAATGTCAGATACACTAGTATACTAGATTTAGTCATGTTTCAACTCTCAAACCTCACGAGTTTGTGATCTTTCTCTCGGTTTGAACATTTTGGACATGTAAATTTCTATTTGACTTGTGGGCAAGTTAATCAGATTTTATTCATTTTTTGGCCATTTTATTAATCAACAAAGTATATACTTGTTATATTTGATGAAATGTCAAATAGTGGTAAGAATATAGAGAATCCCTGATACTAATTAACTGACTAACTGATTTAAAGACTGATCTTGGACTACACTTTGGTGCATATCAAGAAATAATGACTTCATTCTTCTCATTTGGTACACAGAACCCATTGGTTAGTCACCTAAAGCTGCTGTGCCTCGCTGAAGATGTTCCCATCTCACATCAAGACCTGAGATTGGTTGCCGAGTTCTTTGACCGTGACATTAGACGATGCCTGCAACATCTCCAGTTCTGGGTGAGTTCTGGAGCGACGCCCAGGAGTGATTCAATCCAGCTGGGACCAGATGGGGAGGAGGATGATAAGAGAGAACACATGATAGATGCTCCAAGAGAGAGAATATCGCAAGGAAAGCCGGTGTCTCAATCGGCCACTAGTGAAATGGACACAAGTGATGTGGGTGGGGATGAGACCAGGGTGGGTGGAGCCATAGTGGAGCTAACGCAAGAACTGATAGATCTAGAGACAAAGATTATAGCGGTTGGGGAGTACTACTCCATGAAGGGGTACAAACCCCAGGATGTGCTGAAGATGATGGATGAAATGGGACTGACGAGCGAGAAGGAGACACCCAAAGACAATGAAACCAACAGTATTCAAGAGAGCTTAGGACAACACAGTTTTAGGACAGGTCTTGGGAACTATTGTGGACTTTTTGAGAGCATTGCTGGACTTGGAAATGTTGCAGGTCCTGTGATAGACTCATTACATCTTTTGAAGGTGAGTGAAAAGAAATAGATGAAGATGATTAAATTTGCAGAAGGATATTTCAGTATTTGAAACCAGAAATGAGTGAGAATGAATATAAGGGTGAAAAGTGCCTTACATTGACCATACAAGTAAGTTGTATATGAAAAGGCTGATCCTTTTGGGAGTTATGGCCAACGTCGACTCAATTGCCTTCACCAAGTGCAAACCGCACCTTTGTGTATGAGCAAGGAAGGTTTGATTGAGTTGTCCAGGATACTTTATTAATATTTGCAAGTACATATGCACGTATTCTTCAAAGTTCTTTCTGTTTCTTTAATCTTTTAAAGACAAAAGTTGAAAGATTGAAATAAGAGTAATAAAGTATTGTTTAAGGAATTTAAGTCTATGATGAAACCTCAAACATCAGTGTTATGATGAATGAATACTTAAAACAAAAAAATTCTATATAGAGGAGACAATTTGTTATTTCTGTTTCTTCTTCTTTTTTCAGAGGTTAGATGATCCTGTCATACTAGCATCCATTCTCCGAGCATTCCATGATCTTAGAATCGATGCTGTCCACTGTAACCTACCTCAAATCATCTCTTCAATTACTACCTCCAAAGACACCAAAGCAAGCTATGCATCCCTCTCGTCCAATGAGAAATCATCTAGCGAGTCAGCTGACCATGAACTGACCGAAAATGAGAAAAAGAAGTCATCTAAACTCGGTGGTGATCTGATGAATATCATGGCGGAGCATGCAGACAGGATGTCAGAGATGGATACAATGCTCCTCCACAGTCAGCAACAAGACAGTCATCTCAATCGCTATGGTAACAATGAATGGTGGCATCCACTGCTCATGCCTGGGTTGATTGACAGTGAGGATTGGATAGGAGATGATTATGAACAGGTAGATGTCAGGCACTGTGATTCAAGAGGTGAGGTCAACATAGTGGATATGAACTGCTGCTTAGAGGCGATGAGTCTGAGGGATTGTGTGAAGAGGTGTAGAAGAACGGTTGCTGAAGCAAGGCAGGATGAAACAAGATGGGAGGAGATTCAACGTAGCGTCTTACCATCGGACCATGAAGCCCTTCTACGCATCAAGGCCATCACATCTGAAGCAACATTGAGGTATGTACATTTTAGATGAATATTGTTTTATTTACACTTAAAGTAGATACTGTATCTTTCAGCCCTTTATTATTGCACTTTTTTCCCTGAGATATTTTTGGTTTTGTTCCTAAACTATTTTGTCTGCTTTCATCAGACAACTTACATAATGTGAAGTCTTTGATTGTGCCTTGAATTGATGGTTCCTTTGTTAAGCATGCCCATGTATATATTAGTTATAAGGACATACTCTTCCTTCCACTCAAAATACCAGGGACTGATTTTCCCTGTTCTAAATTTAGAATGGATAAAATTCGTGTTTGACAACGACATTGAAGGTACACCGAAGAACATGTTGAAATGGACTTTAGAATGATGAACATACTAAAGGTGATCTAGCCATACTTGTTGAATAAGAATTGCATGTATAATTGATGCTAGCACATCAACAGAGTTAGATTTGTCAGAATTAAAAATAACCACATTGTTTTCATTGGTTTTCAAATACCCTACTCTTTTCCCTATGATTTTCCAGAGAAACAAACTCTTCGGTGGTACGCAGACTTCCAGACCACTTGTATACTAACCACTCAGCCTTGACGTTAGACTACCTGCCTATGCTCAGAGGGATCTGTCGTTATGAGGAACTCAGGAAGGAAGCTAACCTCAAGAGAAGGTATGTAGAACAGCTTTGTAGATAAACGGGTGTTACAGCATAGTCACACTGATCCGTTTCACAAAGCCTTTTCAACTGTATGTAACAATTGTGGAAGTTCAATTTGGATTAGGTGCCCTTCTGATACACTACTAAGTTAGTAGCCTAAACTATGTTTGAATATCTATGTAGCTAGAATATGACACAGTAAGGGTGGGTGTTTGGATACCAATGCATTTACCAGCTAACCCCATACTAGTGTAGATGAACGCAAGAAACAGTTTGCTGCATACATTTCATGACATGATTTTTACATGAGAAGCGTTACCATATTTGATGATACAAGCCAATCCATATCTGTGTTTGTTTTCTCTTTGCAGATTCTTCCATTATCTGGACAGCATATCATTCTGTTTGAAGCCAGTAACACACCTCAGTCTAGCTAGTATTCTCAATCCAACCCAGCATCCTTAGCTGTAAGCATTCAATCCGTAACACACCTCAGTCTAGCTACTATTCTCAATCCAACCCAGCGTCATTAGCTGTAAGCATTCAATCAGTAACACACCTCAGTCTCGCTAGTATTCTCAATCCAACCCAGCGTCCTTAGCTGTAAGCATTCAATCCGTAACACACCTCAGTCTAGCTACTATTCTCAATCCAACCCAGCGTCATTAGCTGTAAGCATTCAATCAGTAACACACCTCAGTCTAGCTAGTATTCTCAATCCAACCCAGTGTCCTTAGCTGTAAGCATTCAATCAGTAACACACCTCAGTCTAGCTAGTATTCTCAATCCAACCCAGTGTCCTTAGCTGTAAGCATTCAATCAGTAACACACCTCAGTCTAGCTACTATTCTCAATCCAACCCAGCATCCTTAGCTGTAAGCATTCAATCAGTAACACACCTCAGTCTAGCTAGTATTCTCAATCCAACCCAGCATCCTTAGCTGTAAGCATTCAATCAGTAACACACCTCAGTCTTGCTAGTATTCTCAATCCAACCCTGCATCCTTAGCCGTAAGCATTCTGTCCTTACGGAAGCCAGTACCACACATAAGACTTGCTAGTATTCTAAATCCAAAACAGTGCCTCAACATCTTGAAATCTCTGTGAAGCCACTATTCATTTGGTCAATTTAGTGTCGTTTCAGCTGTAAGCATTACATATGAAACCAGTTTGAAACCGTATATAATATATTTATTTGACCCCAAGCAACGTCATCATTTTTAGATAGCATGGTATTGATCATACATTGCTGTTATGGTACATATTTATTTTTCAAAACTGGATAACATTCCAACATTGTCATGAATTGAATGAGATAAAATTCTCTTTTAATTCTTGGTGAGAAGTGTATTAACAGTGATTGAACTGTACTGAATGTATCTATGCAATTACAATTCTGTGTATTGCTCTTATGCATATTGAATATGTATTGTGATCAATCAAAATATAAGTTATTCTTCTATTATCAATTTGCACCATATGTCAATTACCATGATTACAGTATTCTGAGAAGCTTTGATAATGTTATCCACCTATATCTTCATTTGACTCAGCATCTCTGTGGAACTATATCTAGTTAGTTGCTAATTACTTACAAGCTAAAACATGCTTTCTTTGCAGTGGTGTAAAAACAAACCATCACATCTAGGAGTATGCAACTGTTCATGTAATTGTGTCAAGCTATTCAACTTTTGATTGCAAGTATTGTGATATGGAATTCTTATTTATGTGATTGTCCTAAGCAAGCATAAAGCATACATGTAGCACATCACACACTATCCTTTAAACATGGTCATATTGAGGTGTGTTAGATCAAAATTCAATTGCTACTTAAGGTGAGTGTGGTATTCCTCACAGCAAATTGGCAAATGTAACTTTGCTATCGACTAGATGACTTGCAATTGATTTTGATCCAGCAAAACTCCTTTTAAAAATAAATGGGGGACTGAACTTTTTCTATGATTATTTTTGTATTGTGTTATTGTCACTTTTTGCATTTGATTACATGTTATGTACCACATTCTATGTGTATTTGGTCATGTTCTTGATAAAATATTTTGCAGCATGAGTTTAAGGTCACCTCCTTCTTGTGGTATACATGGATATCGCACTGATTTTTTCACCTTGGGTTTAATATTATGCAGGCTGTTGAGTTTGATGTGATTTAGGGTGCACATCGATCTTCATCATGTCTGCCTCTAAGTCTTTTCTCTGTAAGAAATTTGGACTTTTAGTGCATAATAATAGGATTGTTATCATCTGTTTATCTTTAAATAACTGAAAACAATTCCATATATAATTTTTTTTTCTTCATACATTGCTGGCCACATTGATGTCTGAGGTTTATTATTGTGAACTGCTTGTTTGACCTTTATGTCCAGAAAGTCAAAAATGTAATGTAAGCAATGTACATGACTACATGTGAAACTAAATTATTCATACCCTCAACAAGTTTTGTAATTTTGTAAGTATATGAAAAATTGATTTGTTCTGATTTGTGTTTCTTGAAAAATTGACATGTTAAAGCTCACATCTAGGAGTATTCACCAAAGGCCCTAATGCAACCAGTCCACCTTTCACCTTTGAGTTACGAAAAACAAACACAAAACATCAAATTTACAAGGGGTATGACTAATTTAGTGGTTAACAGTACATGTACCCAGCGTGAGACACAACCCACCCATCATTCTCGTTTGCTGTGTGCTTTAGATCTTTTTTAAGTAGGGCATTTCATTATTTTCCAACGTTTACTTTCTTTGTGCTAAACATATGATTAGATAAATTATAATAAGTGGAACAACAAAAGAAGTCAACAAATGGGGCATTATCTTGTCTGACTGATATTTGTAGAATGATAAACAAGAAATTATATTACCTACATGTACATAGTAATTGCAAACTATTGTGTATTCTTATTAGCTAAAAAGAAGCTAGTAATTTATCTTGAGGAAGAGTTGATGTACATTGAGAAAGATTTTTATGTATTTGTAGATATAAAGAAGAGAGGGATAATCATGGTACAGTATGTAAAAACAAGATGTTAGAAGAAATGTGCATGTACTTCTTGATAACTGTTTTTGTGCATGTACATGTATGTACCTGCTGAATATTCTTATATTTTGTACATTTTCATATCTAATAAAATATTTGAGACAAAAAATGTACAAGTCTGTCATTATCTGTGTATGTTGTGAATGTGTTATCTTACATAATAGTTGAACAATGCATTCAGATATATACTCTGTAAATGTGGAAGGAATAGCCTTGGATAAAAAGCCTGCTTTGATTTTTCATATCTGAAATTATTAAGATAAAGATAGAATGAGCTAGGATGAAGGACACACTATAGCGACAATTGTGTGCATTCTTTATGGTTGACCACTAATCATAGTAATGGACACACAAGTTAATGTATGTATGTATAAATTACACACATCCCAAGTAACTATTGTGAATATGATTTTGGTCTGCAGTGTAAATACGCATTTTCAATCTCCCAGGCTCTTTAATACTTGATTCCCCAGGTGTTTCAACACTTTGTATACAGCGATGTTAATCATGAAGTCTTTATGAAACCCAAAACTTACTTGCTGGTACATTAGGCCACAACATTGTGTGTAAATAAAACGGCATTTCAAAACAAGTCGCAAATTGGGAAATATTGCTGGTCAATACTGTTATTCGTCTCAAGTCCTACATGTATTCCCTGTGATTACATCCTAGTTCATTCTTTATCTTAAATGTCTAAAAGCATGATTAAATACATTCATTTCAAAGGAGTTATGTTTGATCTGAAAAACGATGTGTACTGCTAAAGAAGATCTCAATGCCATGTAGAGTTTTTGCTATCATATTACTTGAACATTAAGCCACTGAGCACTAAATGCATTCATTTTCATAGGCTCAGTGCAGGGTCTACCTGAGCACCATTTCATTTCATTTTTAAAGTTCCATCGACTGCTTATAAACTACTGAAATTGTTGCATTTGATTGGCTGTGAATACATTGTTTATACAAATGGGACACTTGTTATTGATAAAAACAATTATGAAATAGGGGCCCCGGTTCCAGTAGCCAATGGGTGAATTTACGTTTGATTCAGGGGAATCTCTGCCTCAATTCACATGGGAAAAATACTAATACGTGCAACAGTTTACAATTAATTTAAATTTGTTAATTTTAAAAATCCATCTTGGGGGAGGAAGACAAGCAGAGTAGAAAAACCACAAGAGCTGCTATCTACAGGTACATGTATTCTTGGAGTAGAGAATCATCGTTTTATCTGCAGAGAGGCAGAAACTACAAATCATTCCTTTCTGGCTGTCTGCAGATCATCTGTTTGGTGTCAGAAGGGTGTCAACTCATACTGTAACACAGAATTAATGCCCTCCTGGCTCCAAACAAAATGATATGGAGCCTTCATGAACTTGTGATCTCTTAAAAGAATATACAAGAAGACACTTCTTACTTTTCATGATTTATTCAAAATCAAGCACCAATTCGTGTACACATGAAAAATATAAATCCATATAATATATTCTGTATTGCATTCAATTATCACAGGTATAAAATAATTCTTAAACAGTTCAATCATATATACATGCATTCCTGAATCTTGATTACTTTAAATTCAGAAACTAAATTATAAAAGGATTAGTCTCCTTGCTTACTATACTTTTTATCCGATTTACTATGACATCATCAATAAATTTAAATGTAATGAAAGGTAGGTTCAAATTATTTCATGCCTAATCATTTACCAAATTGTATTTAATTTAATTATTTTATAAAAATTAACTCCTCTTAAGTAGCTCAGCTAACTTAATAGCATGTGAAACAGTGGGTTATTGGGAGTGACATATCTGGGTATAATATAAAGCATCTACAACTAAAGCTCTCTGAATAAAGCTCTCTGAATAACACAAATTGACTTACATGGGAGCAAACTTCACAATACTGTTTCAGTTTATTTTAGCTATTTTTTGTCTAAACAAATGGTACAAAATTGTCAAGTGTGTGGTATTTGCAGAGTAGAAGAAATTTCAAGGTTATCACAAAATCAGTTCCACTTCCTTCATAAGTGGTGGTTTATGAAACTCAATCAAATATTTACACCACCATTCAAATCTACTCCGAAATGGATGACATTAATATGGAATGCACAAAAGAGTTGATTTCATTTCAAAGTAATTAGAGCATCGGCACTACCAATACACGCAAACAAAAATCTTATAACTAAGGTCCTATTCATTATGGTTAATGACATGATGCAGTGCTCTTATGCAGCACTGAGTGAGATACATGTATTGGTGTCTTTGTTTTTCTTGAGAATTACAGCAAATTTCATGCCAGTTTTGATTTATCTCTATATGGATAGAAACGATTTGAGCAAATGAAGGAAAAACTATACAAAAATGTTTCACCAATATTGAATAGAAAAGAAATATCAAATTTGCAGTACATCTGAGAAAGTCATGACATCAATACTAAACTTCCATGATTGTATATATCCCTCCTCTTTATAATACCGGTACATCGGTATTACCGGTGTTACAGAATACTCAATGAATAACTTTGAAATAAACACATATGTACGAAGAAAAGACAGCACTTATATTTATCTTCCCATTCCAAACTTTGTTAAGCCTCTTTTAGATTGATAAAGAAATAAGTGACTTTCGTCAGAAAAATATGCAAGGTCCTAGTGACTTTGAAGAAAATATGCAAACAAAATGAAGACATGCACACACACATTGATAAAGTAATATATTCTTTCACCAGCACACAATATGTATGCTCACACCAATTAATTTTGAACTTTATTATCAAAAACTTGCTCACTTGTTAGAATACACAATTTAAATAAGACTCCCTTTGGCAGCATTTATTGCATCTTTAATTTGGAAAAAGTGTTCGCCTCGGAACAGTAATACAGGCTTTTCAGGCACATTTAAAACATCACATAATTTAGACAGATAAACCAGTATCTTTTGCAATATTCAACTCCATTCTTGTAGGCTTCTAGGTTTAAATCATCATGCATATAATGTTTCACACAATGTTCCTCCTTAACTAATTAACCATGCATCTCTGATGGCTTTCAACCATAATGTTTAACTATCACCAGGTAGAAGCTATCACATACTTCACAAACTCTATACAACTAGACTTTGAAAGAAATTGCCTGACTTCTGAATTGAATTCTTACTGCAGTTTCTTTAAAAATAAGTTGTCTTCGGTTTTTATAATAAGGTGTGTGATGGCTTTGACATGACATGAAGACTTTAGCATTATATACTTTTTTGAGAATTTTTTTAAAAACTAATTTTTTCATTACTCAAATTTAAAACAACCTTGTTCGTTATTGTGTGGGGTGTCATGGCCCAGCAGAAATTTCGCCTGCCAGACTACAACTGACTTATCTGGAACTAAATCTATATTGCAAAAGTATGGTACATTGGCAAGATATTAATCTAAATTAACCCCTCTTCACCCAGGTCTAGCAATGGCGCCTTATTGGGAGAAATTCCTTGAATGCCTTGAGTATCATATTAAGCTGAAGTTAGGCAGCCTAACTTCACTCTGGGTACTAATAATGAAACTTGTACTACACAGCTGAATTTTCAAAGAAAAATTTACTTATATGTACCATTATTTCAACTAGAATATCCTAATTTCTTTTGTATTTGATGATGAGTGATATAGTGTGGATGATGCTTCTCCCGTTTCCTGCTTATAGTTACTCAGATCTGGTTAATTATATCTCTGCACAAACGCGCACACACACACACACACAAACATGCACACATACGTGCAATCCTTTGGGGACAGGGTAATATAGAGCACAATCTTCAATATTTGATCCAATAATGAAAGATCAGCATGGTCAAGATGACGACCATGCCTGCATAACCCCATGGTGCATTGGCGTATGGTTTGAGTGCCTCAGTCAGCATATCATCCACTTCGTTGATACACTCTATCACTCCATCAGTCACATTGGATGCATTGATACGGATCTTGGTACACACATCTCGGTGGTGGGTTCGTAACCTGGTCTCTATGCAGTCACCTGGGATCACCCAGACCTACCGATGAAGAGAGGATAAGATTCATTGGTTAGTGACGTATCGTGAATGACAGTTTCAATATATTATTTACATTCAATTGTGGTTGGATATGTGGCATTTCTCTCATCACTCATTATTTGATAACCATACTGCATAATTCCCACAAGTTCACTCTGTATATAATACCCAATATTTACAGCATTCAACAAAATAATTAATGTTTGATGCTACAGAATCAATAATCAATACCGTAAGCTTGTAAACTACTGTGTACTCACTGGGCATATAATATGTATGTAATGGTGGTTATTTTACCTGACTGCTAAGAAAGCATAATTGCTTGTTAGTAAGCAACCAGAGGACCGACCGCTTTAGGTCCTCTCCATATCAAGCCAACAATAAAATTATCCTGACGTAAACATCACTAAACAAATTGGGAACTCTATGATAATCTGTACAGGATACTCTTTTTTTTTTGGGGGGGGGGTAAATATAATAAAATCCTGATGTCAGGATGGACTTCCTTTTCAAATTCATCACAAGATAACATTATAACAATTCATTGTAGAGTTTGTTTACTTCCTTGGCTAATGAAGGGTTCCATTACAATCTCCCAAGCACACATGTTTATTTACTTACTCTGGATGTGTTAAGAGAAGCCAAAATCATCGTTGAATTATCACAGACTCTTCCACCAAACCAGCTATTCTGCACGGCTTTCCCAAACAGAGTTTCACTCGATGAAGGGTCACTGTTCACGATGACATTGGACAATAAGAGAAGATTGATCTTCATCAACACAACATTCATTGTATCCTTGCGATTTGTAAACACATGTATGAAATGAGGACTCAACATATCATATCAAAACCTTTGCATATATTCTATTTAGGGAATATAACATGTACAAATATTCACGCCTCATCTTATCTTAAAGGTAATACAAAGTTTTTGGAAATTTGGTGGATAATGATTCTTTACAATTTGGGTATATTTGGATGCCCTTGTGGATGTTTTATAAGCACTAGAAAACTTGGCCCCTAAAACACTTCTGCTTTCGAGCAAAATAGAATATAAAAATTCACCGGGGCTCCCAGTAAATTTGGATGAATTTCAAACAGCGCCTAGGGCCTTACAATGGTAGCTGCGACCATGAAAATCTCAGAATATGTAGTTGTGATATAAGATCCAAACGGGAATAGCTAATTGATCGATTTTACTCAAGAAAGATTGTTTTATAGCCTAATTAATATCTTGACCTTGAGAGGGAGCTATACAAAATAAAGAGCTTATTATTTACAATTTCATAAGTTTAGACTTGATTTCAACCGCGACAACGATCACTGAATATTGTAGGATCGCATATGCTTCCAATATTGAAATACAACATAGTCAATGAGTATAACACGATCTTCATAAGAACTGAAGATTAGTAAAAAAAAATATGGGAATATTCACAATGTTTAACAAAGTGCATGCCATTTTGTATTTTTAGAAAGTCACATTTCCCTTTCTTCTCATTCATTAAATGGGAGAAAACACATTAAATACACACATTTCCAGTCTTCGATCCATATTCTGTTCTTTCAGTTTAACCTGACCAAGGGCTAAGATCATGTTTAACAAAGAAAAACTTGGACCTCAGACTATTCTCCTTTGTTAAACTTGATTTTGAGCTGAGCTTGATCTTAGCTTAGAATCAAGGATAAATCTTAAAAGCAGGCAGCCCTTTCAGTTTTCATGTAAATAGATAATCCACACTGAGCATGTGTGATAGATGTTTGATCCTACTTACTCCAAGTCTTCGACCACTGATTCTACTACAGAGGCTGCTATCACATAGCCATAATAGTAAACATAGTCCAGGTAAATCTCTCCAACTGAGTTGTTAGTGTTGATGGATGCTAGTTGATCTATAACATGTCCATCTTAAAAGAAGAAAGAACAAAAAGGGGTCAAACATTCTAAGTTCATATGTAATTCAGTATTTCATATGTGATTCATGATGTGAGCAATAGAAATGCACCTTCAGCAATGAAATCTCTATAGAAGTTATCCTCATATTCATAACATCAATATTATCACACATAATCTATTTGTAGTCGGTAGTATCTCCAGAAATTCTCCTGCCGTTTGTACTATACACAAGAATATAATCACTTTTAGATCCAACATGATTCAATTACTAAGGTAACTGATTATCATAAATTAAGGTACATTTCTTACATAAACATGGCTCAAAACAACCCTTGCAACAAATTTATGGTAACAAGTCACATATGAATGAAGCATTCCATCCATACATACATACATCTAATTAATCATTATTAGTCTTCTCAATAACACAACGGGTCAAAAGGTCGTGGCAGAAGGGGAAAAAGTAGTAAACTGGCCTATTGAAAACCCGAGCCCATATTTCCTATCTTTACTATGTCTTGTTGCATACACACGTATGGATCCAGGACCAGACTTGTTTCTTTATTGTTTTTAATAGGATATCTAGTTTTATATTTTGTAATGACCATCTCTACATTTATGGATACCAACCTGCATAATCGAGTAAGTTTTCTGGATCACAGAGCCAGGATGGAGGCTCAACATTACCACAAGCAGCTACAAAGCTACTTGGACGCCATTGGTCAGCCAAAGAAAGGTCAAAGGTTAGAAGGAGAAAGAAGAGGGTTGAAAGGACTGAAATGGAAGGGAGCTGCACGCCAGGGATCATGATGTTGAATCGTTCACAAATTGAAGGCAGAAGAATAATCTACAACAGAATGGAAAGAAGAAAAAAAAATCAACTCCCATATCACATGTCACACAAGTGTTGTTTAGATTAGATCATAAATGAATAATGAGCAATATATACCGATACATCATAGCTTTACCAGGCAGCCTCAATTTCTTTCTAGAGATTTGTAAGGGTTTTCTCTGCATTTTCACACATATCTTAATGTAGGATCTTGTACAATTTTTTTTTTTTTTAAACCCCATAAAGATTGGCTGTTAACACAGATCAGCGGCAGGCTGTCTGCGCATGCTAACAGGACAACCAGGGAGATGTCAGTTATACCACCCATTGAATATTGCGCAATAGCTTTAAATGACGTCACTGGTAGAGTGTCCGTAATACACGCTTTTTTATTTTATCGATATATCAGGAGGAGCTAGGAGGGAACCAAGCAGTGCAGTCGTCTCTCAAAAAGGAGGGGGGGGGTGGGGGGTGGGGAGCTAAAAAGGGCTTTCAAAGTAAGTTTACAAAATTTCTTTCCATTTTAGTATTAAAGTCATGTACCAAAATGGTATATGTTTCAACCTAATGATCATGATGATTTGATGATAGTCCACATTATGTTGTATGTTTTGGCACTCAAGAGTAAAGGTCAATACCAACCACAACTCTTTTTTTAGGCCTTATCAAAGCCAACAAGCAAAGTCTGTAAAAGTGTTATGGTAAAAAAAACGCTTCACTCAATTCACCCATCACCCATCATCCTTCCAGAGACCTAGAACCAATTCAACAATTTACACAAATAGCTTTTTCCCATGGACTGTTAAATATTGGAACGACCTGCCTAATTACATCCTAGACGCCCCTAACATACATGTAGATATTTTCAAGAAAAGGCTCTGCGATTTTTTTCACAAACAACACCAAACGGAAATAATTCCACCAGGTCAACCTCCAGGTCAGCCCTCTGACGCGATGCGGGATCCCGCTTTGTCGGGAGTAAAATCCAGAACCACAACCAGAATTCTCCGTATCACCAGATCAAGATACGCCATTCACACTAACCACACTCCTACAATGCATGAAGTCAGTCTAACCCATATCGTAACCGTACAGGAATAACCACACCAGTCTCCAGCAGAGCAAGAGTCCATGTAGACAGCAATAACCATCTGATTTGGGTCATTTCTTTAATAAAACTGACATTTGTTGTCATTCCCCAATACAGATGGCAACCCAGAGATCTCGTACCGTGGGGGTAGCTATAGCCAACAATGGCAGCTTTTTCTGTCAAAACATTTTCTCCCCGATTTTCTTTATTTAGATCTAATTTTCTGATTTCTAAATCAGATGTAAATTAGGTCGGTATGTCATTTGTCCTAATTACAGTTATCAAAATTTGATAACTTAATATTAAATACATAATTTACGGACTTACTTATATGAATTATCCAATTTGTATCTCAGATCCGTGAAGCAGTACGTTCATGCATTCGAAATATTACCCGGCGGCCGATATATTTCCGGGTCCACCTACCAAAACATAGCCAAATGGCCAATCAGAGCACTCGTTTCGTGGGAGTTCGTTGGTCAAGCTGGGCCGACTCGTACGTAGCTACGGTAGCTATTGGACGCTCGAAAAGAAAAAATGAATATTCATCAACTAAAACCAAGACGGATAATGTTGACGACGAGACTTTCTCGGATTAATCATTAATTTAGGATCTAAATGAGCAAGCTATCGTAAGTCAAATAAGCTATATATATGTTATTTTTAATTTGTGTTGTAATTGCAGCAGTTATGAGGATGTAAAGAGTGAAAATCTCGTTGCATATCTCATTCATCGCGGTCCGGTCGAACCGAACCATTTGTTCCGTACAGTGCCTCACAGAAAGAGGTCCCCAGACTTCAGTCTCTATAATCGGAGGTCTAGTGGAGCCAGACGTAGTCTCAGTGGAACAACCGACGATTAGAGAGACTGAAGTTTTCGGTCTAGAGTCCATGCTAATGCGTATTGACCTCTAGCGCTGCACTACGTGCTAATAGGCAGCAATTGCTCACATGAATAGTCAATACAAAAATAACACACAATGATGCCGATGTGGCTGTAGACTAGGCAAGTTTGACGATAGACTCACGATTTTAATTTTTAAATTACGGTATTCTTTCTACATGTTCTAACATCGGTGAGTTGAACAAATTGCATTTTTACTAGATCTAGATCTAGATCTATGTCTAAGACTAGACCTAGGTCTAAGTCTAGACTAGACTTAGATCTATCAATATCATCTAGGTCTAACTTTAGATCTAGGTGTCATCAATTGTCACTAAGTCTAAAGCACCGATCTTGAGTGAAATCAGTTGAGTTTTGTACAGTGGTGTTCGAAATGTTGAGAATCAATACAACAGGTTTTAATACACAGCCAGGATAGTAATGCAGCTATGTGTCTGTGTGGGAATAACAATCAACCGCCCAGTTTTTATCCCAACACTACAACGATATTTTCAATTAGTGGGACTGTGGACGAAAATGAAAGCCAGAACGAGTCGATCTACATCCCGTATCTTTGAAAGTATGGCATTTATAGTTATTTCTGGCTTATCTTAAACATTAAAAGATACATATGCATATATTGTTGTAGTTTTTACAGTCCCTTATACCGACATTTACCGTGATCTTAAACAAATTTACGTACCAACACCGGAAACGGAATGTTTACACACGGAGACCAATGACGATCGCTTACCGGTACGTACGTAAGCGCACGTAAGCCTACGTTTCCCCAAAGGGCACAGCGCCTTTTTTTTTTAATAAAAGAAAAGTGCCCCTTTTTACTTTGACAAGTGCCCCTAATAATTCATTAAGTGCCCTTTCTCCTTTTCACCTCTGATAAGTGTCCCTTTATTTTGACACATACCCAATTCCTTCAAAATGTTTCCATTTTCACTTTTGATAAGTGCCCCTTCACCTCTGATAATTGCCCTATTTTTAAGTCTGAGAGGTACCTCTTTTACTTTGACAATTAAGTGCCCCTTTTTCCTTTGTAAGTAGTGCCCCTTCCCATGTTTATAACTACCCCTTTTTAACTTATATTTTCACATGTGCCCCTTTTCCTAATTATAAGTGCCCCCATTAAAAAAGAGCCCCTTCCCCCTTCTCATAAGTGACCCTTTTCATCTCTGGTAAATTGACCCTTCACCTCCAAAAATTGGCCCTATTCGAATCTCAGAGATACTCATTTTACTTTGACAAGTGAAGTGCCCCTTTCCTTCCTGATCAGTTTCTCTTTTCACCTCTAATACAATAACTGCTTCTATAATTTTGACACGTTCCCACTTTCCTTTATAATAAATGTTCTTTTTCCTTCTTATAAGTGCCCCTCCCCCTTCTCATAATTACCCGTTTTCATCTCTCATAAGTGCCACGTTTATTTTAACATGTGCCTCTTTTTCTAGTAATAAGAGCTAGCCACTTCCCCTTCTCATAGAAGCATGGAAGTCGCTCTGCCGCCCCTGTATACCAGTATCAAGACTGTCTGTATTAATGATACACTGACATGTACATGCAAATGCATGATAATTTTTGCGCTTCTTGCTCCCAGCAAGATAGTTTTCTCCTACATTTAATTTTGTTGCTGTTATGAGTTTATGAGTTTATATTCATATTTTTGTTATCAAACAGGAATAAATAAATGAATATAATACATTTGTACAATGATAATTGTAAAATGATGATAGAAGAACCAATGAAAATCGCAACTGATCTTCACTAATTCCTTTTCTTTTCTTCCTCTTTGTTTTCTGTCCCTTTCTCTCCTCTTTCCCTTTCACTTCCCTTACTTCTCTCTCTCTCTCTCTCTCTCTCTCTCTCTCTCATTTAAGTTTGCTGAGGGTGGCAGGGGCCCTTCGCCCCCTCCCCCCGATCCACGCGATTTTGGTGGGATTAATCGCAACTGATCTCTGCTTCTTTTCACCCTTTTCTTTTCTTCTTCCTCTTTTGTGTTACATTTTAGCTCTCCTCTTTCCCTTTCCTTTCTTTCTCTCTTTTTTTTGGCGGGGAGGGGGTGGGGTGGTCGGGGAGGGGGCAGAGGCAAAGGCCTTTCTCCGCGATCCACATCTTGTTTGCAGAAAAATTGCAACTGATATTCCTTCTTTTCTTTTCCTCTTTTGTTTCTTTCCCTTTCCTTCCTTCTCTCTTGTTTTGCCGGGGGGGGGGGGGGGGGACAACAGCATGGGCGGCAAGGCCCTTCCGGCCCCCCCCCCCCAATCTCCTTCTTTTCGCTTTTTTCTTTTCTTCTTCTTTTTCTCTTATTTCCCTTTCCCTTCTTTTTCTTCCTTCTCTCTCTCTCTTTGCTAAGGGGGGAGGGGTACAAATCGGGACAAATTGCAACTGATCTCCCCTACCTTTCTTCTTCCTCTTCCCCCCCCCCTTCCCCTTCCCTTACTTCTCTCTCTCTCTCTCTCACACACACACATTTAAGTTTGCTGAGGGAGGCAGGGGCCTTTCGCCCCCTCCCCCCGATCCACACGATTTTGGTGGGATTAATCGCAACTGATCTCTGCTTCTTTTCACCCTTTTCTTTTCTTCTTCCTCTTTTGTGTTCAATTTTAGCTCTCCTCTTTCCCAACTGATGTCCCTTCTTTTCTTTTCTTCTTTTGTTTCTTACCCTTTCCTTCCTTCTCTCTTGTTTTGCGGGGGGGGGGGGGGGTGAGTCACCAGCATGGGCGGCAAGGCCCTTCCGCCCCCCCCCCCGATCTCCTTCTTTTCCCCTTTTTCTTTTCTTCTTCCTTTCCTCTTCTCTCTTCTTTCCCTTTCCCTTCTTTTCCTTCCTTCTCTCTCTCTCTCTCTCTCTCTCTTTTTGTTTGCCAGGGGAGGGCAGGCGAAGGCCTTTCGCCCCCGATCCACACCGCGTGGTGGGAAAAATCACAATTGATCTCCCGTACCTTTCTTTTCTTTCCCTTTCCCTTCTCTTCCTTTCTGTCTCTTTTAAGTTTGCTGTAGAAGGGGGGGGGGGGACAAGGGCCATTTGCCCCCCCCCCCCTCCGATCCCCAACTTGCGGAGTGTGCAATTACGGACTCGCTTATGGATAAAAGAACATCATAATCAGATTATCCGACCCCGGAAACCCAATGAATTCATCAACTTTTATCATACTAGCCCATTTCCTTTCATAACTATACTTGACCTGTAACTCAGATGGCGGCCATTTTGGACTGGACCAATATGACCAGTAAGGCAGCCCCAAGGAGACCTCAAATCAACGAAAGAACATCATAATCAGATTCTCTGACCCCAAAAACTCAATAAAAATATAAACTATTATCATACAACCGCTTTTCCTTTTGGAACTACGCTTGACCTTTAACTCAGTTGGCGGCCATTTTGGATTTGCCAATTATGGCATACCCAGAGGGTGCCCTTCTTGGCGTCCGGAAGAAATCGTAAAAGTATGGTATAATCTACCTCTGGGCCAAATTTGGTGCTTTTAGAAGAATCTGCACCAAACAACCCCTATTTATAGCCCTAACAGCCTCCACTATATTGACTATGTATATGTGTGGACTAGAGTACGGACATTCGGTGCGGCAGGCGGACTATTGGTGCGAGACCTCTTCTGCACGGATTGTCCGTCAGACATTTGAGGCGCGCACGGAATGTCCGACACGGACATTCTGCGCGGATAAAATCCGCACCGATCGTCCGCTCTCGATCGATCTCTAATAGTCGGACGATCGGTGCGGGTTACATTCTACGCGGTCACACCGGCGTTAGCTCAGAGGTTTTAGGCATTTAATTACGGTATATGGGCCAAATAGTGACTTCCCAGAATTTTTTAGTTGTATAGTTCAAGTTCAAGTTCACTTTATTCAATACTTTCATCAAAATTATACAAGGAAAACAAACATATAAAAGTTAGAATATAATACATGTATCAATAATAACATGAGGATAACACAAGTGGAGAAGACATGATGGACAAGGGAAAATATTTTAAACATGTACATTAATGGTATTTCTGAGCAATCATAATTATGAAGTCCTCGCCAGACTCAACAGGGTCTGCTGCAGATGTCATAGCATAAATGCAGAAACAGCAGCTTCCCTCAGCAGCAATGCCAGCCTCTCCACAAGCAATCAGTTTGAGTCATTAAGCATCAGCGACACAACCGATGATGCTCAATATCATTGTCAGACGTCAACACCAACTTCAGCGTCATCTGGTCATGCATCGAGGCTACCACCACGCCCTCACTTCTCACCATCTAAAAACCGCAGGAAGATCCTGAAGGGCGTCATTATCAATTGCAATGGTCTTAAAAGTTCTGCGAAGTACTCTCAATTCCAAGCATATTAGTCATCACAAGCCAGATGTGATCCTTGGTTGCGAATCTAAGCTTGACGAGACAACCCCCACTTACAGTGTATTTCCTAGAAATTACACAGTATTCCGGAAAGATCGAAACGACCGTGGGGGTGGTGTCTTTGTAGCAGTGCATGAGTCTCTCATCTTAACCAACTGTCCGGAGTTCGACTCAAATAGTGAAATCATCTGGTGTAACTTACAATTCACCAACGCAAAGCCACTATTTATAGCAAGCTTTTACCGTCCCCCAAGTAACGGAAAGCAAGACCTTGAGGAACTCCAACTCTCCATCGCTAAGGTTATGTCTAAACACAGAAGAAGTCACCCTAACATCATCATTGGAGGAGATTTCAATCTTCCAGACATCGACTGGGAATCCTGCTCACTGACCAATCCAAACCGTGCAAGCATCCATCAACTTTTGCTTGACACCTTATTGAAATTCTCACTGACACAACTGGTAAGGGATGTAACCCGTCCTGCGTCTAGTAACATCCTGGATCTTCTTTTGACGTCCAACCCTGGCCTCATTACAGATGTATCCATTCATCCTGGCATATCAGACCACAACATTGTGTCCTTCGTCTTTTCAGGAAATCCGAAAACAGCCCGTGCACCTCCCAGGAAGACCTACCAATTCCACCGAGCAGACCACCAGATCATTAAAGAAACTGTTGAAAAGTTTTCAATCGATTTCTTCCTTTCATCTCCAGAGCTCCAAACTGTAGATGAGAATTGGAACAGGATATCTGTGTTCCTCAAGAAGTGTATGGAGGATCTGATACCATCAAAGATGAGCAAATCCCGGCGACACCTTCCGTGGATCACCACCGACCTCAAACGAAAAATGAGGAAGCGTGATAGGCTCTTTAAGAAAGCCCGTAGAAACCCCAGTACGTCAAAATGGAAGGCTTTCAGACAGCACCGCAACGTGGTAGCGAAACTAGTTCACCAAGCACACCACGATTACGTGAACAACATCATAGGGAACAGTCTGCAAGGGAATCCCAAGACCTTCTGGTCCTATGTCAAGCAGTGTCGGACTGAGAATATGGAAATCCCATCGCTTAGATCTGACAAAGGCATCCACACGACCAACAAAGACAAAGCAGAGTGTCTCAACTCCTTCTTCCACTCGGTATTCACCAACCAACAGGTTTGTCATGCTCGTATGGAAGGTTCCTCACACTTTCCTGATATCGGCCATCTACACATTCATCGTCCTGGTGTGGCAAAGCAGCTGTCAAATCTCAACCCATCCAAAGCTTGTGGGCCAGACGAACTTCCACCTAAACTCCTCAAGCTTGTAGCTGACGAGATTGCTCCTGCCTTAGGATTCCTTTTTCAGCAGAGCTACAATTCTGGCACTGTTCCAGCTGAATGG